GGGAGGCATGGAATGGCAAGCCGCATGGCATGGGGGAACGGAGGCTACAGAAAGTAGGACCGCAATATGTGAGAGTCGTTACCTTTGTTGTGACTCGAGGAAAGCCTCGTTGCGTTCTTGCAGGCTAGTTGACAGGTCTTCAGATAGACTGGGGGAAACGGGGGGTAGAAGGGAGGGGTAGGAGGGAGAGTGAGGGGTGGGAAGGAGGGGTGGGGAGGGAGAGGAGGGTAGGAGGGAGAGGGAGGGAGGCGTGGGAGGGCGAGGGCGAGGGAGGGGTGAGAGGGCGGGCGGGAGGGAGAGTGCGGGGTTCAGCGCGAGGCAGGGGAAGAGAGGAAAAAGAGAGCATCGAAAGAAACCCCTTTTTCTCCCCCCTTTCAGCCCCCCCCTTTCTAACTTTCCAAAGGCACCCCTCATCTGTCCCCACACACCCCACCACCACCACACCACCCATCCCTTCCCCAGCCTCGTGCCACCCACCCCAGGTTAGCCCTCTCAGCTTGGATCACTGCGCGGACGATTTTATCCGATTCTGATTCTCCCGGGGGTAGATCCCGCAGTGTGAGGAAGAAGCGAACCTGCCATGCATGGGGCATGGGGGGTAGGGTAGGGATGTGGTTGGTGGGGTTGGGTTGGGGAGGTTGGGGGGCCATGGAGCAGCAATGATGGGAGAAGGGACTTGTATGGAAGAAAAAAAAGCGGGCAGGGGGGAGGTCTCGCAATGCGGGGAAGAAGTGAACCTGCCCATGGTTTGGGGTGGTGGGGGGCAGGAATGTGTGATAGATTTGGGTGGTGGGGCAGGAATGGTGGATAGATTTGGGTGGTGGGGCAGGAATGTGTGATAGATTTGGGTGGTTGCGATGGCTGGGGTGGCTGGGGTGAGGGTATGGAGCAGGAAAGGGGAAGGCAGTACGTTTGGAAGCAGGCAGACGTGCGCGAGGTGTGCATGCAAGCAGCAAGCAAGCAAGCAAGCAAGCACTATACGTACCAGGCATTGAGGTCGTTTTTGAGGCGCCTCAAAAACGACCTCAATGTACGTTTGTACATCTGGAAGCAGGCAGAAGTGCGCGAGGTGTGCAAGCAAGCAGCAAGCAAGCACACGTGCGTACCAGGCAGGAGAGTGTGAGGGGCGCATGTGGATGCTCGTTGAGCAACGGCCGCACCACCTGAGGTATAGAGGAGAGGGGGAGGAGAGAGTGGAGGACGGAAGTGAATGCTGAGTGAATCGGTGAATGAGCACGTGAATAAGGGGAGCGAGTTGGGATTGTTAGGGACCAGGACATATAAATACCAGGCAATTAGACTATGACTATTCACCACCACTGCATGCACACAGTCACCTGTACGGGCACGCTCACCTGCAGGCACAGCAGGAGCTTCTTTTTCCGAGAGAACACTTCAAACGCCACTTGCAGAGATGAGAGCTCCGAGCCGGCATGCTGCAGCAGCAGTGAGAGTGCTTGGATGCCTCTGCTAGCTTGTCCTCCACCTGAGGGTCATGGAACAATGGAGTGTTTTCTTAAATTCGCACAGTACAGTACAGAGAATGCACTACGACTGTACTGAACATTCTGAAAAGAGTCAAATGCACTCCCATTGACATATATAGGCTATTTTGAGGCGCCCTAAAAAATCGCCTGTACTGAACATTCTGAAAAGAGTCACAAGCACTCCCATTGACATATATAGGCTTAAACAAGCCTCGAGTGTGAGTTGACTTTTGAGTCGACTCAAAAGTCACTCCCATTGACATATATAGGCTTGACCAAGCCTCGCGTGTGAGTTGACTTTTGAGTCGACTCAAAAGTCACTCCCATTGACATATATAGGCTTGACCAAGCCTCGCGTGTGAGGAGACATACGCGTGGTGATGTGATGAATGGAAACAACACAGCCATCTATGAATACGCGCATACACATGCACATGCTGAATGCACGGTACAGCACCTCACAGCACCGTTCAGGCAGCACACACCTCAGTGAGCTTCACCCCATCAGGGTCGGCATCCACAGGCTTGGCCGAGCCTCCCTTCTTGGCTGCTTTTGCAGCTGCTGCCGCCGCCGCCGCTGCAGCAGCCGCTGCTGCCTCCTCTTCCTCCTGCTTTCCCGAACGGAAACGAGGGGACAGAAGGCAAAGCACAAAACGCGGGCAGAGGGGAGAACTCAGGGAAAAGCAGGGCGCAAGGGCAGGAAGGAGGGCAGAGGGGAAAAATGCCTTGTGAAGAGTGTAAAGCGAGAATATAGGGGGACGGGAGGGTTGCAGAATGGAGGAGGCAACCATACTGCCACCGTTTCCCCCCCACTGACTGTCCCTTCTTCACTCTCTCACCTGCATAAAGGGATAGTTTCGACTTGGATCCAACGGTTCCTAACTCGCCCTATTCTCCTCTAGGCTGAGTTAAGGCTTGTAGGGAATGAATAGGTAAGAAGTTTGTCATTCAAACCTGAGCGTACGCGTTTTGGCCGGTGGCCTTCATCAGCGCTGACTGTCCCTTCCTCACTCTCTCACCTGCACCTGACCCTCCTTCAAAACAAACTCCCTCTCTTGCTCACCTTCTTCCTCCGTTGCTCCTTCTGCAGTCTCTTCCGCTCAGCTGCGCTCATCTTTCGCCTTCTCCTCCTCCTTCGCCTCCTCCCTCACCACCGGCCGGTCATGCAGAGCCACGTAGCACTTGACAGCGCCCACGGCCCCCTGGCAGAAGAAGGGGAAGGCGTGCAGATGGTCCTCCCAGCGCAGCGTTGCCACGTAGGCCCTCAGAGTCATCTTGCGCAGACAGTAGGTGTGGAAGTCGAATTGATCCTCGACCTGGGTGGGGGATGGGGGAAGGAGGAGGGGGAGAGGAAGGGAGGGGAGTCAGACTCACCTCAAAGGAGCGTGACCCTGTAGCACATGGCAATCTTACCATGTGACATGCCAAAAGCCGCAGTGACATGTTGTTGTTCTAGTGCCTGTGGACAGCCGACCAGGGAGCTCCTTAACATCACACCTCCAAGGCGCTCTCTTATGGGTCGACTCATAAGTCACCTCTTTTGGGTCGACTCAAAAGTCACCTCTTTTGGGTCGACTCATAAGTCACCTCTTTTGGGTCGACTCATAAGTCACCTCTTTTGGGTCGACTCATAAGTCACCTCTTTTGGGTCGACTCATAAGTCACCTCTTTTGGGTCGACTCATAAGTCACCTCTTTTGGGTCGACTCATAAGTCACCTCTTTTGGGTGACTCATAAGTCACCTCTTTTGGGTCGACTCATAAGTCACCTCTTTTGGGTCGACTCAAAAGTCAGCTTGCACAGCCGGCCAGGTAGCTCCTTAACATCACACCTCCAAGGCGCTCTCACCATGCATGCGACATGCCAAGCAAACGCTCAACTGACCAGGTGACTTTTGAGTCGACTCATAAGTCACCTCTCACCATGCGACATGCCAAGCAAACGCTCAACTGACCATGTCGTTATAGTGCTTGTGCACAGCCAGGTAGTTCTTCAACGCCCGCCCGTAGTTCTTCTGTCGCAGGTAGCTGTCGCCACTCTCCAGCTCGTACCTGCATGCAAGCAGTGGGGTGGGATGGGATGGGATGGGATGGGATGGGAGGGATGGGATGGGATGGGATGGTGGGATGGGATGGGGATGGGATGGATGGGATGGGATGGGATGGGATGGGATGGGATGGGATGGGATGGGATGATGGGGAGGGATGGGATTGCGGTTATGTTGAGGTTTCAAAACACATGTAGCCTGAGGTTCTTCAACACCCGGATCTGAAGATCCTCTGCCTCCACCAGCTAACTGTCCGGGAATCACTTTTGAGAATTCTCAAAAGTGATTCCCACTCAGGGTAACTGTCCCCACTCGCCAGCTCGTGAGTACCTGTGCGCAGCAGTGCCGTGAATGGGGAGCATGGTGGGGGAGAGGGGACACACGAGCTCGTATGGTACCTACATACGAGCTCGTATGGTACATACATAAGAGCCCCCCACCATGGCCCCCATTCCATGGCACGAGCTGCGCAGCAGTGCCATGGAATGGGGAGCATCATGGTGGGGGAGAGGGACATACGAGCTCGTATGGTACATACGAGGCCCCCACCATGCCCCCCATTCCATGGCACGAGCTGCGCAGCAGTGCCATGGAATGGGGGGGCGGGGCATCATGGTGGGTGGGGGAGCGGAGAGGGAGCGAAAAGGTGGTTGGGATGCGCTACCATACAACAATTGCATCCATCACATCACCTGCATCACATTCATCATACGACGCATCGCACCCACATGCACCGCGTTGCACTCACATGCCACCGCGTTGCACGCACCCACATGCACTGCGTTGCACTCACATGCACCGCACTGCACCCACCACTGCACTGCATGTCGAAGAGGTTCTCATGCTGGTCGCCGTGCTTCGTGAATAGCGCTGCTGTCTTTTCTGCCAAATCCACCTGACCCACACACACCACACGAGAGGAAAAGTGGAGGGGGAGAAGAGAGAGAAAGCACATGTACAAAGTCGGAGTCGACAGAAAAACAACACACAAGAGGATAGGGCACGAGTGGGGCAGCAGCGAGCACACGAGAAAAAAGTGCTCCCCTCCCCTTCTCTGCCCTTCGACCTGGTCGGCCTTGAGCATGAGACTGACAGCATCTGACTTGTTACTCAAACAACTCCCACCCTCCCCCCCACCCCCTTCCTCCCACCTGGTCCGCCTTGAGCATGTGGCTGACAGCCTCCAGCTCCAAGTTTGTGGTATCTACCTGCCAGGCCCAAGCTCCTCGCCTCATCTGCTCCCTCCAGTCCAGACCATCAGTCTCATTTCGAGTTACTTGATACTCAAAAAACTGTTTCCCCCTCCCTCCCACCTGGTCGGCCTTGAGCATGTGGCTGACGGCCCTCTGAGTTGAGGGTATCTGTCCGCCAGGTCTAGGCTCCTCGCCTCGTCTGCCAGCCGCGCTGCTGCTGTAAAGTCCCCCGCCCTGTCCAGGATGCGCGCCTGGGAGGAGGGAAAAGGAGAGAAAAGAGGGAAAGACGGAGAGGAGGTGGGGTTGGGGAATGTTAGCGGGCTGGGGCATTGCTGGTAGTGCTGCTGCTGTAAAGTCCCCCGCCATGTCCAGAATGCGCGCCTGGAGGAAAGGGCGAGCGGAAGGTGTGAAGAAGAAGGGAGAGGGAGAGGAGGCCAGCTGCGGAAAAGGGGAGGGGAGGGGGGGGGGGGTGCGGGACTGGACTGTTTAGCGCGTTGAGGCATTGCCGCATTGCCAGCCAGCCACGTTTCTGCTGTTAAGTTGTTTTAAAAACGCTTGTTGGCAAACCCAGAGACTCATTTCTGAGGCGCACCTCACCTCAGAAGAAGCAGACTGAGCTGCCCACCTTGCATTGCGCATCACAAGTTATGCTGTTAGCACAACACAGCAGACAAATGCCCACCCACCCACCGACCGTTAGCACAACACAGCAGACAAATGCCCACCCACCCACCGACCGTTAGCACAACACAGCAGACAAATGCCCACCACCCACCGACCGTTAGCACAACACAGCAGACAAATGCCCACCCACCCACCGACCGTTAGCACAACACAGCAGACAAATGACCACCCAACCACCGACCGTTAGCACAACACAGCAGACAAATGCCCACCCACCCCACGAGACGAGTTAGCACAACACAGCAGACAAATGCCCACCCACCCACCGACCGTTAGCACAACACAGCAGACAAATGCCCACCCACCCACCGACCGTTAGCACACACAGCAGACAAATGCCCACCCACCCACCGACCGTTAGCACAACACGCAGACAAATGCCCACCCACCCACCCACCGTTAGCACAACACAGCAGACAAATGCCCACCCACCCACCGACCGTTAGCACAACACAGCAGACAAATGCCCACCCACCCACCGACCGTTAGCACAACACAGCAGACAAATGCCCACCCACCCACCGACCGTTAGCACAACACAGCAGACAAATGCCCACCCACCCCCGACCGTTAGCACAACACAGCAGACAAATGCCCACCCACCCACCGACCGTTAGCACAACACAGCAGACAAATGCCCACCCACCCACGACCGTTAGCACAACACAGCAGACAAATGCCCACCCCACCCACCGACCGTTAGCACAAAACACAGCAGATAAATGCCCACCCACCCACCGACCGTTAGCACAACACAGCAGACAAATGCCCACCCACCACCCACCGACCGTTAGCACAACACAGCAGACAAAATGCCCACCCACCCACCGACCGTTAGCACAACACAGCAGACAAATGCCCACCCACCCACCCACCGTTAGCACAACACAGCAGACAAATGCCCACCCACCCACCGACCGTTAGCACAACACAGCAGCAAACAAATGCCCACCCACCCACCGACCGTTAGCACAACACAGCAGACAAATGCCCACCCACCCCCACCGACCGTTAGACAACACAGCAGAGACAAATGCCCACCCACCCACCGACCGTTAGCACAACAAAGCAGACAAATGCCCACCCACCCACCGACCGTTAGCACAACACAGCAGACAAATGCCCACCCACCCACCGACCGTTAGCACAACACAGCAGACAAATGCCCACCCACCCACCGACCGTTAGCACAACACAGCAGACAAATGCCCACCCACCCACCGACCGTTAGCACAACACAGCAGACAAATGCCCACCCACCCACCGACCGTTAGCACAACACAGCAGACAAATGCCCACCCACCCACCGACCGTTAGCACAACACAGCAGACAAATGCCCACCCACCCACCGACCGTTAGCACAACACAGCAGACAAATGCCCACCCACCCACCCACCGTTAGCACAACACAGCAGACAAATGCCCACCCACCCACCCACCGTTAGCACAACACAGCAGACAAATGCCCACCCACCCACCGACCGTTAGCACAACACAGCAGACAAATGCCCACCCACCCACCGACCGTTAGCACAACACAGCAGACAAATGCCCACCCACCCACCGACCGTTAGCACAACACAGCAGACAAATGCCCACCCACCCACCGACCGTTAGCACAACACAGCAGGCAAATGCCCACCCACCCACCGACCGTTAGCACAACACAGCAGACAAATGCCCACCCACCCACCGACCGTTAGCACAACACAGCAGACAAATGCCCACCCACCCACCCACCGTTAGCACAACACAGCAGACAAATGCCCACCCACCCACCGACCGTTAGCACAACACAGCAGACAAATGCCCACCCACCCACCGACCGTTAGCACAACACAGCAGACAAATGCCCCCCACCCACCCACCGTTAGCACAACACAGCAGACAAATGCCCACCCACCCACCGACCGTTAGCACAACACAGCAGACAAATGCCCACCCACCCACCGACCGTTAGCACAACACAGCAGACAAATGCCCACCCACCCACCGACCGTTAGCACAACACAGCAGACAAATGCCCACCCACCCACCGACCGTTAGCACAACACAGCAGACAAATGCCCACCCACCCACCCACCGTTAGCACAACACAGCAGACAAATGCCCCACCCACCCAGCCACCGTTAGCACAACACAGCAGACAATGCCCACCCACCCACCGACCGTTAGCACAACACAGCAGACAAATGCCCACCCACCCACCGACCGTTAGCACAACACAGCAGACAAATGCCCACCCACCCACCCACCGTTAGCACAACACAGCAGACAAATGCCCACCCACCCACCCACCGTTAGCACAACACAGCAGACAAATGCCCACCCACCCACCGACCGTTAGCACAACACAGCAGACAAATGCCCACCCACCCACCGACCGTTAGCACAACACAGCAGACAAATGCCCACCCACCCACCCACCGTTAGCACAACACAGCAGACAAATGCCCACCCACCCACCGACCGTTAGCACGACACAGCAGACAAATGCCCACCCACCCACCGACCGTTAGCACAACACAGCAGACAAATGCCCACCCACCCACCGACCGTTAGCACAACACAGCAGACAAATGCCCACCCACCACCGACCGTTAGCACAACACAGCAGACAAATGCCCACCCACCCACCCACCGTTAGCACAACACAGCAGACAAATGCCCACCCACCCACCCACCGTTAGCACAACACAGCAGACAAATGCCCACCCACCCACCGACCGTTAGCACAACACAGCAGACAAATGCCCACCCACCCACCCACCGTTAGCAACAACACAGCAGACAAATGCCCACCCACCCACCCACTGTTAGCACAACACAGCAGACAAATGCCCACCCACCCACCGACCGTTAGCACAACACAGCAGACAAATGCCCACCCACCCACCCACCGTTAGCACAACACAGCAGACAAATGCCCACCCACCCACCCACCGTTAGCACAACACAGCAGACAAATGCCCACCCACCCACCGACCGTTAGCACAACACAGCAGACAAATGCCCACCCACCCACCCACCGTTAGCACAACACAGCAGACAAATGCCCACCCACCCACCGACCGTTAGCACAACACAGCAGACAAATGCCCACCCACCCACCGACCGTTAGCACAACACAGCAGACAAATGCCCACCCACCCCACCGACCGTTAGCACAACACAGCAGACAAATGCCCACCCACCCACCGACCGTTAGCACAACACAGCAGACAAATGCCCACCCACCCACCGACCGTTAGCACAACACAGCAGACAAATGCCCACCCACCCACCGACCGTTAGCACAACACAGCAGACAAATGCCCACCCACCCACCGACCGTTAGCACAACACAGCAGACAAATGCCCACCCACCCACCCACCGTTAGCACAACACAGCAGACAAATGCCCACCCACCCACCGACCGTTAGCACAACACAGCAGACAAATGCCCACCCACCCACCGACCGTTAGCACAACACAGCAGACAAATGCCCACCCACCCACCGACCGTTAGCACAACACAGCAGACAAATGCCCACCCACCCACCCACCGTTAGCACAACACAGCAGACAAATGCCCACCCACCCAGCCACCGTTAGCACAACACAGCAGACAAATGCCCACCCACCCACCGACCGTTAGCACAACACAGCAGACAAATGCCCACCCACCCACCGACCGTTAGCACAACACAGCAGACAAATGCCCACCCACCCACCCACCGTTAGCACAACACAGCAGACAAATGCCCACCCACCCACCGACCGTTAGCACAACACAGCAGACAAATGCCCACCCACCCACCGACCGTTAGCACAACACAGCAGACAAATGCCCACCCACCCACCCACCGTTAGCACAACACAGCAGACAAATGCCCACCCACCCACCGACCGTTAGCACGACACAGCAGACAAATGCCCACCCACCCACCGACCGTTAGCACAACACAGCAGACAAATGCCCACCCACCCACCGACCGTTAGCACAACACAGCAGACAAATGCCCACCCACCCACCGACCGTTAGCACAACACAGCAGACAAATGCCCCCACCCACCCACCCACCGTTAGCACAACACAGCAGACAAATGCCCACCCACCCACCCACCGTTAGCACAACACAGCAGACAAATGCCCACCCACCCACCGACCGTTAGCACAACACAGCAGACAAATGCCCACCCACCCACCGACCGTTAGCACAACACAGCAGACAAATGCCCACCCACCCACCCACTGTTAGCACAACACAGCAGACAAATGCCCACCCACCCACCGACCGTTAGCACAACACAGCAGACAAATGCCCACCCACCCACCCACCGTTAGCACAACACAGCAGACAAATGCCCACCCACCCACCCACCGTTAGCACAACACAGCAGACAAATGCCCACCCACCCACCGACCGTTAGCACAACACAGCAGACAAATGCCCACCCACCCACCCACCGTTAGCACAACACAGCAGACAAATGCCCACCCACCCACCGACCGTTAGCACAACACAGCAGACAAATGCCCACCCACCCACCGACCGTTAGCACAACACAGCAGACAAATGCCCACCCACCCACCGACCGTTAGCACAACACAGCAGACAAATGCCCACCCACCCACCGACCGTTAGCACAACACAGCAGACAAATGCCCACCCACCCACCGACCGTTAGCACAACACAGCAGACAAATGCCCACCCACCCACCCACCGTTAGCACAACACAGCAGACAAATGCCCACCCACCCACCCACCGTTAGCACAACACAGCAGACAAATGCCCACCCACCCACCGACCGTTAGCACAACACAGCAGACAAATGCCCACCCACCCACCCACCGTTAGCACAACACAGCAGACAAATGCCCACCCACCCACCCACCGTTAGCACAACACAGCAGACAAATGCCCACCCACCCACCGACCGTTAGCACAACACAGCAGACAAATGCCCACCCACCCACCCACCGTTAGCACAACACAGCAGACAAATGCCCACCCACCCACCCACCGTTAGCACAACACAGCAGACAAATGCCCACCCACCACCGACCGTTAGCACAACACAGCAGACAAATGCCCACCCACCCACCGACCGTTAGCACAACACAGCAGACAAATGCCCACCCACCACCGACCGTTAGCACAACACAGCAGACAAATGCCCACCCACCCACCGACCGTTAGCACAACACAGCAGACAAATGCCCACCCACCCACCCACCGTTAGCACAACACAGCAGACAAATGCCCACCCACCCACCGACCGTTAGCACAACACAGCAGACAAATGCCCACCCACCCACCGACCGTTAGCACAACACAGCAGACAAATGCCCACCCACCACCGACCGTTAGCACAACACAGCAGACAAATGCCCACCCACCCACCGACCGTTAGCACAACACAGCAGACAAATGCCCACCCACCCACCCACCGTTAGCACAACACAGCAGACAAATGCCCACCCACCCACCCACCGTTAGCACAACACAGCAGACAAATGCCCACCCACCCACCGACCGTTAGCACAACACAGCAGACAAATGCCCACCCACCCACCCACCGTTAGCACAACACAGCAGACAAATGCCCACCCACCCACCCACCGTTAGCACAACACAGCAGACAAATGCCCACCCACCCACCGACCGTTAGCACAACACAGCAGACAAATGCCCACCCACCCACCCACCTTGACGAGGTAGGCATCCATGAGTGTGGGCGTGTGAGCAATCGCCTCGTCGATGATTGCCAATGCCTCCTCCACCTTGCCCCGCCTGTCCAGATGCTGCGAACAAGGGCAGCGCGAGACACAGAGAGCAGGAAAGAAAAACGGGAGATTACTACTGAAAGAATCGTTTCACACTAAGAAGGTAACCTCTGCAGAGTTGTAAAAAAAAAAAAAAAAAAAAAAAACCCACCTGTGGAAACTCATCTTTGTTCCTCAAGAGCCAATATACGGGATATCTTATTTACATACATACCTGAGCCATCAGATAGAGAAGCCAGAGAAGCACAGAGGGGTTTTCTTTGTCCTCTTCTGCTGACGAGTCACTGGAGGGACAGACAAGCGAGAGGCGGCAGAGAACAGAATCACAGAAACATACAAAGATTGGAACCCACGTGTGGAAGGAAAACATATGGTTGCATAGGCCATGGAACATACCTGGATCCTTTTGAGTGGACTCAAAAGAGGTAAATGTTTGGGCTGACTAAAGAAGACCAGATGGGGTTTACCTCTTAAGTTCCAATGGACATAGTAGAAGATTCAAGAACATACCTGGCGGGTCCTCCTTCCATCGAACCCAGTGTAAACACAGAAAGAAAGGTGTCGCGATTACCAGGAAACGAGGGCTAACGTAAATGGATATCAGCATCCTTGGGTTGAACTTGAGCGAGACGGAACTGTTAGATTATAGCATGCATATGGCTAGACCTAACAGTGTACACCCAAATCATGGGTGTACACATTCAGGAGGTCTCCCAACTTTTGGTTGGGTTACCACAACCCAAGAGACCATTATTGTTGGGGAGCCAACATTGGTGGCCAAACCCTCCAATGTTTGGCTCCTCCAATAATTGGGCTGGACCCTCACCACATTGGTCAACCAATAATGGTGGGGGGTAACCCTAACTTTGGTCACTCACCTCATGCACTATTTGTACTGCTCTTCTTTCTCAATATATCAACACTTCAGTTTCTCACATGGTAATCAGAGCTACAACGGTTAACACCGTCTCTCGATCCTAAGGACCACACCTATCGCGTGCCACATCACGCCCCCCTTACGCGACGTTACGTCGCTCTTTGCGTCTAGTGCGCGTCTACGCCGTCACGGCTCCCCTCCCCTTGCGCTAAATTCCAGCGCCCCTCCCCCCTTCCTACGGTCAATTCCGCCTCTCACGGCCCTCCCCTCTCTCCTACGAACGAGCCCACCGTCGGAACGGCCAGCGCGACCGACGGGACGGCCAGCGCGACCGACGGGACGGCCAGCGCGACCGTCGGGCCGGCCAGCGCGACCGTCGGGACGGCCAGCGCGACCGTCGGGACGGCCAGCGCGACCGTCGGGACGGCCAGCGCGACCGTCGGGACGGTCAGCGCGACCGTCGGGACGGCCAGCGCGACCGACGGGACGGCCAGCGCGACCGACGGGACGGCCAGCGCGACCGTCGGGACGTTGACCGTCGTGACCTACATTACGGACGGGCGCCATTGCCACGACGAACACGGGCGCTCGTCGTGACCTAATCCGTCGCCGCCTCTACCTTCCGCCGACGCGGAGCAATCCGCCGCCCACGCGACCTGCCTTTGTCGCTTCTTGCCGCAGCTGCTACCACTGTCGCCACCACACGGTCTCATAGCCTCCACGGTCTCATGTCGCGGCCTCACGCCGTCGCAATACGCCAACGTCGCCGCCTGATGCTGCCGCGACCCCTACGACGACGTCGCCGCCGCTCTCACCTCTCCAGCCACGACTACTAGCCGCAGCCAACTCACCGCACACTCCCACCTCCTCCTCTCCCCGCTCTCCTCAAGCCCTCCAGGCCTTCTCTCCTCTCGCTGCCTCCTCCTCAGGGCCTTCCAGCCCTCCTCCCCCCTCGCTTCCTCCTCGTAAGGGCCGTCCAGCCCTCCTTTTCCCCTCGCTTCCGCATCTCCCCTCGATTCCTCCTCCTTAGGGCATTTCAGCCCTCCTCTCCCCCTCGCTTCCGCATCTCCCCTCCATTCCTCCTCCTCAGGGCATTTTCAGCCCTCCTCCCCCCTTGCTTCCTCCTCCTCAGGGCATTCCAGCCCTCCTTCCCCCCCTCACATCCTCCTCCTCAGGGCACTTCAGCCCTCCTCCCCCCCCCTCACTTCCTCCTCCTCAGGGCACTTCAGCCCTCCTCCTCCGACCTCGCTTCCTCCTTCGGGCCATCCAGCCCTCCTCCCCCTTCCCCCTCGCTTCCTCCTCCTTCGGGCCATCCAGCCCTCCTCCCCCTTCCCCCTCGCTTCCTCCTCCTTCGGGCCATCCAGCCCTCCTCCCCCTTCCCCCTCGCTTCCTCCTCTTTCGGGCCATCCAGCCCTCCTCCCCCTCCCCCCTCGCTTCCTCCTCCTTTGGGCCATCCAGCCTTCCTCCCCCTTCCCCCTCGCTTCCTCCTCCTTAGGGCCATCCAGCCCTCCTCCCCCTCCCCCCTCGCTTCCTCCTCCTTCGGGCCATCCGGCCCTCCTCCCCCTTCCCCCTCGCTTCCTCCTCCTTCGGGCCATCCAGCCCTCCTCCCCCTTCCCCCTCGCTTCCTCCTCTTTCGGGCCATCCAGCCCTCCTCCCCCTCCCCCCTCGCTTCCTCCTCCTTCGGGCCATCCAGCCCTCCTCCCCCTTCCCCCTCGCTTCCTCCTCCTTCGGGCCATCCAGCCCTCCTCCCCCTCCCCCCTCGCTTCCTCCTCCTTCGGGCCATCCGGCCCTCCTCCCCCTTCCCCCCTCGCTTCCTCCTCCTTCGGGCCATCCAGCCCTCCTCCCCCTTCCCCCTCGCTTCCTCCTCTTTCGGGCCATCCAGCCCTCCTCCCCCTCCCCCCTCGCTTCCTCCTCCTTCGGGCCATCCAGCCCTCCTCCCCCTTCCCCCTCGCTTCCTCCTCCTTCGGGCCATCCAGCCCTCCTCCCCCTTCCCCCTCGCTTCCTCCTCCTTCGGGCCATCCAGCCCTCCTCCCCCTCCCCCCTCGCTTCCTCCTCCTTCGGGCCATCCAGCCCTCCTCCCCCTTCCCCCTCGCTTCCTCCTCCTTCGGGCCATCCAGCCCTCCTCCCCCTCCCCCCTCGCTTCCTCCCCCTTCGGGCCATCCAGCCCTCCTCCCCCTCCCCCCTCGCTTCCTCCTCCTTCGGGCCATCCAGCCCTCCTCCCCCTTCCCCCCTCGCTTCCTCCTCCTTCGGGCCATCCAGCCCTCCTCCCCCTCCCCCCTCGCTTCCTCCTCCTTCGGGCCATCCAGCCCTCCTCCCCCTTCCCCCTCGCTTCCTCCTCCTTCGGGCCATCCAGCCCTCCTCCCCCTCCCCCCTCGCTTCCTCCCCCTTCGGGCCATCCAGCCCTCCTCCCCCTCCCCCCTCGCTTCCTCCTCCTTCGTGCCATCCAGCCCTCCTCCCCCTCCCCCCTCGCTTCCTCCTCCTTCGGGCCATCCAGCCCTCCTCCCCCTCCCCCCTCGCTTCCTCCCCCTTCGGGCCATCCAGCCCTCCTCCCCCTTCCCCCTCGCTTCATCCTCCTTCGGGCCATCCAGCCCTCCTCCCCCTTCCCCCTCGCTTCCTCCTCCTTCGGGCCATCCAGCCCTCCTCCCCCTCCCCCCTCGCTTCCTCCTCCTTCGGGCCATCCAGCCCTCCTCCCCCTTCCCCCTCGCTTCCTCCTCCTTCGGGCCATCCAGCCCTCCTCCCCCTTCCCCCTCGCTTCCTCCTCCTTCGGGCCATCCAGCCCTCCTCCCCCTTCCCCCTCGCTTCCTCCTCCTTCGGGCCATCCAGCCCTCCTCCCCCTTCCCCCTCGCTTCCTCCTCCTTCGGGCCATCCAGCCCTCCTCCCCCTTCCCCCTCGCTTCCTCCTCCTTCGGGCCATCCAGCCCTCCTCCCCCTCCCCCCTCGCTTCCTCCTCCTTCGGGCCATCCAGCCCTCCTCCCCCTCCCCCCTCGCTTCCTCCTCCTTCGGGCCATCCAGCCCTCCTCCCCCTCCCCCCTCGCTTCCTCCTCCTTCGGGCCATCCAGCCCTCCTCCCCCTTCCCCCTCGCTTCCTCCCCCTTCGGGCCATCCAGCCCTCCTCCCCCTCCCCCCTCGCTTCCTCCTCCTTCGGGCCATCCAGCCCTCCTCCCCCTTCCCCCTCGCTTCCTCCTCCTTCGGGCCTCCCAGCCCTCCTCCCTTCGCCGCCGCAGCTCTCCCGCTGCCGCCGCCGTTCCCTTCGCCGCCGCGGCTCTCCCGCTGCCACGGCCATTTCACCGCCCTGCCATCTCGTGGTCGCCAACGCTTCCTACCCCACCTCGTAGTGGCCTGCTCTGCCACCTCCCGCTGCCGCCGCCGTCTCCCTTCCTCACCTGCAGCAGCCCCCCCCTCCCTGCTGGTGTGCGACCTCACCGCCACAGCACCTTCGGCTGGCTTGCTTCCTCACCTGCAGCAGCCCCCCCTCCCTGCTGGTGTGCGACCTCACCGCCACAGCACCTTCGGCTGGCTTGCTTCCTCACCTGCAGCAGCCCCCCCTCCCTGCTGGTGTGCGACCTCACCGCCACAGCACCTTCGGCTGGCTTGCTTCCTCACCTGCAGCAGCCCCTCCTCCCTGCTGGTGTGCGACCTCACCGCCACAGCACCTTCGGCTGGCTTGCTTCCTCACCTGCAGCAGCCCCCCCCTCCCTGCTGGTGTGCGACCTCACCGCCACAGCACCTTCGGCTGGCTTGCTTCCTCACCTGCAGCAGCCCCCCCCTCCCTGCTGGTGTGCGACCTCACCGCCACAGCACCTTCGGCTGGCTTGCTTCCTCACCTGCAGCAGCCCCCCCCTCCCTGCTGGTGTGCGACCTCACCGCCACAGCACCTTCGGCTGGCTTGCTTCCTCACCTGCAGCAGCCCCCCCCCCTCCCTGCTGGTGTGCAACCTCACCGCCACAGCACCTTCGGCTGGCTTGCTTCCTCACCTGCAGCAGCCCCCCCCCTCCTCCCTGCTGGTGTGCGACCTCACCGCCACAGCACGTTCGGCTGGCTTGCTTCCTCACCTGCAGCAGCCCCCCCCTCCCTGCTGGTGTGCGACCTCACCGTCACAGCCCCTTGGCTGGCTTGCCTCCTCACCTGCAGCAGCCCCCGCTCCCGGCTCGCGTGCGACCTCACCACCGCAGCACCCCTTGGCTGGCTTGCCTCCTCACCTGCGGCAGCCCCCGCTCCCGGCTCGCGTGCGACCTCACCGCCGCAGCACCCCTTGGCTGGCTTGCCTCCTCACCTGCAGCAGCCCCCGCTCCCGGCTCGCGTGCGACCTCACCGCCGCAGCACCCCTTGGCTTGCTTGCCTCCTCACCTGCAGCAGTCCCCGCTCCCGGCTCGCGTGCGACCTCACCGCCGCAGCACCCCTTGGCTGGCTTGCCTCCTCACCTGCAGCAGCCCCCGCTCCCGGCTCGCGTGCGACCTCACCGCCGCAGCACCCCTTGGCTGGCTTGCCTCCTCACCTGCAGCAGCCCTCGCTCCCGGCTCGCGTGCGACCTCACCGCCGCAGCACCCCTTGGCTGGCTTGCCTCCTCACCTGCAGCAGCCCCCACCCCTCCCGGCTGGCGTGCAACATCATCTGCCGAAGCGCTCTTCCCTTCGGACGTTTGCTTGTCCGATCACCGCTCTACCGGTTCCTTGTTTCAGGGGTTGTTTGGTCTAGCCCTTATCATGCTATGGGGGTGTGTTAGATTATAGCATGCATATGGCTAGACCTAACAGTGTACACCCAAATCATGGGTGTACACATTCAGGAGGTCTCCCAACTTTTGGTTGGGTTACCACAACCCAAGAGACCATTATTGTTGGGGAGCCAACATTGGTGGCCAAACCCTCCAATGTTTGGCTCCTCCAATAATTGGGCTGGACCCTCACCACATTGGTCAACCAATAATGGTGGGGGGTAACCCTAACTTTGGTCACTCACCTCATGCACTATTTGTACTGCTCTTCTTTCTCAATATATCAACACTTCAGTTTCTCACAGGAACTGAGCCCTAGAGTGCTAGAGAGGAGAGGGAACCTGGGAGGGCACCTGAGAAAACCCCTGAGAGGGGTACCTGAGAGGGCACCTCAGAGGGCACCTGAGAGGGTACCTGAGAAAACCCCTGAGAGGGGTACCTGAGAGGGCACCTCAGAGGGTACCTGAGAGGTGGGAATTTCCCGGAAGAGCGGATGGATTGGAGCGTGGTTGTGAAGACCCTGTCCATGATGTCCGCCTGTGCGGTCAGGAGGGGTGCAATGGGGTTTCGAGTGGAAATAGGAGGGAGAAAACAGAACATGAGAACGGGAATATTGCTGAAAGAGCCACTAGAGTGGAATGGATTGGAGCATGGCTGTGAAGACCCTGTCCATGATGTCAGCCTGAGGAAGAGGGGTGGGTACATGAGGGCATGTGACGACGGACGGGGTGCCTGAGTGCAAATGAAAGTGAAAAAGGAAACTCCTTCAGAAGCTTCTGTGCCGATTTGCCACCGATTGTGACGCTCACCTTTCTAGGCTGGTCACGACGAGTCATGCCAGAGCAGCTTGATGTCAGTGATTTTCGAGAATTCTCAAAAATCGCTCACAAGGACTACAAGTCTCAGAGGGCAGTGAGGGATGGGATGGGATGCCCTTGCATCGACTCCCAAGGCACCTTGCCTTGCTTGCCACTTTCCCCTCTCACCCTTGCTTCGTAGACCGACTCAGGTTCCTTGGTAAACCTTGGATCTTCATTCACCTTCCCTCCCTCCTGACCTTGCCTCTCTGCTCACCTTGCCTCTCTGATGGGGTTTGTTTCTCTGTCCTAAACAACAAGAGATTGATGGAAATAAGGCCTCCGCAGCCCACCTGTTCGACTTCGACAGTTCCTTCCTGACTATGCCTCTCTGCTCACCTTGCCCGGCTGGTCGTAGAGCGGTTCAAGGTCGGAGAAGAGGGAGGGGATGCCCTTGCGGATGAACCGCCTCACATGTGGCTGCAGTGCTGCCTCAAAGTCCGCCCCTTGGAGGAAGTCCAGCGGTATTCTCTGGACGAAGGGAGAGAGGGATAGCAGCGCAGAGGGGGGAAGGGAGCGTGAGCTGAGAAGGGAAGCACTTTCATTGCAAATGGCGCGTGTGCGGCTGCAGTGCGGCCTCAAAGTCTGCCCCTTGGAGGAAGTCCAGTGGTATTCTCTGGCACATTTGAGCACAGCATGAAAGGGAAGGGGAAGTCGAGTTGAGAAAGGAAGGGCTATTGTTGCGGATCACACGGCATGCGGCTGCAGTGCGGCCTCAAAGTCTGCCCCTTGAGGGACGTCCAAAAGGTATTCTCTGGCGGATGTGAGTGCCAGTATAAGGGGGAAGAGAGCGCAAAGAAAGTGCATTTGGAGCAGTTCCGCAATCCCCTCCTTGCAGCAAGAACAATACTCTCACCTTAGCAGAACCTACATGCAGTCAGCGTCTCACCTTAGCAGCACCTAAATGCAGTCAGCGTCTCACCTTAGCAGCAGCGGACTTGGGGTATTTCTCCTGCAGCCCTTTGAACAGCTCTTTCAGCTGCTCCAGCTGCTCGGGCATGTAGGAGGTCCCATCCGAGGCAGGCTTTAACCCCATGCATGCCTGCAGCCCCTCGTAGTGCTTGTAGTTGTCCGGGTTGATTGCCAGCAGAGCTTCATACTCGCTTCTAGCCTCCTCGCTACGCCCTGTAAGGTGCAGCAGCTCCGCCCTCTGCTCCCTCACTCCCAGCCTGTCCACCTGTGAGGCAACGAGGCAGCGACGAGGCAGTACAGACATGAGTTGACGAGGAGAAGCTTTTGAGAATTCTCAACAGTGACTTTTGAGACGTCCCAAAAGCAGCTCCGCCCTCTGCTTTTGAGACGTCTCAAAAGCAGCTCCGCCCTCTGCTCCCTCGCTCCCAGCTTGTCCACCTGTGAGGCAACGAGGCAGCGATCAGACAGATATGAGTTGACGAGGAGAAGCTTTTGAAAATTCTCAATAGTGAGGCAATGAAGCAGGGACGAGTCAGAGATGGGAGATATGGCAGACAGATAGATGGGGGACAGGCATGAGTCCCCACTCCTCCCCACTCCCTTACCTCCCTTGACCTCCCTGCACTGCACTGCACCCCACAGACTCACGATGTGGCGCTGCTTCTTGTTCAGCTCCTCCAGGGCCTCCGCTTGCTTGCCTGCCTCCGCCAGGAGGGAGAGCTGACACACTCACTCCACTGCTCACTCAAGGTAATCTGCCCCCACCCTTCCTTCACCTGTGGGAAGGGTTTCCCACCCTTGACCGTTTGACTCTTCCTTTCCACCTTCATCCTTCACCCCTTCACGCACTCCCTCCACTCACGATGTGCCGCCGCTTCTTGTTCAGCTCCTCCAGGGCCCCCACATGCCTGCCTCCGACAGGAGAGATATAGATGGCACATGCTCACTCCACTGCTCACTCAACGTGCTCTGTCCCCACCCACCCTTCCATCCTGCATCCCTTCATTCCCTTTGACTCACGATGTGCCGCTGCTTCTTGTTCAGCTCCTCCAGGGCCTCCGCGTGCTTGCCTGCCTCCGCCAGCAGCGACACCTGCAGCAGGCAAGGGGGGGGAAGGGGGGGGGGATGGAAGAGGGGCACGTCATTGGCGCACACAATAGTCACCACAATGACACACACGAGCAGGCACGTCTTGAGTCGACACAGAAGTTGCCTCTGCGTGCTTGCCAGCCTCCTCCAGGAGAGAAACCTGTGGAAAGGAATGACAAAACGGGCAGACAGGCATGTCTTTGGGAGTGCAAACTTCTTTCTGTTCGAACAAGGTTACCTTGAGCAGTTTATAAGGCACCTCAAAAGTTTTTTTTTAGGCGCCTCAAAAGTGCAAACTTCTTTCCATTCGAAAAAGGTTAACTTGAGCAGTTGAATTGCGCAGAAAGTTTTCCCGTTATAGAGCGATTACCTTACAAAGCAGCCTCTCGCTGTGCTCACACTTCTCCCCCTCCAGAAAAGGTTCCCTTAACATTTTGCAAAAGAGTTTCCATTTATAGCAAGGTTACCTTATAAAGAAGCATCTCGCTGTGTTCGTATTTGTCTCCATCAAGAGGGGACTCGTCCTCCAGAGTGCCTTCATACGCTGACAGGATCTGAGTTGCCACGTCCAACCTGTATGGTGGGATCGGATGGCATGCGGTGACGTGTGGTGGCATGCGGTGACATTTATATGGATGCAATGGAACCATTTTCCCTCCAAAGTGCCATCATAGGCTGTCAGGCTGACAAGATCTGAGCCACCACGTCCAGCCTGCATGGTGGGATGGGACGCGGTGACGTATGGTGGGATGCGGCGAGGTGCGGTGCGGTGCGGTGGGAATGCATGACATGCGGTGACAGTGACGGTGATCCAGTTTGCACGGTGGTCGGGGTTGAGGGTAAGAAGCTGTCAACCCAACCACAGATCACCCCTGCCCTCACCCGCCACAGCACACCAAGCCCACCTGACTGCACCTCACCTGCCTGCCTGCACCTCACCTGCCTGCCTGCACCTCACCTGCCTGCACCTCACCTGCCTGCACCTCACCTGCCATTGATATGGTTGGCGACAGCAAAGGCGATCCAGTTGGCGCGGTGGTTGGGCTTGAAGGTCAGCAGCTGCCGCCTGGACTCCACAAACCCCGCCGTGTCCCGCATTTGCACCTGCGAGCGGAGATTGCAGGGTGGATGTGGGAATTCTCAAAAAGACCAGCAGCCATTTGCACCTGCGCAGAACTGCAGGGTGCTTCTGAGCATTATTAAACAGGTCAGCAGCTGCCGCCTGGACTCCACAAACCCCGCCGTGTCCCGCATTTGCACCTGCACGGGGGGATTGCAGGAGGATTTCAAAGAAGGTCAGCAGCTAATTGCACGTGAGCATAAATTGAATGGAATCTTTTAGCATTCTCGGGAAGGTTAGCAGCTGCCTCCTCGACTCCACAAACCCCGCCGTGTCCCGCATTTGCACCTGTGAGAGCAGAGCAAAGCGGAAACATATTACACGCATCCAAACACACACAAGGCATGCATGCATGGGTGCATGGGTGCATTGTATGTACCAGCAAGAGGCTTCAGAGTTTGAGGGTTTGCTGGCTCCAAATTGTTTGGCGCCTGGCATACAGAATGCAATTGAATGAACATGCTTGCATGTGTAGATTGAGAATCACCTGCAGCAGCGAGATGGCCCACCTGCACTCACCCATGTGTAAATTGAGAATCACCTGCAGCAGCGATAGGTGGCTTACCTGCAACGGCGAGAGGTGGGCCACCTGCAGCGGCGAGTTAGCTTAACTGCAACGGCGAGAGGTCTTTGAGAATTACCTGCAGCAGCGAGAGGTCTTTGAGGATCTGCTGGTTGTTGGGGTCAATGCGCAGAGCATTGAGGTAGCACTTGATGGCGTCTCGATACTCCCGGTCCGACCGGTACAGCAGCCCGTACACATGCCAGCACACATGCGACGACAGGTCGAACTGTGACATGGGGGGGGGGGGGAGCAGAGGGGGGGGAAGGAGAGGGGGGTGGGTGGGGCCACAGCTTGGTGCCTCATAGTCATAAGCACATGTGCTGTGCTGCTGGCTTGAGGCCCTTAACCACAAGCCAGAACGTACGGGTGCAGCAAATACTCGAGCCCACCTCCATTAGCTCATGAGCAAAGCAACTACCACATATGCCGCCTGATTGACACTACCTGTAGCCTCTTGCTTGCACTGCACATCCCTTGCACACGAGACTGCAGGAACCAGGCCATAAGCTCCATCCATCCAATCCATTCATAAGCCTGAGTGACCTCCTGAGTGACCTCTCGAGTGACCTCCTGAGTGACCTCCTGAGTGACCTCCTGAGTGACCTCCTGAGTGACCTCCTGAGTGACCTCTCGAGTGACCATACCTTGAGGCCCTTGCGCACGAGCTCATAAGCCTGGGTCTTCTTCTCCATGCAGTTCATTATCAGGCCCTTCATCGCCAGGGTCTCTGGGGGCGGGAAAGACAGAAGATATACTCGATATAAGCAACTGCATTGCGGTTCATTACAAAAGCCTGGGTCTTCTTCTCCATGCAGTTCATTATCAGACCCTTCATCGCCAGAGTCTCTGAGGGAGGGTAGGACAGAAGATATTCTCGGTATAAGCCACTGCAGTGCGGTTCATTACGAAAGCCTGGGTCTTCTTCTCCATGCAGTTCATTTTCAGACCCTTCACTGCCAAGGCCTCTAATGTGGGAGATACTCACACTCAATATGAGTCACTGCATTGCAGTTCAATACGATTATACGCGGACCTGCGTCTCCTTTTCATGGGAGACGGAATTTAACGAGCGAGCAAATGGTTGGAGAGGTGGTGGATAAAGGCATGAAAAGGCTGGGAGGAGGAGGCGTGCGCGAAAGGAGTGCGAGCAAGCAGCACCACACCACAACCTGGCGTGACAGAAGAGCAGAGCAGACCCTGAATCTGAAGCACTAGCAAAAGCAAAAGCAAAAGCACAAGCACATGCACAAGCCCAATCCCAACCATGGCTCCATCTGTCCGTAGCATACCGCCATGCTCCGGAAACTTCTTGAGAATCGCATCCGCAGCCTTGAGCCCCTTCTTGTACTGCTTCGTCTCGTACGATTTCTGCAGGGGGGTGGTTTGGAAACGGGACAGGGACCCGACAGAAGGGGAGGAAGCATTGGATCCCTTCGTGCACTGATTCATCTCGTAGGACTTCTGCTTATATGGGGGATGGTTTCGGGGCAAGGAGGGGGCTGGAAAAGCCTTGAAGTCATCTGACGGCTCCGATAAACTACTGCTTTTGTGAGGAATGGTTACGAGTGAGTTGAGGAGAGTGAGTTGAGGAGAGACACGAGGCTTGAGAGCAGATGTAGTGCATCGCGATATCGCGCAACGAATAGCGCCGAGCATGGTGGTCACCTAGCGTTCTTGAAAGTTCTCGAAAACGCCATTCGCCACTGTAAATTGTATATCATGCAGGGAATAGCGCCGAGAATGGTGTTCACTGATCAGCTGGCGTTTCTGATCAGCTGGATTTGAGCTGGGACGTCCTTGTCAGTAGCAGGACTTGAAACGGGAAGAACCGCCAAGGCCTAATCAGCAGATGCGGTAGAATGGGATTTTATCTGCCATTTCACGACATGCTACATTTGCAGCGAAATCTCTTGAAAAAGGACCGTGGACTAGAGGATTTTTCACCCCACTCTTCTACAATGGAAGCACTGAAGGCTAAAACCCCGATCGCTGGCCAAACTGACAAACATCCACCAATGCAGGCAGATTATCAAAATATCTTGACGAGACGACGTTGTCCAAAAAACTAGCATAACGTCGGCGGCTGCGAACGCCGTTAGGAGAAGCGTTAACACGGCGAAGACTATTTCAACGATGTTTAAGTGACACTTGACGACGTCTGGGTGGGCAAATGAGGGAACCCTAGACGCTCTGGGATTAGCTACGGAGAGAGCAAGTGAATCTACGCCTACGCACCACAATAAGTTTGAACTGATTGGCCTCTTTCGTCGGAAGCTTCGTCCCCATCGTGCCTCCACAGCAAGAAACCTCGGCAGCTAGGATGAAACCGAAAGTGGGTCTATCCACGAGGCGAGCGAAACCCGACGCGCGAAACTGCCGGCACTAAAAATATTGCAGGACAGGACGAGGCTGATCAACAGTCTGGGAGCTTCACGACTTAAACAGAAAGTCTAAGAGGGGTTTAGACTAAGAGCCAGCACCCAAGTGCTGGAGAAAGGAAAGGAAAGCTCAACGCGAATTCTGTCCTGTTATTAGCCTTTCTGAGGGAGTTACTATAGAAAAAGCATCTGTCGCACTCGATTCTGTCACGCATGCTCCATTGATATGTTTCGGAACTTCATACAGTCGGTACAATCATTGCTTCATGATTCATCTCCTGCTTATCTTTTCGCAGTTATGTCTATACCGAACCGCTAGTTCTGGTTTGTTGCACTGCACCAGCTTGCCCTCCGGTGTGGCAACAGTCAAATGTTTCTTTCGGATTACCGAACCTCACCGAGCCCGTCCATTCGCCTGCGACGCGTGTAAAGCCGAACCGGACCAGCCATGCAACCACAGCTGAAGGCAGAATTCGGCGGCGCACAGCCGTCGCTTGGTGGTCGCCGGTTAGTCGTATTTCCATGGCTCTCCGTGCGACATGTCCATCACCATAAAAACTGAGCCTCGACGACAGGTCCGCTCGGCCCAAAACGGGGCAACTGCAGAGGTTCGAGCTAGTTTCGGAGGTTCGGTGTGCAGCAGGCGGTTCACAGCATAACCGCCACCAACCGTGGTGTAACAAACCTAAACTTTCTCAATCTCTCTGTTCGAAGGCATTTTCATTACGAGAGACCGCAGGGATTTGAAGGACACGGTAGGAGGGGCGCTCTGAAGGGCGTTCTGCTGAGCCATTCTCGGAAACTCCGCATTCCTTGGGAACTCCGTGTGGGTCATTACTCATGTCCTTTCAGCCGAGGTTACAAGAAAGCTCTTCTGGAAAGGTGGTGGATGAGTCAATAGGAGCCATCTTTCGGACCACACTTCGCTTGTTCACTTCACGAATCAGCACGCGCTCTTGAGCATCTGAAGTTCTGTGGAGGGGAATCTGTAGCTGCTTTTTGTGGCTTAGGTCCACACTGCTCGTCGCGTGGTCCGACTTCCTTGCTTCGTTCGACGGGGACGAAGCTACGCCGGTTGGTGACTTCATCTACGTGCTCGCTGGCTGCAGTCCCTTACAACCGCAAACGCTTTGTTCCGAAGGCAGTATCGCGGGTTCCAACAAATAGTTGCTTGCGGTTGCTCTTTTCACTGAAGCGTCCTTGCAGTAGATAGTCGCCGCTGCGAACAATCTGCCTTCTTCTGCCTTGAGCCACGCAACCTACCTTGAGTCACGCAATGGCTTGTTCTGGCTTCAGTCTACTGAGAGCTCCGAACCTGGCGTTCGCAGGCCCGCGGCCGTGGTGACCTAAGCTTGACGCGTGAGCATCTCTGTAGAAATCTCCGGATTTGGATTCTGACAAGGCGATGTTATCTTCCTATACTTCCCCTAGCTTCGCGATCGCTGAGTGGGTCTAGGACGGAAATTTTGGTGAATTGATTAGGTCCGCTTCTTAGATAGCTTAACGCGTAGATTAACGCGTCTCTAGGCCGTTACTTTGTTCCCTGGGGAGGTTGCGCGAGGCCGCGGGCCTTTCTCTCGAAATCCTCCACCTGGTAACCGTTCGCAATAGTCTGTCGCACCAGAGGCTGCACCAGTGAAGCGTGACCTTCAACCTAACGTGCGTTTGGATTGGATAGTGTTGCGACACTGCTAGCATCCTACCCGCTAGCATCCTACCTGGAGGTGGTTCGCGAATCAGGAAGAACTACTTATCTGCAGCGATGGGTAACAAGGTTACGAAGCGGCGGTATACGGTGGAGGAGCAGTACACGCACCCGCAGGGGCTGTACCCGCACCGCGACATCGACCTGAAGAAGCTCCGACGGCTCATTCTCGACGCCAAGCTCGCTCCGTGCCACGTGGGCGGCGACGAACCCAGCAGCGACCTGGATGAATGCCCTATCTGCTTCCTCGTGAGTGTTGAGAGTGGTTTCAGAGCTCAATTGAAAGTCACTTCTGAACGTAAGGTCGCTCCGTTCCACGTGGGTGGCGACTAACCCAGCAGCGACCTTGATGAATGCCCTATCTGCTTTCTGGTGAGTGTTGGTGGTTGAGAGGGCTGATAGTGCTTGTGGCGATTGCTAGTCGCATGTGCGTTGCTTGTACGGACTGTGGATTTCATTCACAAGAACTCCCTTGCTTCGGTTATCCTGTCTTTTATGGCTCAGAAGTCCTGTGTCTCATGGTTCGGAAGTCCTGTGTCTCATGGTTCGGAAGTCCTGTGTCTCATGGTTCGGAAGTCCTGTGTCTCATGGTTCGGAAGTCCTGTGTCTCATGGTTCGGAAGTCCTGATGTACTCCTGATGTATTCCTGCTGCTGACCTCATCCCTTCTTCTCACAGAACTATCCATGTCTAAATCGATCGAGATGCTGCAAGAAGGGCATGTGCACAGGTAACGTCCCTTTCCCTGCTCCACGTCGCACTGCCATCATCCGCCGTAGCTGACGCACTCTACTTTGCAGCAAGGAATGCCAACAAAAAAAAAACAAGTAGTGAAAAGCGGCTGCATGCAAACAACAAGTGTTGCTGCTTGCTCACACTCTCCGTTTTTCCTTTCCTTTTTTGCCATAACCCCCTTCTCAGAGTGCTTTCTGCAGATGAAGTCCCCAACGGCTTCCAGCATGTTGCAGTGAGCCCCACCCAGCCCTTCACTCCCCACCCAGCCCTTCACTCCCCACCCAGCCCCTCCCTCACTCATGCTCTCTCGCTTCTTTCCCCGCCACTATTGTTTTCCACTATCTCTTCTCCCTCCTCCCTCCTCTCTCCTCCTCCTCCTCCTCCTCCTCCTCCTCCTCCTCCTCCTCCTCCTCCTCCTCCTCCTCCTCCTCCTCCTCCTCCTCCTCCTCCTCCTCATCCTCCTCCTCCTCCTCTTGTTTTTTTATTGCCTTGTCTCCCCTCCCCCCCCCTGTCACCACTTATCACCTTCTATCACCGCTCATCATCCTCTCTTGCTGCTTATCACCTCCCAGGTGTCCGTTTTGCAAGGCGCCAACGTTCTCTGTGGAATTCCGGGGGAAGCGCACAGCAGAGGAGAGAAACGTGGAGCTAGAGGTACGATGCGGTTCAGTTGGGTCAGAATGTTTGCCTTTCAGTCGTGCAGGTGCCTGCTCTGTCTTAGAGTCGACTCTGAAAGGGGTATGCTGCGGTTGAGTGGAGTCAGGATGGTTGTTGCTAGGTTGGGCAAGCGCCTGCTCTGTTTTGAGTTCACATTTCGTTTCTCATAGGCTGTTGGTTCAACTTTTGTTCGTCTCAACTTCGCACCTCACCACAATTCTTTTTTCTTCCTGTTCCATTCGTGTTTCGCCATTTCGTATTCTGAGCAGGAAGAGCAGAAGGTGATAGAAGCAAAGATAAGGATGCGGCAGGAGGAGGAGGAGGCGTATGCAGCCAGGGTGGCCGAACGTCAGGCAGCAGCAGAAGCTGCCTCTTCCCTCAATTCCTCCTCCACCTCCTCCGCGCTCCCTCCCACCACCCCCCCTCCCTCTCGCATCCCTCCAATTCCCCCGACATCTGCTGCTGCTGCTGCCACGTCGTCGGTAGCAGGAGAAACAGCAGGGGAGACAGGAGAAGCAGGAGAAGCAGCAGAAGCCGAAGCAGCAGCAGCAGCAGCCAGTGGTAGCAGCGATACAGGTATAGGCGTCCTCCGTTCCTCCCTGCAGCTCTCCTCCTCCGCCTCGTCCTCCTCCCGAGAGAGGGGGGGCATAGGCCGCTCCACCTCCCGCCATCTCACCAGCAGTAACAGCAGCCGCGGTGGTAACCAGACGACCAGTCACAACTGGTGGGAGGGGCCGTTTGCAGGAGGAGGAACAGGGGCGGGAACAGGTGTGCGGCCAAATCAGCTGCATTTGCCTGGCGGGGGGGGGTATTCCCCTGGCGAGAATGATGGTGGGGGGAGGTATGGGGCCGGTGGTGGGGCAGGTGGAGTAGGGGGTGGGGATGGGGGTGAGGTTTGGGCTGGAGGTGCGGTTAGGGGTATGATGCCTACATATGGTGTGGGGGGGAGAGCTGGTGGCCGGGGAGGGGGAGGGGGAGGGGGAGGCGGAGAATTGGCCGTCCCAAACTTTGGTATATGGCCCGATGAAGGTGATGATGATGATGGAGATACGATCTATCGCAACATGGCACACCATCGCCTGGAGCTTGAACGAGCCCGCCGCAGAGCTGCTGCTGCTGCTGCTGCCGCTGCTGCTGGTGCTGCTGCTGCTGCTGGTGCTGGTGCTGGTGGTGCTGGCGCTACAGCCGGTGCTACAGCTGCCTCCGTTTCCTCCCCCACTGGCAGCTCCAGCAGCAGCACCCGAGCCTGGTACCCAGGCTCGGTGGAAGGGGCAGGCTTGGCAGTGGGAGCCAGGGCAGGTTCGGGAAGATATGGTTCCGGGTCAGGGAGAGGCGTGGGAGCAGTGGGGGGAGGGCCAGGTGCAACTGGTGCTGCAATGGGTGCTGCCAGCAGCCATGGGTCCACTGTCTCTCCCAGGCTCTCTCCTTCCAGGTAGGCTTCTTCTTGTCTGCCCATGTGGCTCTCTGCCCCATACATGGGCAACGAGTGTAGGGTTTTTACTCGACTCGTTCGAAATGCTCGTTGGGGGACGAGTGGCGAGCATGATTTTTTGGCAAAATTACTCGTCCGAGTCGAGCCGAGTAATTCTCGCCGAGCTTTTTATACTCGTCACATGCTCGTGCGCTAAGACGAGCATTTTCGTGCTCGTTTTATGCTCGACGAGTTTTTTTTTTGCTCGTCGAGCATGTAAAGCTTGTCGCGTAGAATTTGCCCGGGGGTCAAATTTGGCGGGAAAATTTGACCCCAGATCTGAACCCGGCAAATGTTCCCAACCACTTTGCGTATAGGATCGACAACATTTGCACATTCAACGGCTCAATGCCTAGTCGTCACCCTACCCACGCAACTCTAAGCTTAGCGCGCGCCATGTTAGTGTCGCCAGTGGCTTGTTGAAATAGGTCGCATTTGGTACTGTATAAGTAGGGCAACAGGTGCACGCAGATAGGGGCGAGTCGAGTATTTAAATCCTCGGGCGAGTATTCTCACATACTCGCCCGAGTATGTACCAAAACGACGAGCCTCGAGTAGGCCAAAAGTACCAAAATGCTCGTTCGAGGTTTTCTCGACTCGGGGCAAATGATCAGCGAGCATGGCCTGTGACGAGTCGAGAATTACTCGCCTCGTCACTTTGACCATGTATACTCTGCCCCTTCTGTGTTTCTCCCCCTTTGCGTTTCTGCCCGTGTTCGTTTCTCCTTGTTCCCGCATGGTTCCGTGGTCTCTCCTGCACCTCTTCCACCTCTTGTGGCACCATCAAGCCGCTTTCTTCCGTTGCTGAACCTCCCGTCACTCTCTCTTTCCTTGCTGCGCTATCGTGGCTCCTCCCCTGGAATTCCGTCCTTTTGTGTCCTTTCTCATTTGATGCTTAAAGCCTTCCCTCTCCATGCCTCTCCCGCATCACCCCTCTCCTGCGTGCACCTTTTCTGCCTCCGAATCTCTATGTGTCTCGTGTGCCATCAGGGCGGAGGAGCTGGGAGTGGATTCGGAGGAGCTGCTGCTCATGGAGGCCGTCTCAAAACACCATCTGGCTCTCTTCTGTGTCCTTCCTCTGTCCACGCATGATGCCTCCCCTCCCCGCACGTCCCCCATCCACGCATGATGCATCATTCCATCCCTGTCCGTGCTTTTCTGTCTCCCGTGTTCCCAATCGCCATGTCGCTTCCATGTCGTCCGTGTGCCATCAGGGCGGAGCTGGGAGTGGATTTGGAGGAGCTGCTGCTCATGGAGGCCATCTGGCTCTCGCTGCAGGTACGCCTTGCTTGCTATGCCCCTCTCTGTCCAGGTGCTACCTGCTGTACTTCCCTTCGTGCTCTGCTTGTCTTGCCTTTTTTGGGAGTCAGTAATATTGGAGGAGCTGTTACTCATGGAGGTCAACTGGCTCTCGCTGCAGGTGCTTGCCCTCTATCCTTGCTTGCAAGACGTCTAGTTTAGATGAGAGCTGGTGGAAGTCAAGCATACGTGATAAAAGAGATGTTTTGAGACGTCTCAAAACATCTCTTTTATCACGTCCCTCTATCCTTGCTTGTGGAAGTCTAGTGTAGATGAGAGCTGGTGGAAGTCTAGCACTCCTTCCGCCTTCCTTGCTGCATTTCTCTCTACCTGCTACCCCATGCGCATGTAATCTGGAAAATACGTGCTCTCACATTCTTTTCCTCACCTCCTTTTCCCTCGCCGGCATTTCTGTCCCTGTCCCCCACTTCCTCCCTGCCTACCCCTTTCTCCTCGACCCGGCATCAGGATCAAGAGGAGACAGCTCGCCGCACATTGGCTTCAGCTTTGTCACCAGCAATTTTTTGGTCAGCTGGAAAAAAAACGCATGTTTAGTCGACTCAAAAAATCTTTTCCTTTCCCTTCCCTACTTGGCCTCCCTCCTCAACCCGGCACCAGGATCAAGAAGAGGCAGCTCGCCGCACATCAGCTTCAACACCAGCAGCTGCAGCAGCAACATCAGCATCAGCTTCAGCATCAGCAGTTGCCACTGACGCAGCCGCAGTAGCTGCACCAAGGGCGGCTGAGTCTGCAGCAGCAGCAGCAGCCAGCTTTGTGGCATCAGAGCTATTGTCAGCAGCAGCAGCAGCAGGTGCAGGTGTTGCAGGAGTAGCAGTAGCAGCAAATGCCACGACAATTCCTGCTGCAGCAAGCTTTGATGTGGGTGGGGAGAGTCTGGGTGATATGCAGGGCCCTTCACAGACATCTGTAGCAGCAATGGCTCCGCAGCAGCAGGGGGGGATGCAGCGACAGCAGGACGATTCGCATGATGAGGAGGTGATTGAGAGCTTTCTCATGCGAGGGATTGGTGGTGGCGGGGAGGGTGGCGTGGGGGATGGCAGTGGGAGAACTACTCGCTGCTGCTGCTGGTGCTGCTGCTGGTGGTGGTGGTGATGATGCAGGGGGGGAGCAAGGGGGGGTGCCGCTGGTTGTTCCTGATGATTTTGAAGGGCAGATGCGCCTTGCGTTGGCGCTTTCCCTTATGGAAGCTGAACAGGCGGCTGCTGCGAGCAGAGGGGAGTAACAGTGTCCGCAAGCTGCTAGATTTGTAGCGTCTGCTGCAATTACAAATTGACTAGAAGAAGCGAGGGTCATATGAGTTGTCTGATTTCATACATCTGCATATTACTTGAAAAGTTATATAAAAGCTGCTGTAATTAGAAATCAGCATTTGTGTTTTTTTTTTTTTTGTGCTTGCTAGAAGCAACCACTGTACTCCCCTATCCGGCGGTCTTGCCGTGCACTTGGCTTGGAACCAACCACCCCCCACTAATTAGTTGCAGCGAACGGTCTCGTTTGCCGTCGCTTGTCATGTTTGTCGCCGCGCCAGTGACTCCTTCCGTCCGACCGACCATTGCCGGCCTTACGTGCGCTCGAACTGAACTTGCTATTGCTGCGAAACTTGGAGCTGCTGATTTTGTCGTCACGATAAATAATCTTAGGGTGAGGTGTGCAGTCCTACAATCAGGTGAAACTGGCCAGCGTGCTCTCGTCCATACTAACGGACACAACATCTTCTCGGAAATGGCAGATTCCGTAGGTGAAACAGCTTTAATGTATTTGATATGGAAACAGCCTTGTACCGCGTATAGACACTGATCGTCTTCCGTACTCATCCTTGCGTCTTCATCCCAGCAAGAGTCATTCTTAAGAAATCTCCAAATGGTGTGGTAGCTCGCCAAGTTGAACGCACTGCGTTTAGGGCAGATATAGTATAGGACTGGCCTATTCTTCGTTGTTCTCGAGGAATGCGTTCGAGTAGAGAAACAATTTCAAACCGTCTTTCGTTTCTTCCGTGAAGCGTAACGCACCCACCGGATCCTTAGGCCAATGGGAAAACCGCTAGGTTCTGGCGCTAGCCAGCAGAACCATGCCGTTCGGTGGTTGTCTGTGCGATGGCTACCGCGGTTACCACGAGACATGTCACGAATGGCGCTCCTGTTCTTCTTAGTTTTCGCATATGCGAGCACAACCCCCAGTGAGTTTGTGTTCCCTTATCTATTGTTCCAGTCTTGCATTTGTGAAACTGTCTCCGTTTTTGTGCAAGAAACACACCTTGGCTGTAACACCTCGCTACCCACTGGGTCAAAACGAGGGTGTTATTTGGCGCAGCGGATTGCCCTTAACACTAGCCCACAGGCGTTACATTGGCCGTTTTGTTCGGATCTCCGTAATTGACGGTCTGAGCTCTGTCATAGTCTTCATGCTCTTGGTTCCTTTGTTCGAGATTCTTTATTGCTCTTTCTTCTATCGTAATAAATTGCTGGTAGCATTTCAGTGAAATGCACCTCACCAGTTGTTTGTCAGCTTCCATACATTTTTAGCATAATCCATCCCTCACATATGCCGCCTGCCTTCCTTTTCTCTCTTACCATCCGACATGTCCGCAGTTAATTGGCCAATTCCAACAGCAGCACCATCATCTGCCAATACCCATCCCACAGATCCCCACGTACGTGACATTCCCACGATCACCACCAGCAGCAGCAGCAGCAGCAGCAGCAGCAGCAGCAGCTATAGCTACAGCAAGGCCCACAGCAGCGACACCCTTGACCACCAAATATTCGATACAAGCAGCTGTAACACCTCCAGGTTATGTATAAGAAGTCTTGTAAGCAAGCGGGTCTCACACCTGCTGCGACGGTTTCTGGAGAGCACAGGGAGCACAGAGCAGCAGCTGTTGGATGCATCCATAGGATCGGAAGGTTCAGATAGGATTGAGGAGAAGGAGAAGGATAAGGGGGATAGGAAGGAGGAGGATACGGAGGGGGGTAAGGGGGATGAGAGGAAGGAGGATAAGGAGGACAGGGAATGGGGACAAGGAGAGGGGCAGGTATGGCAGGGGAGAGCAGAGGCGGATTCGCCGTTTTCGAACCTAGAGTTGCTGCTGCCGTCAGCAAGAGCAGCGGGCATTTACTTTGTACGCCGACCAGAGGGGGGGGAGGAGGTGGGGGAAGGAGGAGCAGAAGAGGGGGAGGACGCGGAGCAGCATAAAGAGGAGGAGAGGGAGGATGACGAGGCGTGGTGGCCAGAGTTGCAGCATGAGGCAGTTGCCATGGCCGACCACACATTGCAACAGCACAACGGTCACCAAAACCTTCACCAGGACGACCTTCACCAGGACGACCTTCACCAGGACGACCTTCACCAGAACGACCTTCACCAGAAGCATCACCCGCCCGCCTTGCCTCTCTCGCACCCTCCCCAGTCCCGTTCTCCTCGGCGCCGCCTGAGCTTGCTCAAGAAAGTGTCGTCCGAGGATGACGTGGCACCCCCCTCGCGGCGCCGCCAGCTCATCATGAGCTGGCTGAAGGACGCATCTTCTGAGGACGACAATCCCGAGGCAACCCCCTCGCGGCGCCGCCAGCTCATCATGAACTGGTTAAAGGACGCGTGGGTGCGCAGCGTGGCGTTCCGCCTGAACGGCGACCCCCGGGAGGACCGCTTCCTGGTGGGCAGTCAGGAAGACCAGGGCTACCAGTGGCAGTGGACGGACGGAACTGTGGGGAGCAGCTGGCGCAGCCCCTTTGTGAAGAACTTGACACTGGATATGGATGTGAGTTGTACTCAAGGGGGTTTATGTCTGCCTGTCACGGGCTACCCTCTTGACTCTCCTTCCTCCCCTCTTCTCATCTTCCCATCCATCCTTCCTCGCCCTCTGTCGCAGGCTCTAGCCTCGTGTGCCAAGGTCCTCCCACCGGAAGTGTTTGACCAGCCCACGCCCATCCTCACCCCCATGCCTGTCACGGGCGACCCTCTTGACTCTCTTTCCTCCCCTCTTCTCATCTTCCCATCCATCCTTCCTCCCCTCTTCTCATCTTCCCATCCATCCTTCCTCGCCCTCTGTCGCATCGCAGGCTCTAGCCTCGTGTGCCAAGGTCTTACCTCCTGAAGTGTTTGACCAGCCCACACCCATCCTCACCCCCATGCCTGTCACGGGCTACCCTCTTGACCCTCCTTCCTCCCCTCTTCTCATCTTCCCATCCATCCTTCCTCGCCCTCTGTCGCATCGCAGGCTCTAGCCTCGTGTGCCAAGGTCTTACCTCCTGAAGTGTTTGACCAGCCCACACCCATCCTCACCCCCATGCCTGTCACGGGCTACCCTCTTGACCCTCCTTCCTCCCCTCTTCTCATCTTCCCATCCATCCTTCCTCGCCCTCTGTCGCATCGCAGGCTCTAGCCTCGTGTGCCAAGGTCCTCCCACCGGAAGTCTTCGACCAGCCCACGCCCATCCTCACCCCCATGCCTGTCACGGGCGACCCTCTTGACCCTCCTTCCTCCCCTCTTCTCATCTTCCCATCCATCCTTCCTCGCCCTCTGTCGCATCGCAGGCTCTAGCCTCGTGTGCCAAGGTCCTCCCACCGGAAGTCTTTGACCAGCCCACGCCCATCCTCACCCCCATGCCTGTCACGGGCGACCCTCTTGACTCTCTTTCCTCCCCTCTTCTCATCTTCCCATCCATCCTTCCTCCCCTCTTCTCATCTTCCCATCCATCCTTCCTCGCCCCCTGTCGCATCGCAGGCTCTAGCCTCGTGTGCCAAGGTCTTACCTCCTGAAGTGTTTGACCAGCCCACACCCATCCTCACCCCCATGCCTGTCACGGGCTACCCTCTTGACTCTCCTTCCTCCCCTCTTCTCATCTTCCCATCCATCCTTCCTCGCCCTCTGTCGCATCGCAGGCTCTAGCCTCGTGTGCCAAGGTCTTACCTCCTGAAGTGTTTGACCAGCCCACACCCATCCTCACCCCCATGCCTGTCACGGGCTACCCTCTTGACCCTCCTTCCTCCCCTCTTCTCATCTTCCCATCCATCCTTCCTCGCCCTCTGTCGCATCGCAGGCTCTAGCCTCGTGTGCCAAGGTCTTACCTCCTGAAGTGTTTGACCAGCCCACACCCATCCTCACCCCCATGCCTGTCACGGGCGACCCTCTTGACCCTCCTTCCTCCCCTCTTCTCATCTTCCCATCCATCCTTCCTCGCCCTCTGTCGCATCGCAGGCTCTAGCCTCGTGTGCCAAGGTCCTCCCACCGGAAGTCTTCGACCAGCCCACGCCCATCCTCACCCCCATGCCTGTCACGGGCGACCACCTCACAGCGCTCTCCTCGCCGCTCTTCGACCCACAGCCCCTCCCTGCATACGCTAACGAGGGTCTGAGAGGCAGGGAGGAGCAGGAAGGGCAGGGAGGGCAGGGAGGGCAGGGAGGGCAGGGAGCGCAGGGGGAGCCAGGAGAGCACTACCCTCAGCAGCAGTCTTCAGCTGAAGCGGCTCTTGCTGCCGTAGCAGCCTCCATGCATCCCCACACTTCTCACTCCTCTTCCTCCTCTTCCAGTGACGATCAACAGCAGCAGGAGCAGCAGCAGCAGCAGCAGCAGGAGAGGTACCTAGTGTGGTTCCCCCGCTTTGGCTTAGGCAACTCCCTGCGCGGATTCTGCTCTGCATACGTGTACGCGCTCCTATCAGGCAGGAGGTTGCTGCGGTGGCACGGGGGGAAGCACAGGGCAGTGCTTGATCATTTGTGTACCACGTTTGACTGCAGCGGCGTCGCGCCATTGGTCAATTTCACCGACGATATCCGCCACGTCAGCGAGCCTCTCGAGCTGCACGCGCCGCGGCAGGAGTTTCTTTCTGCCCTGCACTCCGGGCTGCCCGTGGTGCACGTGAACACGGGCAGCTTTTTCGATAATTTCTGGCATAAGAACGGGCGGCTGGCTCCCTGTGTGCAGAGGGCGTTTCACTGCCATAACATCTGGTGCGTGAGGAGTCATGCCATACATGCGTTGCTAGGGCATGGGCCTGTGTCTGAGCTTCAAGATGTGATTGAGGAGATCGTGAGGAGGAAAAGGTGGGGCGAGGGTGGGGGGAGCGAGGGTGGAGGACGGGGAAAGGGGGGTGTGAGGGAGAGTGAGAGTGAAGGAAGGGGAAAGGGGGGTGTGAGGGAGAGTGAGAGTGAAGGAAGGGGAAAGGGGGGTGTGAGGGAGAGTGAGAGTGAAGGAAGGGGAAAGGGGGGTGTGAGGGAGAGTGAGGGTGAGATGGAGAGGAAAGAGATGGGGATGAGTGGGGTGGGGAAAGGGATAGAGGGGAGAGAAGAGGGTGGGAGAGGGGAGAGCGGGAAGGAGAAAGGTGAAGGGGTTGGAAGGGGGGATGAGGAGAGGATGCGGTTAGGAGGAGAGGAGGGAGGGGTAGAGGGAGGGAGGGCGGAAAAAAGAGAGGGAGGGAGAGAGGGAGAGAGAGGGGATGGGAGATGGGGTGGTGGGGCAAGACGCAGGCTGGTTGGGAGGAGAGTGGGGGTAGAGGAGGTCGGAGCACCTGGCTTGAGGCTGCCTGGTGGTCGTGAAGAGAAAGAACAAAGCAGGAGAAGAGGGATGCTTGCAGGGCAAGAGCTTGGGAACAGCAAGGCAGGGGGGGATGAGGAGAAGAATGAAGTGCATGAGAAGGAGAAGGAGGAGGAGCAAATTGCGGGTAGAGGGACAGGCAACAACAGCAACAACAGCAACAGCAACAGCAGCTGTGGCAGTGGCAGCAGCAGCAGGAGCGGCAGCAACAGGTGGCAGCAATGGCCGACCTAGCACCTCAGCGACTATCACTTCAACTCCTATCAACTCAGCACCCGGCACTTCAGCATCGAGCACAGTACGACAGCTTGAGGAGTATGGCGCTGAAGGCACTAATGCGGACCAGGGAGGTGGAGCTGCAGTGTCTTCTGCTGCTAGCGAGTCAGCTTATAGCGAGGATGGTGGGGAGAACGAGCAGGTGGGCGGTGCGAGGGTGGATAAAGGCACGGGACTGCGGCTGCAATTCGATGTGGCCATTCAGATCCGCACAGCCACCAAGTGAGTCTTCTTTCAACAGTTCTTCATGCCCCTTCCTGCCCCTGCTCTTGCTCCCCTCCTCCCCTCTTCCCCTCCTCCCCTCCTCCCCTCCTCCCCTGCTCCCCTCCTCCATCCTTCCCCAACTTCAACCCCTTCCCTCCTCTCCCTAACCCCCCTGCCCTTCGTCCTCCTCGTTCCCCCAACTTCTCCCCACACCAGTTTGGTGGAGCACCCCTCGTGCCACGAGGCGGACAGGGAGTGTGAGCAGGAGCAGCAGCAGCTGAGAGCAGCAGAAGCAGCACACATGCAGCAGTTCCTCATGCCGGACAAGTGGGCCTGCATCTCCCGCCTCCTCCTCTTCCTCCGCACCCGCAAATCCGGCATCAAGCTTCCCAACCCCTCCAAGAACAACCCCGATCCGCTGGTTTTTTTTCTCCACTCCTTGGCTGGTCGGGCTGGTCGGGGGTTAGTGAAGGAAGAGGGTGGGCGGGGGTCCAAAAAATCGCGCAGTGCTGGGGATCTTGGGGATGGGTTGGAGGGGATTGAGAGCGGTGCTTTGTCGTCTCTGAAGCCGCTTTCCGTCTTTTTGGCAACTGACAACGAGAACCTGCGGCCGCAGTTTGTGGATAAGATCGGGCCGGTGGCCGGGGACGTCTTCTTCTCAACTGGTGCCGTCACTCACACGTCAAAAAGCGGTGGTGCTGCTGCTGCTACTGCTGCCGCTGCTGCTACAGCAGGAGGAGGAGCAGCCGGAGCAGGAGGAACAGGGGGCGTGGAAGGTAGACGAGAAGGGGAAGGAGAAGCACAAGGTTTGGACCACTCAGAGAGGCAGAATGGAGTGTCTGAGGAGCATTTTCTGCAGCAACCGTCCCCAACCATGGCTGAGTTTTTCCTGCTGAGTCGGGCTCGCGTGCTTGTGAGCTTCAATAAGTATGTCAGCACGTTCGCCATGTTTGCTTCCATGCTTGGAAATGGGACGTTGCTGGCGCTCCAGACAAGACCACCGACCGCTAGTCCTGTAGGCGGGTGCCATTTTCAAGTGGAGCATTTGGGGGGGGATGGAGGTGGCAAGACTGCAACATCTGGACGATGATTGCTGGACATTTTATTGTTATAGTGCAAACATAATGCACGTGTTCAACAGTGCATCACCTTTGTAGGAGGCAAAAGATAATTAAGGTTAGAATCTCTACACTTCCATTCTTCATTTATTTCAGTGAAGTGGTGTTCATAAGATGTTGCATCTCTACCCTCGAATATGAAATCATGTACGACAATATCGAGGATTTGTGCTAGCCTGTCACAGGCAGACCATAGAGGCGCGCATCGCATTCAAAATCTTCAGCGCTTCGGTAAGTGACACGCACAAACATGGCGATCCGTGACTCAATCGAGTATTGCGCAAGACCGCTCCGCTGTTCGTTTCCGTGCACAGAGATTGCTTGGGGTGTCCCTCTCTTTTCGCCTTGCCTTGACTCCCCCCGTCCCACCTCCTCGCCTCACCTCTCCTCTCTCCCTCCACGCATCGTCGCTTGATTTCACCTCTTATCATCATCTCTCCTCACCTCACCCCCCAAGTCAACCTCGATAGTATCTCGGCGCACAAAAGCAAGGCAATACAGGCCGCGTCCCGGTTCCAGTATTTGTTTCTGGAGCCCCAATCTATATTTGTCAGGTTTCTCTGGCTCAGGTTGTTCAACTCAGATTGTTTAGAAAGTTCCTAAGGAATTTGATTCAACAGCCCACCAACCATGCGTCGCCACACACTCCCCCGCGTGTTGCTTCTCGCGCTCTGCCTCTCCTCCTTCACCGCCGCGATCTCCGCGCAATGGATCAAAGGCTTCGTCGCGTCCTACTACGCGCTCCAGAACCGACCAAACGGCGCGTGCGGCTACCCCCAATTACACCACAACACCGCTTCCATGTCCACCGTGGGCTACGCTAACGGCAGCAACTGCGGCGCGTGTTTCCAGATGCGGTGCACCGGCCACCCGTCGTGCAAATCGGGAATTATGACGGTGCCCGTTACTGTCACGAATATCTGCCCGCCGGATGCGCCCGGCGGGTACTGCGCGAAGAATAAGCGAAGCATCACGCTGCCCAATCCTGTGTGGAATCAGATGTCGAAGGATCCATCGGCCGGGGTGGTTCCCGTGGAGATTAAGCGCGTCAGGTGCCGGCGCGTCGGTGGCGTCGCATTCAACATCACCGGGAAGGAATACTACGTGACAGGTGGGTAAATTATGTGCTTGTATCGGGCGTCGCCTCGCTGTTTAGAGGCGGTTGTGGGGACTGCGTCTCAGCCAGCATCTAGATTCCTAAATAATGCCGTTGTGTTTTCTTCTCGACCTGGTATCCGTCACATCGAAAATGGAGTACCATCCAACGTATTCGACTTTCATCGAAACCCATCAGCACAGTTCTGACGTTACCGTGTCGTCTCGCCCTTTTCCCCTGCAGCCATGCCTCTCAACGTGGCTGGATCTGGCGCCGTGAAGCGCGTCGACATCTCGATCGCGCGCGGCCCGTGGATGACGATGCGCAAGAGCTACGGCGCCGTGTGGGACATGCCCGGCCTGCCCGTGGTCGGCATGTCGCTCTCCTTCCGCCTCTGGCCCGCCCAAGGGCCTCTCCCGCTCGAGGCGTGGGACGCTGTCCCCGCGAATTGGGTTAGCAATAAGATCTATCGTACGGCGGTGAACTTTCCGTGAGACGGAAGAACGGCTGGTTGGAGCCGTGAAGAGTATCCTGACGGCACATTTTTCGTATGCTTGCTGGCGCGATAACTTGCCATTTGCGTTTAGGGAAAATAAACATAGGAGAGAGGGTTTCGGGTAGAGGCTGTGAAGTGGACTCATGATTGGTTGAGAGAATGCACGTGGTGCGACTCGTGCACGTGATGTAATGTACTTAAGAGGATAAGGGAGAGTCAGAATAAGAGAGTTTGTGCTCTCCGCAGAGGGTTTTTGCCTTACCAAAAGTTTGACCTTTCACACACCAGTTTGATAAGGGGTAATGAGGTCATAAAAGGGGCTGTTAATTATATAAATGAAATAAGATATTTATTTTTGTTTGTTGACGAATTCTGCCTGAAAGCGTGCACATTGTAGATGGAACTTGGACTTAGAAAAGGGTTGTGTTGTGGCAAGGTGCTAGTTGGTTTGGCTGGTTTTCCATCAACCTGCTACCTGTAATGAATGTGAATTCATTACTGTAGAGGCTGCTCCTAGCGAGGACAGCCCGAACTGTTCGCGTCAGTTTGGGCTCGGTCTACACTTTCGTACCGAACCAGCGCCGAGTCGCCCCGCACCAATCGCGACACTTCCAAGCCTCGCACGTCCCGAGGCCCTCGCCTAGCACGGTTTAGACCCTATAAATGCTCGCTTCTTTATCATTCTCATCATGCTGTAATTCTCATCCTTTTTATAAAGTCTTCCGCGCACTCTTCTTAGTACAACTCATAACACTACCTGTCAAAGAAGAGGAGCAATGTAACCAGGTAAACTGAGCACTTTCACGTAATGTAACGAGACTTTCAGATCACCTGCAGATGACGTAAGCTGACGGATGCGAAAGTCTTGGGCCGACCTCGCCGACAAACACCGTCCACCTGACGCAAGGCAATCGGGCTCATGTCGCTCGCTTCGCCGCCACCTGAGCCGCCACACACTGGAATAAATACACGTCCCCTTGCTTCCCTTCCGAACACACTCAAACCGAACCAGCCCACAGCCCTTGCTCAAACATTTCTCATTCCATCCACAGGCGTGGAAAATCGCCAACCAACAATTTCGGCATTTTCTCTTTTCCTCCCACATTCTTCCATCTCAAACTTGCATTACAAGAAGCAATTTATATACTGTGGAATGCAGAAATTCTGTGAAACGGTGCGTTGCATTTCTCGCACGGCTAGGGTTAGGCGTGATAATCGCCGCTCGCTTCGCGGGAAAAGAGAAATCGCGATGTGCTGTTCACAATTCTTTCTGTTAGTTCCGACGGGACGGGACGTTTTGTTTCGTCGCGATACTTACGCACGCAACACCGCAGGCCCTATTTGCACGGGCAATGGCGGCGCTGGCCGTCCTCGTGGCGCTTCTCTCTCTCATCTCTCCGTCGCAATCGGGTATGCGTCTCCGCGCACCCTCCCCATTTTCCTTTCCCCCAGCTCCCTCCTCCCCCCCAAATCGGCGCAATCAGGTACGACGCGGCGTCTCCGCGCACCCTCCCCATTTCCTTCCCCCAGCTCCCTCAGGGAGGCTCCTCCCCCCCAAATCGCAATCAGGTACGCGTGTCCACGCACACCCTTCAAATCGCCGTCGTGCGGCCGTTACCCCGAATGTTCACCGATTCGCAACTTCCCCTATCGCATTCCCCTCCTTCCGAATCCCCCGCGCAATGCCCGGCGGCCCCTTCCAAGGGCGCTTTGAGAATCCTCGATCCTCTTTGAATCACGTTCTGATGAAAACACGAAACATCCTTGTTCCCCGCCGCATTCGTTCCCCGCCGCATTCGTTCCCCGCTCCGCACAGCGCCGTGCCTCCTCCCACGAGTGGTGATCAACGTAACACGCGAGTCCGACCTCTACCTTCGGAAAAATTACCCCATCAATCAGGTGAGCCTCGCGACCTGCCAATCAGGTGAGCCCCTCAGGTGGCCCGCCAATCAGGTGACCCCATCGTGAGCCGCTTCTTTCCATCGCCCGTTGTTCCTGTCCCCTGTCCCCACCAGTACGTGACGATGCTACTCAAGGCGAGCATACAGCTGACCAGCACGTTCATGATGGACGGCAAGTTCAACTGCACTGTGGTTGGAGTGGCATCACCTGTTCCTCGAGGAGGATCCTCCCCGTTTGCCGTTTGCCCTTTTCCTCATGATAAAAGAGATGTTTTGAGACGTCTCAAAGCACCTCCCCGTTTGCCGTTTTCCTCATCACCCTCCCTGCTCTACCAGTACGTGACGATGGTGCTGCAAGCGAGCATACGGCTGACTGACACGTTTTTGAGACGTCTCAAAAACACCCTCGCTACACGCGAGCGTACGGCTGACTGACACGTTTGTGAAGGAAGGCAAGTTCAGCTGCACCGTCTTTCCACCATTTCAATCCACCGCCCGTTTGCCCACCCCTCTTGCCATTCCTGTCCCCACCAGCATGTGACGATGGTGCTGCAGGCGAGCATACGGCTAACGGACACGTTTGTGATGGACAGCAAGTTCAGCTGCACTGTCTTCCGCTCCGACAAAGACCGCGCCTACGACCTCATCTCACCCTCTGTCAAGTACGTCCCCACCGTTCTCCACCGCTTTAAAGTCTTCAGACTCCTCTCCGGGTGTTCAGCTGCTCTGTCTTCCGCTCTGACAAGGACCGCGCATTCGACCTCATCTCGCCTTCTGTCAAGTATGTGCCACCGCTCTCCACCGTTCTCTACGTTCTCCACCGCTCTCCACCCCTTAACAATTCTTTCAACCCTCTCCACCGCCCTCCACCGCTCTCCACCCGTCTCCAACACTTTCCACCGCCGTCCAACTCTCTCCACCAACAAACCTGTCCACTCTTTCAAACCCATGTGTTTCTTCCCTTTGTTTCTCCCAGCTAACCTATTTTCCCCTTCCCCTCCTCCCCTTCCCCTTGCCCACTTCCCCTCACCCACTTCTTCCCCTTAACCCATTTCCCCCTCACTCCTTCCTCCTCCCCCCCCCCCCCCCCCCCCCTTTTCCCCGCCCACCCCTTTCCGCCCCCCCCCAGCACCATGGTAACGAAAATCGTCAACACCAACAACGTATTGGTGATCGGGGTGAATTTCAAGATGCCCGTTTCGACTGTCGGGCAGCTGGACTGTAACTATCTCGAGGCGCGCTTTCGCGACTACATTGGCAAATACGCCTGCCCCGCTGTGTGGCTGTACCGAGTGTGGGGTGTACAAGTGGTGCAGGTACGCTCAGTCCCTTTCACACCCACTATACAACCACTCAAATGCATTCTCTTTTCTCTGCACCATAACCGGAACAGATGAAAAAGGAATAGCTTTAAATCCTCCTCCTCCCCCTCCTCCTCTCTCCTCTTCAGGGTAATGTGTACGGGCGAGTGGAGGTAGCGAGAGCAAATCGCTCGCGGATCGACTCAATGGATGTGCTCGTGAAGGCGACAAACCAACCTGGCGCCATTGTGGTTATGCTGTCGGGGGACGGGCCCAACCTCATTCGCAGTGAGGTGGTTATTTCTAACAACAACATTCGGACAGAAGGCACCATGGGTCAGGGAGCCACGTGAGTCGCTTTTGATACACTTTTATTTTTTTTCCCCTTCTTTTTTTTTATCGTTGTCGCCTATCACACTTCATCCTCACAAGCCTTCATCTTTCCCCCTCTCCCCTCCTTCCCGTTTCAATCGCAGTGTGGGAATCATGCTGTTCCGGGGAGCAGTGGGCGTGAACATCGTTGGCAACCGCATATCACACTTCACCCTCAACGGCATCCAGATGGGATGGGGGCAGAGCAACGTAGGAGACGCCATGCTCACCCTCGTGGCCCAAAACGACTTTGTTCACGGCTTCGGGCAGCTCGGGGATAGTGCGGGTATTTACTTCAACACGCACTGGGTTAACCCCGGAAATGTCCTCCGGTGCAACTACGTGCGGGGCGGCGGGCACTGCTTGTATTTTGACTGGGTATCGTCTGGAGTGATCGTGGATGGGCTCGTGTGTGAGAACACTGCAGATGGGCTGAAACTCAACACGGGCAAGAAGTGAGTACAAGGGCACTCTGTCACTCGCTCTTCCAACTCCCCACTCATTCCATCCCATTCCACCTGTTCTCCGCCCCTCGTGCATTGTTCCAGTAACGAGATTCGCGGAATGGTGGTTATAGACAGCAAGCAGCCTCTAGCAGGGTACATCTCGTGCCAGAACTACGGAGTGAACAACTGCAATAAGCCCAACGGCATCAGGTGGAATAACGACCTCCTCACTTATTACCAGACGCCAGGAATAAAGAAGGTAAGTTGTGTTTTTACCTCACATAGGTTTTTTCAAACCCATTCTCGAGTGCTAAGGGTTGTGCCCTCTTTAATGCATTTCACAATTTTTCTATACCTTTGGTCGTTCCTCTCTCCTGGATGCCTCCCCACCAGCTCTTCCCCTTCCTCACCAACTTCTGCAACAAAAGTGCCATTAACGGAGTCAACTGTAACGAAGGCACATCTACCACTCCGGGGCCTAACGTCACGGGCAGATGTTCCGGGCTGCCCACCGAAAACATTGCCGAGATCGTAACAGCCACTACTGATAATTCCACCCGCCTTGTTATCCACCACTCCAACTGCAATCCTTTCACCGCCATGCCAAAATTAAACAAGCTGACCTACCTGCCCGTGAAACTTAGTGCCGCAGGGTTCAGGAGTGTGCAGAACCGAGACTATGGCCTTCTTGACAGCTCGCAAATTCGGGCAAAGCTCCCAACTTTCCGGAGCTGCCCGGCGGAGGACATTGGCCCGAAAACTGTGCCCTATACAGAATACTTCAACCTTTTCAATCGTGACGCTCCATTAATGATGCCGATTGCTGCACGGCCCGCATCAGCCGGAAAGAACGGGAGCGCATCGAGCAACGTGGGGTATGGTGGAGGGAAGGTGTCGGGAAATGTGACGCTACAGCCGAACCCATATGCTACATCCAAGTGGAGCCCTCAGTTGGAGCGAGAGCTGCGGCCGGGATTCATGATGACGATGCGGGAGTGGATGAGGTTCAACGCACGGCACCCCGGCCGTCAATCACCTCCCTTGCAGAGGTTCAATGCAAGGCACCCTGGTGGTCGCCAACCACCCCCCCTGCAGAAGGCATGAAATGACTTTTGAGTCGACTCAAGAGATCTGCTGCCTGGGTTCATGATGACCATGTAGGAATGGATGAGGTTCCATGCAAGGCACCTTGGCCATCATTTGCCCCCCCTGCAGAAGGGGTAAATGTGCGGTTCTTGGTGTAGATTGCAAACGATTCACCCCATTAGTTCATGTTGTATTCTTTTGTTATTTGTACGGTTTCAATACGAGACGTCTAGTTTAGGTAGCCAAACCTTACAATCCAGCCCAAAAATGTACGCATGTGTATGATAGGGACCTTCTCTAAACAATAGTGACCCACCAGCAGCGCAACAGGCATCGCACAATGCGCTGCAACTTTCGTATTTTTAAAAGCGTACACATTGTAGCAGGAACATGGCAACGAAATGTGCTGAAGACCCCAGCGGAATTCGGTCAACGCAGCCGAATTGCCAGAGTCGACGAGGGGGGTCGACAGACGGGGGTCTGACGAGGCGGGGAACTGACGCGCGTGCGGGCCCGCCAGCCTGGCCCAGGGCTGGGCCGAGCGCACGACCGCCGCCCCGCAACCCCCCCCCCCCCCCCAATGTGAACAGCGACCCACGTTACCGGGTGGGGTCGGCGAACTGGCGACAGCTCGCGCGTGGGAAAATTACCCTCGCGCGAAGGCAGCCCAGCCGTGCCACCTGCCCGCGAGGTCCTAGTAACCCATCGCGGCCTGCCCGGACGGGCAGGCGAGGGCCTGGCGAAAATTTGGGGGCCCCTCGGGACACTCGACAATTTCGCGACCCGTTGCGGTGACGCCACGTGTTCGCTCGTGGTTTCGCATCGGGCGCATGCCATATTTCGGACGTCGCGAAATCGATGTCGATCGCTTCGCGGCGCACGGTTTTCGCGACCCGCTGCGAAATCGACACGTGGCGGTCTAAACGATGCACCGCGAGCATGCGAATTTGCGTCCCTTGGCCGACCGAGGCCAGGGGACGTGACATCGACTTGCTGGCTCGGCGGCGAATGAGAACCTGTGCCACTTGTGCACGAGCCCGCCATACCCTGCCGAGCCAGGCCCCACGAGGGTCGGGCGATGCCTCGGCCGGCCTGTGGGGCACCGACCCCCTTTTTCTTGGTGGAAGGGGGCATCGCTCCTCATTTTCGCTTTCTCCTCTCGCTTTCCACCGTTTTTTCCCAGCTCTGCGCCTTCTTTCACATTCACGTCCCTTAGCCGGTAGCCGCATCCCTTCCCCGCCATGGCGGCCGACCCGAAAGTCGGCGAAGTGACGCCGACTTCGCAGGACTTCCCGCTGTATCTCGACCTGGGTAGAGGGCTCACTTCCAAGTTCGACGAGCACGACTACGCCGTCCTCGTAGACAATAGGCTCGAGTTCAACGCCCATTGCTTGGGATTCGGCCTCAAGTGAGTCGCCGTACATTTAGGTCGGCGTCGATCTATGCTGTCCTAGCTGGTCGACGCTGCGGTTGTCCCACATCTATGGCGGCGCCACGAGGTTAGGGTTTAGTTCACCGTGGCGCCGACTTTACGATTACTGAGATTACGTGTAACACCTATTTCACCGATGGGTCGGTGTTGTTCACAGGGTTTCTCCCCTCCGCCTTCTAATACCCATGTCGGCTTGCAGGCACGCATGGGCTCGCTCGTCGAAGATGCGATTGTGGTCGATAGGACTCGGTCGGCTTCGGGCGGCGATGGGTCAGGAGGACCACACGTGCTTTGCGACGGTTTTCGACGCCGACGTAGCGATCATCCCCCTGCATTCCAGGTGCGATGGTCGACGACGTACAGCTGTGCCATGCATGCTATGTCGTGCTGAACGACGCCGTCGTGCGTTGCCTGTGCAGCATCGCACCGCTTCCAGGAGCACAATGCAGTGTTATCGTCGTCATTTATCCCGGCGACTTGTTGAGGGCGGAGGGGGAGAAGATCAGGACGTCTACCCGCCACCTGGACCCGCAGACCGTGAAGCAGTGGCACCGCAACGAGGCAATCCGCGTGCTGAAGTGAGCTCGATAGCCTAGTCGTCGACGCATGCCATTTCTCCGCGCAGCTTAAACCATGCTTACCGACCATCTCCGGCATTGTTGTTTCAGGTTTTTCCGGGCGGCGGTACTGGCCGAGCTGGGCCGCGACGGTAGGACGTGGGAGTGGCCGAAGCCCTCCGATCAAGAGGTCGGGCACAGGCTCGCCGACTGCGACGAACCCCTTCGAGATGTGAGTTCCGAACGAGTCAACGTCCTATTGTGTGTCATCCAAGCTCGATGCTCATCCTTGCGCTCTGAACCGTTGAATGCAGAAAGTGCCCGACGTCGTCCAGGACGGGAGCCCGGGCTCCGGCACGCTAGCAATGAGCGGGTTGATCTGGGTGGTGAGGAGGATGGATCTCCTGACCGGCAAGTACCGTCGCAGTGCTACCATCATGGACAAGGTCAACGTTTCGGGGTTGAAGGCGCTGCGGGGTGCGATGGTAACATTCATCAAGGAGCACGTCGCTCTGAAACGGTCGGGCCGTGTCGGACTTGCTCACGACGCCTGTGACGACGACGGCGAGGAGCCCCCTTCGGCATCCCAAGCAGTCGGTGTCGCCGACACCCGCGGAGAGGCCACAGGCGGCGTCGACGCAGATGGGGAGGCAGGACGGGCGGTGCCGCGGACCGGGGATCAGGAACAGGAAGAGGAGGAGGAGGAGGAGGAGGAGGAGGAGGAGGAGGAGGAGGAGGAGGAGGAGGAGGAGGAGGAGGAGGAGGCGGAGGAGGAGGAGGCATCCACCGATGATCGGGATGATAACGAGGAGGAGCGTGAGGAGCGTGAGCAGGGGCAGGAGGAGGACGAGGAGGAGGAGGAGGTGGAGGGGGCGGCGGAGGCCGTGCAGCAGGCGGTGGAGCAGGTGGTGGAGGAGGAGAAGCAGCAAGAGGGGGACGCCGAGGTGGTGTTCCCCTGGGTCGACTTCGAGATGGCCGTGGAGGGAGCGGCGGCGATGGACGTGGAGGGAGCGGCGGCGATGGGCGTGGAGGGAGCGGCGGCGATGGCCGTGGAGGGAACTGGTAAGTGGTCGGCGGATGTTGTGTGCGAGGGAGTGGAGGGTGCCGATGTGGAGAGAGGAGACGTGGTCGGCAATGTGGATGGGGACGCGACAGAGGAGGATAACGCCGCGGCCCCGATGCAGACGGGCGTGGAGCCCACCGCAGGGAACGCCGGGGTGGAACGCCGAGGTGGAGCGGTAGAGGCGGGCAGCCAACCCGGTTCCCCAGCAGCCGGTCGGCAGGCACCGCCGGCCGACGTCGCGCTGCTGCGACAGGAGAGCATGTGGTTGAGGGCTGAAAATGCTCGACTGCAGACGGAGCTCGGAGTGGAGAGGGGTTGGGTGGACAGGTTTGCGATGGGGATAGGCAGCCTCGTGGACAAGCTCAGGTCGTTGGCCGACCAGGTCGCCGCCTCCGACAACGACGCGGCGAGTCGGCTGAGGGGCGCGTCCTTGACCATGGCGAAGACCGTCACCGAGAACATCACCGCCAGCATGGGTGAAGCATGGAATGCGATGAAGGCGTACGCCGAGAGGGCGGAGGCCTGGGTGGACGATCTCGACAATCCGGAGGGGTTTTTGGCAGTGGAACGTGCGAAGGCGGTACTCACGTTGGTCGACCAGGTGGAAAAGGTGGTGGGCGACGCGAGGAAGGGGTTGGAGGAACATATATCGAAGAACCTAGTCGCCGCGCAGATCAACATCGCCGCCGCGGTAACTCAACGCGTCGCCGTACCGCCGCCAACGCCGCCCGCCCCACCGCCAGCCTTCCCGGACGAGCTCATGAAGTCGTTCAAGGCGGACGTGTTGAAGGCGGTGACTGAGGCCACCCAGCAGTCGTTTGTTGCATCCGGGTTAAACCTCATGACCGAGGTGATCGGCAATTTGGCGCCTGGTCGGCGTGGTTCGTCGCCGTCGGCCAACGAGGCCAACAAGAAGGGCGCGAAGACGGCGGGCGGCGGAGATGATGCGTTGAGCTCGAAGCGGAGCAAGGGAGCCGATGGGAGCCGCGGCGTCGGCCAGGTGGGTCCTGGCGGCGAGCGGAGCAAGGGAGCCGATGGGAGCCGCGGCGTCGGCCAGGTGGGTCCTGGCGGCACTGGGAGCAAGGGAGCCGATGGGAGCGGGGGTACTAGCGTGGTCGACCAGCTCAAGAAGAACGGGGCCAGGGTGATAAGGACGCACAGCAAGGGCGATGGAATCAGGAGTGCGGAGGGGGGCCCTGCCGACCAGGTTGCCGCTCAAGAGGCTGGACCAACAGCTTCGCCATTGGTGACCGAGAAGCCCCCCAGTCTAGCAACCGCACCAACGGCGATAGATGGCGGCGCCGAAACCGGGAAGGGGCCGTCTGGGGGGGTAACGGGGACCACGTCGATTCCCCGCAAACCCCCTGCGGCTAGCAGCGCGCCGGTCGCCCCGTCAGCCGCCAAGGACGATGGGCCGTCCCTTGCGGCTACTCCAGCACCAGCAGGCCCGTCTGCCGCCAAGGATGATGCGGCTAACCGCCCTGGTCCGTCCGCCCCAAAGGCGAACGCGCTCATGGAAATGCTCCGCCGCATGGAGACCCATCGCCCGGGCGTGCATCCGACTCCCGTGGTCGGTGCCGCTCCGTCCAAACCGGAACGTCGCTCGGTCGCTCCGCAGGTCGGCGCCACAACGTCCAATGCCCCACCTACCGCGCCTGACATCGCCGGCCGTCCTCCTGTGGACCCCAAGTCCGCCCTGCTTCGCGCCCGGTTAGGCGCACGTACTGCGGCAGCGCCAGCACGGGCTCGGACAGAAGCCGGCTCAAGCGCGACGCCGACGTCGGTAACCGTAGCTGCACCCTCACTCGGTGCAGCTACTGTCGAGGAGGTGGCGGAGAAGGGCGTGAGTGCAGCGCTAGCCACGGGCGGTCGATCCGTCGACCCTGCACAGGCGGCGAAAGGCCAGCGCGACGCCGACATCGATGCCATCCAGGACCTGTTGGAAGCGGTAAACCGCCCCGGGCAGCCCCCTGTTCTGGCCATCTTGGACTCGGCGCATGTGGAGCACTCGGCGAGTCCCCCCGGTAGAACAGCGGAGCTAAAGACGACCACTGCAGCTGTGGTGGTCACCAAGTCGAAACAGAAGGGGACGGCCGACACAGGGAAAGGGAGGCCGAGCTCGCAGAGGACCCGGGGGAAGTCGGTGGAGAAAGGGAAGGAGAAGGAGAAGGAGAAGGAGAAGGAGAAGGAGAAGGCGGAGGCGAAGGAGGAGGAGAAGGCGAAGGAAGAGGAGAAGGCGAAGGAGAAGGAGAAGGCGAAGGAGAAGGAGGAGGAGGAGGATGAGGAGGAGGAGGAAGAGGAGGTGGAAGAGGCGGCGGAGGAGGAGGACGAGCATGATGCTAAGGAGGAGGAGAAGGTGAAGGTGAAGGAGAAGGGACGGAAGGGTCATGGCATCCGCCACGACAACTCGGGCGACAAGCAAGGGTGGGTGGGCGAGATTAAGGTGGCCGGGAACGAGAGTAGATACATCGGCAAGTCGCGCGACAAGATGGAGCTGGCGTACCTCCACTCGATTGTGTACCTCCTTTACGACGGTTACGTCAGCAAGATTCTCATGGACGAGCTCACCGGCTTGACGGAAACCACGAAGAAGCAGTGGAGGGCGGTGTGGGAGGAGGTCAGGATCTTGCCGACCGGGATGTGGACGGTGATATGGGCAAGGGGCGCTTTCCTCCCAAAGACCCGGTAAGTCGGATACCACTTCCGTCAAGTGATGATGTCGACATCGGGGTCCCTAATGATCGTCCAGTTTCGTGTGTTCGCGTAACAGGTTCGATGACATTCTCGGCAAGTATCGAGCGTACAAGACATCAGGCGATGAGCACCACGCCGCGCTCTTGCCGGCGATCTGGTTCCCGGTCGATGCCGACTCGAAGGAAGGGAAGACGAAGTCGGATGCAATGATGTCGGCCATGATTGATCGCGTGTCCTTGTGCGCTGCGTATGGGAAAGTCGCTGCTGCCGCGGCGAGGAAGGAGGGCGAAACGGATGAGACGACGGCGTTGGTGGCACAGGCGCTATCGGCCTCCGCTTGCGCCCTGTGGTGCTTAGTCGAGGGCGACGCCGCCCAGGTGGCCGATGCTGTGCGCGAAGGGAAGGCGGCGGCGATGGTGGTCGGTGCGAGCGGAAAGACCGGTGATGAGTTCATGAAGGTCATGACGGCGGTGCTGGAGGCCGCGAAGAGCAGGGAGCAACCCCTCGGGGAGGTTGTGTACAACGTCGCAACGGTGCTGGAGTCTGCAGCTCTGGTGAGAGCCTATCCGGGGTTGGATGGAGAAGTCGAAGCCCAAGTGATCGCACGAGCGACGGTGGAAACCATGGCGTTCTGGGGAATGTGCCCCAAGGATGGGCCGAAACTCAAGAAGATCGGCATCGCGGTGCCGCTTGACGCGCAGATGGCGAAGCTTATCGAACACAGGGGGAGGAAGGGCCAGAGGGGCAAGCAAGGCAAGGACAGCTCGGGGAAGAAGGGCCAGAAGGGGAAGCAGGGCAAAGACAGCACGGCGGCTTAGTCGGCATTGCATTCTGGTCGCCTGGGGTGGCCTGGTATGGGCGGCGTCGATCATGGAGTTCTCGTTGTGATTGCTCTTCGTAGGTGATTGCGTGATGTGTGGCTGTAACTTTTTGGTAGTGCATGTTTTGTGGCTGTAACTTTTTGGTAGTGCATGTTTAGTGGCTGTAACTTTTTTGGTAGTGCATGTTACTAGAACACCCCTACTAAGACACTGCGCTGAACCTCGTCGGCGTATGATACGTCGGCGTCGTATGGTGTCGACCTTGTGCGTCTGTCTGTATGCATGTAGATACTCGGCGATATCCTCGTCGGCGCTTTGGGTATTGTGCCCCGTTTGTAGGTCGGCATCGATATCGTTTTGTATGTTTCGGCTGTCGGAGCCCTTACATGCTCTTTGTGTGGGTTTCATTGTGTGCGTGCCTGTCGACTTTACGAAGGATGTGTAATGAATAGTTCAAACATTACCTTGTTGACTATGCATTGGATGTGATGTCTACTTCAAGTAGAACGATAGGATCATTGTGAGAACCACAAAGTCGACAACTGTATCAGTACGACACACAAGCATGCTGCAACAAGAACATCTACAACATGCAACAGCCAACACTCGCACGTTGCTTGTGAGCATTCACGCGGTCTTCTTGCGCTTGGTCGACTTCGTGGTCGGAGGCCGTTGGCCGGCGTCGTTTTCGCGGGCCAGGTCGGCCAACGCCTTCTTCATCTGCTCCTTCCATGTGTCCGGGAACAGGTCGGCGACCCACGTTTCCGGCTTCAACCCGCGCGCCACGAGCGCACAGGCGAGACGAAGCTTGGCAAATTCCGTCTTGCCGAGCCCCTTGACGCCCTTACCCTGCCCGGCATAGGTCGGTTTGTTGCCCGCGTTGAGCACCGTGAGGGCATCCGAGAAGGTCCCGATGCCCGGCGCCGCTATCGTGTTAAGCGCGTCGACGACGGCTTCCGTGTCGGCTTCGCCGTCGCTCCTGCGAAGCTGGCGCACGGCATCGATGACCTTCATCATGCGGCGCACCCTCGTCCCGTGTGCTCCCTGCGAGGCTCCGTCGAGGAGGGTGTGGCGGTCGACGAATCCCGGCTCGAAGAACCTGTCGCACAGACGACGGGTGTCGGCGCTGGTGCACGAGGTCCATAGACGCCTCACGGTCGTTGCATTCCGCCAAGGCTGAACCACGTTCAGCTCGTAGCTAGCCTCCTCGACCGTCTGTGGGGGTTTATTGGGTTTCTTGGCTCCGTCACCGCTGCCTGCCGACTCCGCGGAGCCACCGTCGCTAGGCGACTGATCGTTCGCAGCTGGCGGCGCCTCCGGCATCCTACGAGCTTCTGAAACGCGGAGAGCCTCGGTGAGGCGGGTTATCTCGTCCGTCATCGACGCGATGGTAGCGTCGCGCTGCTCGAGCTTCTCCTCGAGGTCGATCTTCTCGACCGCTGACCGCTCCCTCTCGAGCTTCAGCGTCGTTGTGAGGGAGACGACCGCGTACTGGGCGTCGTGGCGGACCGATATCTCCTGCATCGGTAGGCGAATAACGGTGCAGGTGAGGGGTTGTATCGTGCACTGTGCTCATGGCGACGTCGACATAAAGGAATACCCACCTCTGGCTGGATGAGGGTTGGGTCTTGCCGCTTTTTGATGGTCTCGGTGTCGGTCTTCTCCACCCTCTTCGCCCAGTGCTGGAAGAGGGGAATCCGGCAGAGCTTGGAATACTGGACGTACGGGTGCCAAGGCGTGCGGACGAGTTTCACAGCGAGGTCCTCGGCGACAATGCGGCGGAACATCAGGAGGGTGCGCCAGAAGTGCACGGCCGCAATGTCGGCGTCGGACCCCTTCTTCGCGAGTTCTTCCGCCTGCAAGCAGACAACAGACGTGGGTAATTAACGTGGTGGATAGGACAGTGCCATGAGAGGCTTGGTCGGCACCGATTAACATACATCCTTAAGGAGGTCGTCCACGCCGGGAAAGATGTGCTCGGCGATGAGTGCGAGGAGTTCGTCCCCCGGTTCCACCCTGCTGCGTCCCAAGAAGTAGTCCTGCGTGTATTCCGAGTAGCCGGCCTTCTTCATCACCACGCCGACGGGAATGGCTGTGATGTAGGCTCGAGTCATCTTGTCGAGAGCCCAGTGACCCAGCTCGGCTATCTCGGCGCGAGGCGTACCGTTGATGGCCAGCTCCTGCGCCCCGCCTGCCCGAGCGGCATGGACGTTCCGCTTGCAGATTACCCCGTTCGTCTTCCACATCTGCCTCGTCCATCGCTGGTGGCTGGCAGCGGAGAGTTCGCCCTGCTCGGGGTCGTTGCGGGCGAAGAACAGGTGCTTCTTGTACCAGCGCTCGCGTGTGCTGGTGTCGACCGGCGGAATGAGGTCGACGCCGTGAAACTGGCCGATCTGGTCGAGGATGAAGTGTAGCCACAGTCCGGTCTCGCCGACGGCGCACAATTCCGCTTCGAGGTGCCGCGCGGCGTAGCTCTGCTGCAGACGCGCATCCTTCGACGTCTTCGAGTTCCGCGCGGCGACCACCATGACGACCGGCTGGTTATCCGGGTTCACCGACGAGGTGCTCGCCAGTCGGTACAAGAAGATGTCGGGGAGCGTGATCTCGCGGATGCTTGCACCGCGCATGAGGCTGTGGTGGGAGAGCAGCGTGAGCACCTTGACGAGAAGAAACCTCCACAGCGTCTGCGAAGGAGTGGTGAAATGCGGGCTCCATGCCGACGCCGCCCAAGCCGGCAGCACCCTCGTCATGATCTGGCGGAACTGTTCGGCGGTGTATGTGTCGCCGATGGTGCCGCGTCGACGGTCGGCGCAATTACTGTCGACATAACAATATAGGCGGTAGGATTATTAGGGCGATAGGCACAAATCGACACCGACTTACTGGGAAACGGCGCTAAATGCCAACTTACTTGATGTCCCTCTGGTTTTTGGTGCGGACCATGACCCGCACCTCCGACCGGACAACCGAGATTTCCCGCATGATGCCCAACTCCTTCTCCTTGTAGAGCCTCGCCTCCACCGTCGCCGCCATCTGGCATGCCTTGATGCGGCCGAGGATCATGTGCACCGTGTAGGACGGCACCGGCGCGTTCGTCTCGGCGTCGATCTTGAACTCCCGCCTCATGAACTTGACGTAGGCGCGCAGCCGCGTCACAGTGACCTTGGGGCCGTGCAGCCAGATGTGCTTCCGTTTGACGACGTTCGGGTTGTCCCAATCCTTGCTCTTGTTGCAGTGGATCCAGTGCCCGATCTCGTCGACGTGCCTCGTTCGTTCCTCGCCCGGCAGCTTGTCGCCTATCTCTTTGAGCATCTTCGCGGCCCACCTCTTGTAGTGGTAGATCCATGAGATGTAGGACTGGAGCGTGCTCTTAGCCTCGATGGTTTTCAGGTGGCGCAATGCATCCATCACGAGCACGTCGATGCACGCGTACACCATGTCTTCCTCTACGAAGTCGGCCGCCTTCCACTGTTCTCGAGGGACAGAGGTGTTCAGCAGATCCTCAAGCTCGTCTTCGTCCAGAAGTTCCTCTATGAACGCACGTTCCCCCCTGAGCTTTTCTTCCAACGTGCGCGGACCTGTGCCACGTCGGGGTCGCGGGTCGTCTTCGTCGTCCTCGTCGCTGGACGATGAATCGTCTTCGATTCCCTCATCCTGCTCGCCCGATCCGTCCGGCACCGACGACGGCCCGGCCTCCGCTGCATTCGTCGGTGCCGACGTGTCTTTGCGTGGTTTCGTGAACTCCCCTATGGGCACGGGCGGAATGTCTTTGGTGAACTCTCCCTTCGGGATTTGGGCCAGGGCGTCGAGATCGTAAAGCAGGGGCAGCGTCGACGAGGGGTTACTGGTCGGTGCACGGTCTACCGGGCGGACATCCTCACCCTGGCTAGCGGGAGTCGGAACGTCCGTCATGTCGACGTCGGCGTGTGGTGGGTGTGATTGCGGCGGTGTCGATCGAGGATGTGCTCCGGCCATGATACCGCGACCTAGGGTCTCGCGATGGGAAGTCGGTGTGGTGAGGTCGATGAACTACAACATGCAGTCTCTAAGTCGGCGGTATCAGAGAGGTCGGCACCGCAGACAACACTACGACACGGCGGCCAGGACGTCTGACTATTCTGACGACGCCGACGTTCCACGTCTGCCGAAGATCTGCCGAACAAAAAAACTAGCGAGCCGTGAAGGGAACGGGGGAAACAATCTAAGTGCCAGCTAACGGATGAAACGCACACAGAATGGCAGGCAGAATGAGCGACCTTCACTGGGACCCCAGATTGGTATGGTCGTGAGCGACTCCGCTCCACTTGGCGCTCCACGCAAACCCCTGTGCAGGACGCAGCTATGCAGGTACTCTCGTGCGGCGGCGTCGTGACCGACGTGCCTCCTGGCGTGCATGGCTGCTTGCTTGAAGCGCTTCGCTCATGATGCGCCTTTCATGGGTGTTACACGCTGGCTCTTTCGTGCGGTACGTGGCGTGGTCCCTGCGCGGTAGTTCGAGGGCGGGAGACACTGCCGCGTGGCACCACGATGAAGACCTTCTGGTCGACGCCGACATTCCCGCCAGTATCCACTGCACCTAGCCAGAGGTAGTGGACGGTCGGATTTCGCCTTGGGCATGTGGGCAACCGTTGGATGATGGCCGTGTGGTACGCACCGACCTGGCCACGCTTGGGCGCGAAATTTTCCCACGCGAATCACCCCGACCTTCCGTTGGCCCGTCGTGGCCACCCTGGCAGTCCACGATGGCCCCGCCATTCAGGGGTCGATCTCGGACGTCCCTTTTTGGCCGCGTGGCGATCATCGCGGCCCGATGTGCCGAGCTGGGATGACGTCACGCGGCTGAGACGACCTTCTCGGGATTGTCTCAGCGGAACCCAAGGTCGACAGGTCGTCGACAATCCCGAGGGGTCACCAGCACTGGGCCCAGCCAGCTCGCCTGGGCTTTCCACGCGGTGGTCGTCGTGGGGTCGACAACCCCGAGGAGGGGGGTTGTCCGTTCTGGCCCGCAAAAATGGGCGGCGTTTTTCGTCCGCTGAGCTCTATTATCCTGGACAGGTGACGTGAACTCCTCACCACCCACCTAAGACAAGAGGTAAAAGTTTAGCACCGCACAGCACCCAAGTAAGCCCTCTTCAATGGGCGGCACTCGTGTCCTTTTAACACGTTGTGCAGTAAGTTTCTTCCTCGACCGTCATCCTGCATGCGCGGACAAAGAATGGAATTGGTTGGTGGGGGTGTCTCCTTTCGATTGGGTCACGCCACGCCAAAGTGCATGGTTGGGGGTTTGTTTTCAATCTACCTCCCTGCCGCCAGAAAATGGAGGGGCAGGCAATGCGGCCCGCTCTGCTCAGCGACTTCACGATTGCTGTGTAACATTAGCACCAGTTGTCGTCAATAGCTTTTTTCACCACAGGTGACCATTTTTACGGCTGCGAAAAGTTTCGTCGACGTCGCCGACAAACACCGTCCCCTGGGAGAGCGCAGCGCTGTTTCGCAGTCACCTGATGGAGAGGAATCGGCCACATCTCCCTCGCACCGGCGCCAGCTACGCCGCCCCAGGCCAGGATAAAAACAAAGCACGTTGAGCCTGATTCACCCGAACCCAAACCAGACCAACCAACACACTTGATCCTCCTGAGTCCTAACCTGAACCAGCCCCACTGTCCCACCCGCCTCGCACAGACCCTTCTTCCATCTGCTGCTAGATCTTTCTGTGTTCCCCTTTCCACTCGTCAACCAACTAAACTCTCCTCTACTCACTTGCCCTCCTCCCTCGACCCCATGTTCCCCTCGTTACCTAAGTATCTGCTTCATTCGAGCGGCTCCTGAACCTTTAGCTCAACGCAGCTACTAGCTCCACTGTCGTTTCGTGTCTTCGGTAAGATCCGCTTCCGCTAGCCCCGAAGCGCGGCGCTTCAAACCGCCCAGGAAGTCAACTCTCTAGCATAATTTTTTAAGCTTGTAGTTACTAGCGTACATCACGTCAGGCGTGGAACACGTTACGACACCTGCGGTCGGGTCGGCCCAGCTTGTCTTGCTGCCTGAAGAGATATTTCAGAATGCGGAGATTCCGTGAGACGGTGCGTTACAATTTTCGCGCGGCGAGGTTTAGATGTGTCAATCACCACGCGCCCCGCGGGATGCGCATTCGCCGAGTACCCAAAACGATTCGTCAATTTCTTTCTCGACAGGCGATCCCGTTTCGTTCCGGTTGTTCCGCTTACGATTACAATACACGTGAATCTGACTAACGCCCTTTTCGTGAATCCGCTGTTCGCAATGATGAATCGCAGGCCCGCCACTTTCCAATGGCGGCGCTGCCCGTCGTTGTGGCCCTTCTCTCTCTCGTCTCTCTGTCGCAATCAGGTACGCGCATTCACATACCCTTCCCATTCGTTGCCGCTGCTCCTCGTGTCGGCGTCTTGCAAAATTTTCCATTCACATTCCATTCTTCCATCCTTCCATCCATTCTCCATTGACGTTACCCATCCCTCCCCCGTCCCCGCGTCGTTTCCTCTCCGCTGCTCCGCATTCCCCGCCGCACGTGCTGTCGCTTTTCCCGCTCCGCGCAGCGCCGCCATGCCTTCTCCCCCGAGTGCTGATCAACGTGACGCGCGAGGCCGACCTTTACCTTCGAAAGAACTACCCAGCCAATCAGGTGTGCCTCTTGGGACTTTCAAGTGTCATGCAAATCGCTCTCGAGCCTCCTCGCTCTTCGCCATCCCTTCCTCGGCGCGTGCTCTCGTGTGCCCTCCCTCGCGCTCTGCGACTCTTGAGGCGCCTCAAAACGATTTTTGAAGACTTTTGATGCGCCTCAAAAGTAGCCTCCTCGCTTTTCGCAACCCCTTCATCGGCGCGTGCTCTCGCGCGCCCTCCCTCGCGCTCTGCGTTTCCTTGCCTTTGAATCGGAGAATATTCCCTCCGACGCCTTTCCGCGTCGTTTTCGCGCCGCACGTTAGCGCTTCCCTCTGATTACCCTCCCCAACATATGCAGTACGTGACGATGGTACTCAAGGCGAGCATAAACCTGGCGTTTGACTCGACTCGACTCACGCCCCGATCTCCACCGTCCGTTTGCCCTCCCCTTTCCTTTCCCCTCCTCTGTCCCCACCAGTACGTGACGATGGTGCTCAAGGCGAGCATAAACCTGACGCTGACGGGCACGTTCGTGACGGACGGCAAGTGGCGTTTGACTCGACTCACGCCCCAAACCCTCCACCGCCCGTTTGCCCTGTCCCTTGCGCACTCGCAGTACGTGACGATGGTGCTCAAGGCGAGCATACAGCTGACGGACACGTTTGTGATGGACGGCAAGTTCAGCTGCACTGTCTTCCGCTCCGACAAAGACCGCGCCTACGACCTCATCTCACCCTCTGTCAAGTACGTCCCCACCGTTCTCCACCGCTTTAAAGTCTTCAGACCCCTCTCCGGGTGTTCAGCTGCACTGTCTTCCACTCCGATGTAGACCACGCGGCCTACGACCTCATCTCGCCCTCCGTCAAGTACGTGACACCTCTCTCCACCGCTCTCCACTGTACTAGAACTTCTTCTCTCTCTCTCTCTCTCTCTCTCTCTCTCTCTCTCTCTCTCTCTCTCTCTCTCTCTCTCTCTCTCTCTCTCTCTCTCTCTCTCTCTCTCTCTCTCTCTCTCTCTCTCTCTCTCTCTCTCTCTCTCTCTCTCCTCTTGTTTCTCCCATCTAGCATTTCCCTTCCTTTTCCCTCTCCCCTCTTTTCTTGCCCCCTTTCCCTCACCCGCTTCCTCTCTGCAATTTCTCCCCATCCACTTTGCCCCCACTCCCACCCCGCCCACCCCCTCCCCCCCCCCCCCCCTCCCCCCAGTACCATGGGGATGAAAATCGTCAGCACCAACATCTCCTCACCCTCTTTCCCCCACTCCTTCCCCGCCCATCCCCACCCCTCCCCGCCCACCCCCGCGGCCCGCCCAACCCCGCCCTTCCCCGCCCACCCCCTTCCCCCCACTCCAGTACCATGGTTACTAAAATCGTCAACACCAACAACGTATTGGTGATCGGGGTGAATTTCAAGATGCCCGTTTCGACAGTCGGGCAGCTGGACTGCAATTATCTCGAGACGCGCTTTATTGATTTCATCGGGAAATACGCCTGCCCTGCTGTGTGGCTGTACCGAGTATGGGGTGTACAAGTGGTGCAGGTACGCTCACTCCCTCTCATACAACTCTACCATACCACTCTCGTTCGTCATCCTTCTCTCCTCATCTTCCTATCCTCCTCTCCCCTTCGTCACCCTCCTCTCCTCATCTTCCTATTCTCGTCTCCTCTCACCTTGACAGGGCAATGTGTACGGGAGAGTAGAGGTGGCACGTGCAAACCACTCGCGGATCGACTCAATGGACGTCCTCGTGAAGGCGACCAACCAACCCGGCGCCATTGTGGTGATGCTGTCGGGGGACGGGCCCAACCTCATTCGCAGCAACGTGGTCATTTCCAACAACAACGTCCGCACTGAAGGCACCATCGGGCAGGGCGCCGCGTGAGTCGAACTTTTTTTCGCTGGCCTGAAGCTTGTTCTCAAGAGCTCTGCCTCGCCCACGTTCGTGCAAGCTTCAGTCCACATGGCCTCGCCCATGTTCGTGCCCCTCGAACGAGCTACTATCTCGCCCACGTTGCGCCTCATTCGCGGGGCATGAACGTGATACACAACCTATCTCCACAACCGCATGCCGCACTTTTGAGACGTCTCAAAAGTCACTTTTGAGACGTCTCAAAACTCGAACGAGCTACTATCTCGCCCACGTTGCGCCTCATTCGCGGGGCATGAACGTGATACACAACCTATCTCCACAACCGCATGCCGCACTTCTCCCTCGCCACCCCTGCACCTCCCTCCCACTTGACACCCAGACTACTTTTGAGACGTCTCAAAATATAAAATCCGCGTGTAAGTAGACGACTTTTGAGACGTCTCAAAATATAAAATCCGCGTGTTAGTAGACGACTTTTGAGACGTCTCAAAATATAAAATCCGCGTGTAAGTAGACGACTTTTGAGACGTCTCAAAATATAAAATCCGCGTGTAAGTAGACGACTTTTGAGACGTCTCAAAATATAAAATCCGCGTGTTAGTAGACGAATTTTGAGACGTCTCAAAATATAAAATCCGCGTGTAAGTAGACGACTTTTGAGACGTCTCAAAATATAAAATCCGCGTGTAAGTAGACGACTTTTGAGACGTCTCAAAATATAAAATCCGCGTGTTAGTAGACGACTTTTGAGACGTCTCAAAATATAAAATCCGCGTGTAAGTAGACGACTTTTGAGACGTCTCAAAATATAAAATCCGCGTGTTAGTAGACGACTTTTGAGACGTCTCAAAATATAAAATCCGCGTGTAAGTAGACGACTTTTGAGACGTCTCAAAATATAAAATCCGCGTGTAAGTAGACGACTTTTGAGACGTCTCAAAATATAAAATCCGCGTGTAAGTAGACGACTTTTGAGACGTCTCAAAATATAAAATCCGCGTGTTAGTAGACGACTTTTGAGACGTCTCAAAATATAAAATCCGCGTGTAAGTAGACGACTTTTGAGACGTCTCAAAATATAAAATCCGCGTGTTAGTAGACGACTTTTGAGACGTCTCAAAAGTCAACCGCATGCCGCACTTCTCCCTCGCCACCCCTGCACCTATCTCCCACTTGATACCCAGCCTCCCCTCTCACCTCCCCTTCTTTCCTCTTCCTCGTACCGTTCACTGCAGTGTGGGCATCATGCTATATCGGGGAGCAGTGGGAGTTGACGTGATCGGCAACCACATTCACCCTTGCAAGCTTGCCCCCTTCCCTCCTAACCTCCCCTCTCGACTCCACTCCCTTTCCTGTTTGCAGTGTCGGCATCATGCTATACCGGGGAGCAGTGGGAGTCGACGTTATCGGCAATCGTATATCGCACTTCTCCCTTGCAAGCCTGCAGTTGGGGTGGGGGCAGTCCAACGTGGGAGACGCTATGCTCTCTCTTGTCACCAAAAACGACATCATTCACGGCTTCGGGCAGCTGGGGGACAGCGCGGGTATTTACCTCGACACACACTGGGTGAACCCCGGGAATATCCTCCGGTGCAACTACGTGCAGCGCGGCGGGCACTGCCTGTATCTCGACTGGGTGTCGTCTGGAACGATCGTGGATGGGCTCGTGTGTGAGCAGACGGCAGACGGGATGAAGCTCAACACAGGCAAGAAGTGAGTACAAGGGCTTTAAGTGGTAGAATTCCCCTCTTTTTAGATAGAACAGTTGTGGATGGGCTCGTGTGTGAGCAGACGGCAGACGGGATGAAGCTCAACACAGGCAAGAAGTATGTCTAGGGGCCTTGTTGAAATGTAGAATTCTCCTCAAACACGCAGACTCGTAGAATTTAGTAAGAAAAAATACTTCCGGTCCGGTTTACACCACTGGTTGCGTCAACCTATCTCACCCCACGTTCTTGACTCGCTGCTCCGCTTGTCCCCACCTCCCTTCAACCCCTTGCCTGTGTGTTCCAGTAACGAGGTGCGGGGGATGGTGATTATAGACAGCAAGGAGCCATTAGCAGGGTACATCTCGTGCCAAAATTACGGGGTGAACAACTGCGACAAGCCCAACGGAATCAAGTGGAACAACGATCTCCTGACTTATTACCAGACGCCAGGGATCAGGAAGGTAAGCTGACGTTCTCCCATGCATGCTACAGGGCATGTAGAAGTCTTTTGAGTCGTCTCAAAACTCACCTTTTCATCCCATGCATGCTACAGGGCATGTTGAAGCGATTGCATGCCATCTGCTTTGCAACCAGCAGCCCTTCTGTCTCTCCTCTTCCCATCTGCTCGAGGACGTTTCTCCACTCTATCCCCAACCTCCTGCTCACCGGCATTTCCCCGTGCTCATCAACATCTCGTGCAAGACTGCCTTTTGAGACGTCTCAAAAACCTCCTGCTCACCGGCATTTCCCCGTGCTCATCAACATGTCGTGCAAGACTGCCATACCATCACCCGTGTCAACTGCACTGCGACCAACGCAGGCTTACTAATCTCGTCCCCATTTCCCTCTCCCTTCCACCCTTCACCCTCCTCCCCCTTCCCCCTTCCCCCTTCCCCCTTCCCCCTTCCCCCTTCCCCCTTCCCCCTTCCCCCTTCCCCCTTTACACTTCCCGCTGCTCATTATCGCACGCCTCCCCTCCACCAGCTCTTCCCATTCCTCACCAACTTCTGCAACAAGACCGCCATCAATAAGATCAACTGCAATGAAGGCACTTCATCCACTCCCGGGCCTTCTGCCACGGGCAGATGTTCCGGGCTGCCCACCGAAAACATTGCTGAGATTGTCACAGCAACCACTGATAACTCCACCCGCCTTGTTACCATCCATTCCAACTGCGCTCCTTTCACCGCCGTGCCGAAGCTAAACAAGCTGACCTACCTGCCCGTGAAACTTAGCGCTGCGGGGTTCAAGAGCGTGAAGAACCGTGACTACAGCCTGGTTTCCGCTTCACCGATCCTGAAAAAGTTTTCGACTTTCCGGAGCTGCCCAGTGAAGGAGATTGGGCCGCAGAATGTGTCCTACACTACATATTTCAACCTATTCAACTTTCCTATGCCAGTCATGAAGCCAATTGCTGCCAAACCAGCATCCATTGCAAAGCCCGGGAGCATAGCAAGTCTTGTAGTATATGGAGGCGGAGAAGTGTCTGGAGATGTGACGCTACAGCCGAATCCATATGCTACAACCAAGTGGAGTGCAGAGCTGGAGTGCGAGCTGCGGCCTGATTTTATGATGACAATGCGGAAATGGTTGAGGTTCTATGCTCATCATCACAGTGGCCGCCAACCAGCATGGCGGCAAAAGGTGTAATGTTGCGACTCAAAAGTTTATCATATCCACAGAGAGTCCATCATTTTTTAATTATTTGTAAGATTTCACTAAAGTAATATTCTGCCTTTTCTCAATGGTTAGGGTTCTTTCCTTCCACTGCTTCCACGGTCTCATTTGCATGTAGATACTTCGTTTCCGAGGCTGTCAATGTGGAGAATACACCTAACCACCGCTATTTTCTTTCGGTCTATCTTCAACCCCCACGTGTGCAAAGGGGTAGGCACCCTTCAAAACGTTTTTGACCGAGGGTTGTGTCGGACGTCATACGCTCTACGCAGAGTTAGTTCCTGACTCCTGAAAGCTACGCAATGGGATGCGCAACACGAAGCAGACTCCACACGAGCCGAAATTGTCTTACACTCGCCCGATTGAAATCTCCATTTGATGTCATTCATAGTCCCCTATAACGAGGTTTCTAACAGAAAACCCCAAAAGCTGGGCAGGGATTACATGAAAATCGGGAACAGTGCCAAGGTCAGAAGTTGAAAATAGCGGTGGCTAGGTGTACCCCCCTCCCTTCAAACTATCTATAGGTTCGTTGTTTTGTCTGTCCCACCATAAAGTCAAAGTCCGTAATTTCCCAATTTCAAGATTTTTACCGAACATATTTCCCCATTTTGGATTTGCCAGTGCCAATCGTCAACATTGATAGCGAGTTAATTCTGTAAGTTCCGCATATCCCCTAAGATGTTATGGTCTATTGGAGTGAGAATGGTGCGTAGGCCGCTAAAAGTTTCGTATTTCATCCAGTCACCCCGAAAGGTAGACCTTGTTGCACCTGGTGAACCTCATCACTTGACGAGTAGGGTTGTTGAAGCAACGAAGCACCGCACGATTCTCCACATGTGGGGACACGTTCTGTCGTAACCCGATTTGTCGGCAATGGTCCGATTGCTGCCGAACTCCGTCTTCGCAACGTGGGGGATGCTGGCCACCCACGGCTCTTGCGAAGCTCTCGCCTTCGTCATATGTCATGTGCTGAGATGGGTAAAGCCTACCCCTTTTCACGACAGGTCGTTGATGACGGTGACGGTGATTGGTTGGGTTAATTGGTTTGGGAGAACCGAACCGACAGCAGACAGGCTGGTTCTGCGTTTTCACTGGCGTTCGCGCAGGCGCTGGCGCAGGCTGGCTCAAAACCCCCAACGAGCCAGCCAGCCTACCCCCACCGCGGCCCGAATTTGGTGACTGCGCCGTGCCGCGAGCGTTCGGCTCCCCGAACTCTCGCGGTCCGAACCCTCGCGAAAGTTCCTCCTCCGTCCCAACCAGGAAGAGCGCGGGGCATGTTCGCCGCCGGAATGGGTGCGCCGTTCAACCAATTCCAGCTTGGCATCCCTTGGCGACATTGTGGCGAATCGCGACGCTACCGAAAAATGAAATAGCAATTTTTGGTAACCTCGCTGGGCCGATGGTGCTCTCGCTAGCCTCAACGGCCGTATCGTAAAAGCATGTCAGCTTCCCCTTCACCCCAACCAACACACCTCCACTTTTCTCCACCAGCAAGCCAAACCAATCTCATAACAGAAAACTCTTTACTTGGTGAGAGCACTCACCGCACTCACCCCCTTTGTGAAAACGTGTCACCGCTCTGAACCATTTTCAACGATCTGAATCAGCATTACATACACCATCTCTCTTACATTCACCTCCCCTGCCTGCACTCCAACAACCTCATTGCCTAGTACGGATAAAGTGTCCCATCATCGCGTCCCACTTTGTTCTACGATAAGACGGTGACATTCCGCCCGATCTTGCTGCGTCTCATTAATAGTTTTCGCGATTTCCAGCCACGTGAGCTTGTTCTTCCTCCGTTCTTCTGTCAAGAGGAGTCCTATTGATGCTCGAGCGCTGCTATCTTCAAGCCGACCACCGCCTATCCAATAGTTCTGACGTGTGTAATACTTAGTGGCGTAGACCGTACGGCATGCGAGACGGAGGATCGTCGCCGCCGCGTCGAAGCGCCGCCATGACGTCGCACGTCGCTTGGATCCGCACACTCTACGCCCTTTCCGCTCTTCTCCTCTCCGCCGCTGTGCGACAAGGTACGTCTTCGGTATACAGCTACCCCACGCCGTCCTACAGTAAAGCTATCTATAGAGCACCCTTGGACACAAACGATCACCCAACGTAACAAACTTCCGGTAGCGAAACGTCGTATAGCGAAACTCGCAAAGCGAGCATGCATGTATCAACAGCGAACGTACCAACAGCGAAGGTCATGCAACCTGTCCCGGGAACCTCCTATGAGTCGGGTGACGGGTCATCTCACTCGCTTTCCTTCTCCCATTGTTTCCCCTCTCGGCCCCTCGACCTTTTCCCCGTCCCCGCCTCTCACTCCTTCCGCGCCGCTGCTCCAGTGACCGCGGGGCCGTGCACTGTGAGCAATCCGGTTCCCCAGATCAACATCGCAGCGGAGGCCGATTTCGCCAAGCGAACCAAATACCCCGCCACGCAGGTACGTCCAATTCTGGCCTGGGCATGGTTGCGTTTCAAAACAGCGAGCGAAACGTAAAGAGCCCGATACTGCTGCGGAAAAAGTTATACTGCTTGTGGTAACGCGCCTCACCATGCAGCCTTCCCCATTACCCCTTACCCTGTTTCCCTCACACCTCCTTCCCCTCACTCCCCACTCCCCTCCCTCTCCCCTCCCCGTCGCCCCCCCAGCAACAGTTGGTTCGAGTGTTTCTCCACCCCCTTCCCCCCCCTCCCCCCTTCCCCCCCGCGCTCTCGCCCCCGTTCCCCCCCCTGCCCACCTAACCCCACATATCCCCTCCTCAATCCACTTCCTGCTGCGTTCTCCGCTGCCTTTCCCCGCCGCACCGACATCTAGTGCGCATGTTCCTGGAGGCGGATATGAAGCTGAAGATCCCAGAGGCAATTCTTAAGTCACCTACTGCGCCCCCATCCCTCTTCCCCCTTCCCCCCTATCCCAGCTAGTGCGCATGTTTCTGACCAAGGACTTGAAGGTGAAGAATCCGTTGGTGCTGGACGGCAAGTTCAACTGCACTGTGCTGCGCTCCAAGGGCACCAAGAAGTTCACGATCTCCGCCACCGATAAGAAGTGAGATGCCTTCAAACTCGATATAAGCAAAATTTCATATAAGTTCATTTTAATTTGTGTAGCGAAGATATGCTCAACAACTTGTTAGCAGCAATTTGTAAAGCCAAATAACTACACTATGAAGAACCTACACTCCACTAACGATCTGCACTCGTAATTCCCTCCCTTCCTGCCCGTCCTTACATTCCCATCTCATCCTTCCCCACCAGTTACCCTCCTATGCGAATTGTCTTCGCTAGCAACATCCTCGTTAACGGCATCAACGTGAGAGGTTTCGCACCTCTGGCTTCCAATCCCGACTGCCAGTATCTCGAAACGCGCTACCTCGATTTCATCGGCAAGTGGAAATGCCCCGCGATTTGGCTATATCGCGTATGGGCGGTCCAGGTCACGCAGGGGCGAACTTTCGGCCGGATCGAAGTCTCTCGCGCGTCGCACACGCGCATCGACTCCATGACCGTTAACGTCCATCCGTTAGATTACCCGGGCGCGATCGTCGTGATGCTATCCGGCGATGGGCCGAACCTCATCCGCAGCAACGTGCTTATAACGAATAATAACATGATCGCGCAGGGACCCCCCGGGAAAGGCGCTGAGATCGGGCTTATGCTGTATCGGAACGCGGTGGGCGTGAACGTGTTTAACAACCGCATTTCGGAGTTTTCGCTTGCGAGCCTGCAGATCGGGTTCGGGCAGTCGAACGTTGGCGACGCGATGCTGAGCAACGTGATGCGCAACAACATGGTGCACACGTTCTCGACGCTCGGCGACTCGGCGGGGATTTACATGGACACGCACTGGGTGAACCCTGGGAATATCCTGAGGTGTAACTACGTGCGCAAGGGCGAGCACTGCCTGTACCTAGATTGGGTGTCGACTGGAGTGATCGTGGATGGGCTCGTGTGCGATCGGACGGCTGACGGGCTCAAGCTGAACACTGGGAAATAGTGAGTCAACGATGGTCAACGCTGGTTTTTTTTGCGTCAACGTTGGTCAACGACGGGAGGTAGTGAGTCCAAGGTGGTCTCTTGAGTGTACCCGCCCAAGTGTATGCCTTTTTCTCCAACCCTCTGCTACCTGGCTCATAAAATTCCTCTTCCCAACACCTCTTCCTTCTTCTCTTCTGCTCACTTCCCGTCCCCCCTTTCTCCCCTTCCCCCCTGTCTTCCCCCCACAGCAACCACATTCAGGGCATGGTGGTGATTGATGGATCAGCGTTCTCAGCGGGGTACATCTCGTGTCAGAACTACAACGTGAACAACTGTAACCAACCCAACGGGAAGAAGTGGAACGACGAGCTGGTTAAGAACTACCAGACCCCGGGGATCAAGAAGGTGAGAGGCCTGCGGATGGGGATTGAGAAGGTACAAATTCGAAGGTGAGAGGCCTGGGGATGGAAAGATGAGGCCCAGGGATGGAAAAACGTGGCATGGGGATCAAGAAGGTACATTTCGTGCCAGAACTGCAATGTGACAACTGCGATAAACCCCACGGGACAAAGTGGAATGACGATCTAGTTAAGAACTACCAGACCCCGGGGATCCAGAAGGTGAGAGGTTCTTCCCTCACCTGGCCCCCCATGACCCATCTTCCATACTCCCAGTGTTTCCCTGCCTAACCATCAAAAGCATCAAGGTTGCTCCACGTGTCATCTCATGTCCCTCCCTCTCTCCATCCCCTCTTCTTCCCACTTCCTCCGCCACCTGTGAATCTCCCCTTTGCTGTCCCAGTTCTCCCCCTACCTCACTGGTTTCTGTGCCTAAACAGCCTTGCAAAACATTGTCTGTGTTACCTTGTTATGTTTGGACAGTTGTTTCAAATCTCTCCCCCATTTTCACTCCCTCTCATCCCCCCGTTCCCTCACAGTTCTTCCCCTATCTCACTAATTTCTGCGCCAAGAAAGCTCTTTACAACATCAACTGCAACGCCGGGAGCCAGTACAGTGCTGCTGTCACTGGTGGCTGCTCAGGCCTTCCAACGGAGAATTACGCGGAAATCGTCACGGCGATGACTGATAACTCAACCAAGTGGGTGTTTTATCAGGACAACTGCAAGCCGTTTCCGTCAGTCCCGAAGCTGAACACGCTGCGGTATTTCTCGACTTCGCTTTCGCAAGCGGGGTTCAAAAACGTCAAAGCGATGGATTTCGCACTGACCCCGAAGTCGCCGATCAAAAAGGCGTTTCCGCAGTTTCGAAGCTGCCCGACGAAGAAGGGCGGGCCGAAAAAGGTGGATTTCCAGACGTACATGAATCTATTCAACATTGACAGGCCCGCGGACAAACCAATTACAAGCATCCTCACGTACACGTTCAAGCCGGGCAAGTCGAACACGAATCCTGCTTCCGTCGCCAGCGTCGCGAGTGCTACTGATGGGACCCTTGGGAACGCCGCGGTGATGGCGACTGCGGTGGATGACGATGAAAGCAGCAGATTGATTGTTGTCCAGTCCACCGAGAACGCCGAAGAGCCGGTTGTGCGAAATGCGGCGATGGGTAGAAGCCATTGGACACCGGAGCTCGCGAGGGAAATGAGCCCGGGTTACATGAGGGCGCTGGCGAACCATCGACGAACCCGAGGGAGGGTGCCCCCACGCGTTGGAATCAGGGTGTTGCCCAAAGCTGCTTAGAAGGGAGAGGTATGTCCAGTAGGTCTTCATTATTGATATATGTATGTTTGTGGCAAAACTACTCGCTAGTAGTCCATTCTTTCCTGTATCCTTGCTGTTTTGTCTAATTGTAGTTTATACTGAGCAAGCATTCTCACCTCACTGCAAACTCCCTCCAACCTACCACATCCTGGCACCAGGCTGTGATGTCTAGATCATTCATGCCATATGCGCCATCAACAGTACCTGCCTGAAAGACAAGATCCATCCTGCACTCAACAGCCAATGAGACAATTGTTGCTGGCCTTATTCAACCCAATCACTGAGGCTCACTGCAACCTGAGTAATCCATTACTGCAACTATCACTTACACTTTCCCCTAGTCTACATGAACGCTACAGCAATCAGAAGCCTTTGTCTGCGAGCCAGGCAGCGTAAAACAGGTCGACCCAGTTGTCAAGCAGGCCCGCCAAGCACGGGATGGAGGCAGTCCATACTTTCTGTGCCCTGCGACCCAATCATGGTGTCGGCACGGCACAACATTGAACTGATTCGGATCACTCATCACTGAGTGCAACCCGAATGATACTAATGCAATCAGAAGCCTTTATCTGCGAGCCAGGCAGCATAGAACAGGTCGACCCAGTTGTCAGGCAGGCCCGGCAAGCACGGGTGGAGGCAGTCCATGCTTGCTGTGCCCTGCGATCCAATCATGGCATCGGCACGCGCGAGAGACGGGTGTGTGATGTCGAGGAGCCGCACCCGCGAGTTCTTCCGCCCAAACAGCTGCTTCTGCGTGCGGAACCAGACCTTGCTCTGCGCGTTCTTGGAGCGAAGATAGGCCACCTGGGTGTAGGAGCATGGGAGGGTGGGGGTAGGGGAGAAGGAGAGTAGGCCAGCTGAGCCAGGAATACTAGATGGTATGGCCAGTCCAAGCCAGTCAAGCAAGTCCGGGCAGCCAGGTCAGTAAGTGCATTCATAGGTTTAAGGCTCCATACATACCTGATCTGGGGGGCTGAGAGTGACGGTATTCTGGCAGCCAGCAAGGCGGGGAGGTGCAGAGAGGAAGTAGGCCACGTAGCGCCCGCCTTTGCTCGACGGCTTGCGGCTCAGCCTTTTTCTCACCGCGTCCATCGCACCCCTGATGTTCGAAGGGAGGGGTGTACGGGAGTGCTGGGTAAGGTCAAGGGGTGTAGGGGTGCAAGGTGCAGAGAGGAAGTAGGCCACGTAGCGCCCGCCTTTGCTCGACGGCTTGCAGCTCAGCCTTTTCCTCACCGCGTCCATTGCGCCGCTGATGGGTGAAGGGAGGGGTGCACGGGAGTGGAGAGCAGTGGGGTAGGGTCAAAGGGTGGAAGGACAGAGGGCTTACGGCTCAGCTTCTACCTCGCTGCGTTCTTTGCACCGCTGATGGGCGAAGGGAGGGGTGTAAAGGTGTGTTGCGCGGTGGGGTAAGGCCACGGAGCGTATGGGGTGGAGGAGTAGAGGGCTATGGACCTTGCAGCTCAGCCTCCATTACAAACGCACACATTAAAAGCGCACCCATAACAACCCCCCCCATTACAAATACACCCCTTACAAGTCCACCAGTTACAAGGACACCCCTTACTAGTCCACCTGTTACGAGCAAACCCAAGCACACTCACGCGTAGGCCTTGAACGTATCAGGCTGGGGAACTAGCAGCTGCACACCCAGTACAAGCACACTCACGTGTATGCCTGAAAGGTGTCCGGCTGGGGAGCCAGCAGCTGCCACTTGCGGTCGGTGAAAAAGCGGCGGAGCCTTTTGTCTGCATTCGGCCAGTGGGTGGCCGACTGCAGCAGCACCAGGTGCGGATGGGTGCAAGCATGCTAACATGCCCACTACAAGCACACCCATTTCAAGCACGCCCGTTACAAGCACAGCCCTTACGAGCACACCCGTACCATTCCGCCAAGCCCAACCGTTAGAAGTACCCCTGTTTCAAGCACAACTCACGTGTATGCCTGAAAAGTGTCCGGCTGGGGGGCCAGCAGCTGCCACTTGCGGTCGGTGAAAAAGCGGCGGAGCACGCTGGGGCTGGAGCAAGCATGCTAACATGCCCCTTACAAGAACACACGTTGCCATCCCACCCATTACAGGCACACTCACGTGTATGCCTGAAAAGTGTCCGGCTGGGGGGACAGCAGCTGCCACTTGCGGTCAGTGAAGAAGCGGCGGAGCCATTTGTCTGCATTCGGCCAGTGGGTGGCCGACTGCAGCAGCACCAGGTGCACGTGCGGCAGCAGCAACGTCCAGTTGGGGTCCGGTTGGAAGAGGTTCACTGCGGTGTCGCCCAGTGCTGGGTGTTCGACCTTGAGCCTCTTAAGCACCTGGGTGCGAGGAAAGGGAGGGAGAGAAAGGGGGAGTTGGGGAAGGTAGTGAGAAAGGGGAACAGAAAGAGAGGGGGGTGAAAGGGAGGGGATGAAAGAGAGGGGGATGAAAGGGAGGGGGATGAAAGGGAGGGGGATGAAAGGGAGGGGGATGAAAGGGAGGGGATGAAAGGGAGGGGGATGAAAGGGAGGGGGATGAAAGGGAGGGGATGAAAGGGAGGGGGATGAAAGGGAGGGGGATGAAAGGGAGGGGGATGGTGACAAAGGAAGAGGGAAAACAGAAAGGGTTGGGTAAGAAGAGTGGGCTGCTTAATACAAATAATTCATGTCGACGAGAGAGTTAATGCCGTACCTTGGAGTCGGAACTGAAGTCCATGAGAAAGGGGCTCCACACGTGGATGAGCGTGACTTTGAATTCGTCGACCGTCCACGTGGTCTGCTTGAAGCGGCAATCGTAATTCACTTTGCGCGCGGGCGACGCGCGGTGCACTTGGCACAGGAACGACGGGAAGAAGCCCTCCCACATTAGCGAGTCCCCCGCGAACAAGATGTTCCTGTAACGGGGATGGGGTGCAGCGGCACGAACGAGGAGACAAAAGTTGCGCTACATGTTCCTGCAACAGCACGTGCGACTGCGTGCGACTGCAGACGGATGCCAAAGACTGAAGGATTGCGCACGACTGGGGGCAAACTGGGGCTCTTGGGGGCAGTTGAGGTCGAGTGAGGGGGTGGAAGTGGGTCAGTGAGGACGAATAGGGGGCGAATTGCGGAAGGGGTAGGAGAGGGGCTCACTTGTTTCGCATCTTTTCGAGGAAGTTGCGCGCGTCGAATCGAAGGGGCTGCGAGCCGCACTCGTGCGCCTTCCACGAGTAACGCTGGCAGCACGGGATGGGATGGGATGGGATGGGTTGAGATGGGATGGAATGAGGTGGGATGGGATCGAAGGAGGGAGAGACGTTGCTGACACGGGACACAATCCAGCAATGGAGCAGCGGATGCTGTGATATTGATAGACGGCGACTGAACTTCCTAGTCGGGGGTCTTTCACGAGTTGCTGGTACGGAGGTTTCCAGCCAGGTTGACTCGGATTGACCGCGTTGACTTGCACTCACCATCCAGTTGCGATCGGGCCGCGAGTAGCGCGAACCTAAGCAGTTCGTGGTAGTCGCGACCTCCTGTAAGATGGGGTGAGACGAGGCAGAGGGAGATATGGAGATACGCAGATACATCTGAGGGAGCAGCGGAGGTATTACGGTGCGTTGCGGTGCTGTAGCGACGCCCTACTCTGTGTGCTGGCATGTGTGACTTCGACCATTCTCGGTCCGTACCGAGCCCGATTCCATACCTTGAGGAACGGACACGTGCTCTCGTCGTACGCGGGTCGGTTATTGTCGAGCACCCACGACCCGGTCGTGAGGCTGCAGCCGCGCTTACCCCGCACCAATCGCATCGACCTGCGGTGGGCTTGTGCAGAAACCGTTTCGTTTCCATTCGCCGCTTCACGACGTGCGAAATTTGAGAATCCGTTGCCGAACTCCCGCGCGGCTTCGCTAGCCCATTCGTCGTGTGCTTCTGTTTCGCGTGCGAACGACAGTTCCTTCTCTGCGAAAGCCTGGCGAAACGCATCAGCCGGATTACTGAGTTGGTCTGCAAGGACTGTTTTGTTGAGGGAAAACAGCATCCCGTCTCCCGCGGCTGCTGTGTTTGGCGAAGCGAGAATAACCAGAATAAGAAAAGAAGCGCCGATGAGGGAAAGGTGAAGCGGTGAACGAAAATCGTTTCGTCCGCCCCGCCTGTCAACTAGTGCCGCTTGGTGCCGAGTACCCATCGTTCTCCTTGAAGGTACAACTGCAGAAGCAACAATCTTGTGGTGCAAAAGGACGAGGAGCCTCGCTCGTTGCACGGTTTGGACCTAAAATCACAGAATCTCCTAAAGCTCTGATCGCTTTTCATCAGACGAAGGAACACAGAAAGGGAGCAGCGTTGGGTAGTATTCCCTCCTAGCACCGGATTCGTAACAAAAGGATCGATGTAGTGGAAAGAGAGACTGGTTTCGAGGCAGACAGGTAGCAAGGTAGTCGCTATGGCTGATCGAGATGAAAGTTGCTGGTTGCGTTGCGTTGGGTCGGTGGGACGGGAAGGGGCGATGAGAGTGCAACGACAGGCGACATCCTGGGGGAGGGTTGGTGCGGTATGGAGGGGGGGCGATAGGGCCGAATTCGGGATTGCTGCGATTCGCGATTCGGGTCGAATTTCCCCGGCTTCAGCTTTCCAATTTGCAGCCTCTTGGTGTACAGGCATCGCCGTGATAATCTGTTTATTTCGGGCAGGTAAACTACGGATGAGACAATATCCTTTCGCACATTGGTTGCTGTTTTTTGTGAGCCCCTCGACGACCAATGAGTTGCTTACGGGGAACTTTTGAGATCTAGAAAATTGGAGAGAGGGGCGAAGGAGCCGAACCGCGATTGGCAAATCCAGCCCTTGATAGCGCGTCTCGTGTATTCTGCTACTGTTCTCCCACAAACCCAAGCATTGCCTTGGAAAAGCAGCCCAGAGTAGCCTGCCTTTTGCCATTTGCAGAGCAGGGAGGCTCGGACCACGTGTAAAGCCAGAGCACTCTTCCAAAGCTCCCCGAGCCACACATAAGCCTCGCTGTAAAGGGAGACTTCAAACCAGTCACTTGGGTAGCTGTTCAAAACGCAGCGCGTTTGACTGCATGACCTAGGTTCGGTTCCAAGCCCAGAGTCTGATCACGCTTTTATCGCGGATAGAACTGGCGAAATGTACTGATTATACAGACTAGAACAGTTTTTGCGCATATCCTGGATAACGATACTTATAAACGTACGGTAGTTTCATCAGAGTAAGACTGTCGAAGCGGTGTAAAATTATTAGACCAAGAAGACAATGAAAATGACATAAAAAGACGAGAACGTACACTGCGAATGTCACTATTTCTCTGATGCAAAATGCAACTTTCTGAACTAGAATTGTGCAAACTCCAACGCATTCCCATCTGGATCACGGCAGAACACAGCTGGTCGACCTGACTGGCTCATAGTGTAAGGAATTCCTGCATGGGAGTCACAATCACAACACACAATAAGGAGAAGCCACAACAGATGCCAGGGTGATCTCCATGAGCAGATTCTACAATGGGAAAGGAGACACGGGTATTGCATGACAGACTGGCTGCTGTCTCATCTGATTACAAAATTTCGTCCCTTCCCCAGCCTTCCTGCTTATACTTGAGCACCTCATGCCATACATGCCAACCCATGCCATGCACATCATCTGATGCATTGCATGCAATCCCGTGCAATACATTCCATGTGATGCAATCCATGCCATCCCGTGCCATGCATGTCACCCCATGCACATGCACGCATCCCGTGCCATGCCAGTCATGCCAGCTTGTCACCTGCTCTATCCAGGGCAGCCTGGAGCGGTGCCACATCAGCAACCTCAATGCACGTGTGCCGGTCCCGACCGCCATGCTCAGGTCTACCAGATGTCGGATCAGGATTGGGCAGCACCATGAGGTGGATCATGCCGCCCCTGCTGCCCTCCCCTTGACCAATCCACAACCATTTGCCGCCATATGGCAGCTTCTGATCGGGCCGCGAGTCGTTCACCTCCAGACCTGTTCCGGAGTCGAAAACAATGCGGTAGATGAGATTATCAGGAGGCAGAGGGGGGGGTGGGGAAGTTACGACGCGTGCTCCCTGGTTTGCACGCCCGCCACATACAGTACCCTTGCACTTGTCCGAAAACCGTTTCATCCTTCACTACCTTGTATACTCTCTTGTCTCTGCGTTGCCCTGCGCCCTGCTCTGCTCTCTCCCACCACTCTCACCCAGCAGCCTCCCGTTACTCTCTGGTTCGGCTATGCACTCTAATTCTGCTCAGCTCTTCTCTGCTCTGCTCAGCTCTCCTCTGCTCTGCTCTGCTCGGCCCTGAGCTGAGCTGCTCTGCTCTACCCAGTCACTCTCACTCACCCAGCACGCCGCAGTAGAAGTCAAGTGCCTTGTCCAAATCCGCGCACAATATCCCCACATGGTGCAACCCGATAAACGCAGAAGCAGGAGCTGGGAACGAGGGGATACAACAGGCAGTTTGTGGGTAAAGAAGGGAGAAGAGAGAGGGCGAGCGAGGGAGATTGATAATGGCTGTAGTGGTAGGGAGAGACTGTCTCTTTTCTCAGCGGTAATAGGATGATAGCATTTCGCAAAGGTCCAGGTGCTCCTTGAGGACAGCATACGCTCGGCTCCTGCCCAGCGTGGAGCCGATGTCGCCAGGCTCGTAGCTGTGGGCGAGAGGGGATAGCGATCATGTAAACATTGCTGAAAATACCCCTAGCGGTCCTTGTCCTCTGGGTGTGTGGAAGGGGAGCAAGGCACGCTAGGGCAAACGTCAGGAATCGGCTCGGCGATAAGCAGGGTGTCATCCCGCACTCTTCCCCGCACTCTTCTCCGCGCTCTTCCCTGCGCTCTTCCCCGCACTCTTCCCCGCACTCTTCCCCGCGCTCTTCCCCGCACTCTTCCCCGCACTCTTCCCCGCACTCTTCCCCGCACTCTTTCCCGCGCTCTTCCCCGCAATTTTTCCCCCTCTTCCCCGCACTCTTCCCCGCACTCCTCCCCGCACTCCTCTCCCCGCACTCCTCCCCGCACTCTTCCCCACACTCTTCCCCGCACTCTTCCCGCACTCTTCCCCGCACTCTTCCCGCACTCTTCCCCGCACTCTTCTTCTCCGCACTCTTCCCCGCACTGAGTAGCCACTCCTAGGGTATTGGCCACATCGCCTCCAGCCACTCACTATCGCTAGCCTGGGAAGCTGCTGTCGTGGCAGCGTCCGATTGGCTCGCACTCATCGTTACAACAGCCCTCCGGCTTTCCGAAGTTCTGCTCCGAGCCCGTTGTCGTGGCGAAAGCTGCTGGCGACATTGGCGAGAGACTGAAATCTGTGGGGAAGATAGAGATGACGCGCATCGACTGGAATTCGAAGGTTGGAGCGCCCTCGACGCTAGTGGCGTTTGAGTGGCATGACACGTGGCGAGTGATTGCGAGCAAAACGCCATTGTCCGGGGGCTTAGAGCTAAAACAGCGTGACACAGCACAATAGGCCTCTGGAATCCGGACCGGCGGCTTCTAGAATTGAATTGAAATTGAACTTGGTGCTCGGTGGAGTGCCAGGGTGACGGGACATTATCGAGGAGAAGGGATATATTATCGCGGATGGCCCTTGATTAGGGCGCGTGTCTTTTGGTGTAGACGTTCGGAAATTTGGTTGAACTTTTGTTGGTTACCTGATTCGTTAATTTCGCTAAACTTTTCGTCAGGACGTCGTGTGTCCACGTACACTTCCAGCGTCGGAATATGTTGAGCTCCCAAGTTGAACCCTCATCAACAAACAGGTTGGCACGAATGTGCGAGCGTGTGTCCACCTCATCACTGACAGCGACGATGCGAAGTCTGCGACGCTCGCAGCTAGCATCGTGCGCACGAGGGTGCTCGTCAGCGCGAGGCCTTACGTGGCGCGATGTCAAGAGCCCAAACCGGGTAACCTACAAGCGTAGGTCGCGGCTCGGCTGGGCTGCAAAAGTTCAACTTCGATAGTTGAACTTTTGTTTGTCGCGTGATTTTCGGGAGGGGTGGAACCGCGGCTCGGTTTGCAGTTGGTGAAAACTCGAGCCTAGCTCGAGCTAGGTTCAAATGACTACAGTTCAACAAAAAATTCGAGTTTTGCATATAAAAACCAAAAGACACGCGCCCTTAGAATTTTAAGCAAGATTCATTTGCATGTCTCATGAAGGCAATACACTCACAATTCTCAACATAATTGATATATGCTCAAAGCAGAAACCTACCTTACATTGAAATGTATGCAATGTACTCAATTAACCTTGTTTTACACGAAAAAAACACGTTTTGAGAAAACCTCAGTTAGAGAATAAATCAGTGGAAGAATGAAAAATGGGAATCATCTCTTGTAACAGAGTCCCCCCAACCGAAGCCTGTACTCACTGGACCATGGGGACCTGAGGGGGATGCGGGGGAACCTTGTCCCCCTCGTTGATCGCGGTCGCGGCAAGCCCTAAACCAAGCCCCTGGGAGAAACCTTGCTCTTGATTCTGCTCTAGTCTGCTACTATTCCCTCCCTTCCCATCTCTGTGTCTCACAACTCGTCAATCTCGTTGTTTAGACCGATCGCCAGCGCGCGTTGCAGATTATCATTTAGCAATCGACGGTTCCCGGCCATGGCGGCTGTGGAGGAACCCGTTCAGACCAATGGCGCCGCACCGCCGGAAGATGCGGTAAGCTATTCGCGAGATGGTTGTGTGAATTTGCGAAGCACGTACGGTGGAAGGGTGGGAGTTGCAAGTTTTTCGTGTCGCAAGAATACTCAGTCGCGAGCTTTCCCGGTTGCAAGCTTTCACGACTGCTTCCGTCTTTCCTCCGCCGTTCGTCGTCGCTCCTCCGTTGTTCGTTGTCGTTCCTCGCGCTTTTCTCCTATGCTATTTCCTGGCGCTGGAAGGCTCGTGGGTTTACCAAACCCTGGAAAAAATCGCTGCAGTAGCTATCACGTGGCATCAACCTCCACTAATAGTATTGTCGGAAACCCTTTCAACTGCGTTCGTTTGTTCCTTTTAGGTATTCTGATTTTCCCTATGTCCCCTCCATACGCGGAAGGGGAACTTTGCACAGGGAGCGAACATCTCTTGATATACCATTATCTCCTACTTTCACGCCGACCTTCCCGTCCGCTCTGCCTCCCCCTTCTCCCTTTTCTTCCTCCCTCCCCTCTTCCCCCCAACCTTTCCCCCTTTTCCGCTGACCCTTCATTTGCCCGACGGGGGGTTCAGGCGCGCGATTGGGGGACGGCGGAGGAGATTTTTGAGTCAATTCACTAGTCACCCTTTCATTCCTTCCCTCCCCCCCTCCCCCTTCCCCAGGCTGCTAACGGGGAGGTTCAGGCGCGCGACTGGGGGACGGCGGAGGAACAGGCTGCGCGCGGGCGGGCGCCCGTGAAGAAGGAGTTCCTGATGCCGCCAGGTGGCAGAAAATCATTGGCAGCCGCGGGCGGAAATGGGGAGGCGGGGGGGAAGGAAGAGGGTGGGGGGAACGGAGACGGGCAGGGGAAGGCGGGGGGAAAGGGAGAGGGCGGTTGGGGAAAGGGCGGGAAGGGAAAGGGCGGTGGGGGAAAGGACCAGAGGCTGAGCCATCGTGCGATGAAGAAGCAGCGGAAGCAGGTAATGATACTGTAGCAGGCAGTGATAAATGAGGTTATAAAAAAAATTAACGTTTGTGAGGTTTCAGAACCGTTAATTAGAATTATTCCCGCCTTCACTTCCTCCCCTCTCCATCCACCCTCCCTTCCTCACTCCCGCTACCCCTTCTCCTCCCCTCCCCCCATACCCCTACCCCTCCCCCATCCCCCGTCCCCCGTCCGCTCTCCCGCCTCCGCCCCCTCCACCTCCACACACCTTCCTCCTTCCCCTCCCGCCAGGCCATGGCGTCTCAGCCGTGCAACACTGTAGCGCGTACAGGCGACCCGTCCTCGTGTCCGTTTGGCGCCACGTGTCGCTTCAGCCACGACCTTGGGATCATCCGCGCGCACCTGCCGCCCACCCTGGACGGCACCTGCCCCTTTGCCGCCCTCCGCCGGCCCTGCCCCTTCGGCCTGGCTTGTCGCTTCCGGGACGAGAAGCACGGGAAGCTTCCAGGAAGCGACGATGGGGGAGAGGGCGGGGAAGGGGGTGGAGGGAAGGAGGAGGGGAAGGACGACGGGAAGGGGAAGGGTAAAGGGGTTGGGGAGGGGAAGGCAGAGAGTGAGAGGGAGTAAGGAAAAGGAAGAGTGGGGGAGAAAGTGAGAGAGTGAGAAGGGGAGTGAGAAGGGGAGTGAGAAGGGGAGTGAGAAGGGGAGTGAGAAGGGGAGTGAGAAGGGGAGTGAGAAGGGGAGTGAGAAGGGGAGTGAGAAGGGGAGTGAGAAGGGGAGTGAGAAGGGGAGTGAGAAGGGGAAGGGGAGTGAGAAGGGGAGTGAGAAGGGGAGTGAGAAGGGAGTGAGAAGGGGAGTGAGAAGGGGAGTGGGAGTGAGAAGGGGAGTGAGAAGGGGAGTGAGAAGGGAGTGAGAAGGGAGGGGTGGAAGGGGAGTGAGAAGGGGAGTGAGAAGGGGAGTGAAGGGGAGTGAGGGGGGAGAAGGGGAGTGAGAAGGGGAGTGAGAAGGGGAGTGAGAAGGGGAGTGAGAAGGGGAGTGAGAAGGGGAGTGAGAAGGGGAGTGGGAGTGAGAAGGGGAGTGAGAAGGGGAGTGAGAAGGGGAGTGAGAAGGGGAGTGAGAAGGGGAGTGAGAAGGGAGTGGAGTGAGGAGGGGGGTGAGGTGAGGTATCCTGGGGAGGTGAATATGCTTGAGAAGGGGCTGCAATCGAAGCTGTGGAAGCGACAGCTGGACTTCCCCAGAGCTGTTGATGCACTCCAGCGGATCGGATGGACGGTGAGATTTGGACGGTGGGAGATTGTTGTGGGCGGGTACCGTACCGTCATGCGTGATGAAGTGAGTGATTTGAGCGATGGGAGTTTGTTAAGACGTCTCGAAAGCATGTGAGTTGAGTTCACGTGCTTCATCAGGCATCAGGTAAGACGTCTCACTTCACGTGAGCGTTCCATCGCCCCCACTCCTCTTTTTTTCTCCATTCCCTTCCCTTCCCTCCCCTCCCCTCAGCAATGTCTTGTTCCGCTTCTCTTTCCTTTCTTTTCTTCTGGCAGCGCAAGGTGAAGCCTAAAGGGGAGGCCAGCCTCATGCCTGACCTGGATGAGAACGAGGAGGGGGAGGAGGGGGAGGAGGGGGGCGATGAGGAGGACGATGAGGGGGAAAACGAGGGGGGGATGGCGGAGATTGAAAGGGAGGGGCGGCGGAAGGGCGTGCTAGCAGCAGCAGCTACAGCCTCCAAGGAGACTGCAGCGGCAGCTGCTACAGCCGTGAAGGACACGGCTGTAGCGGCGGCGGAGACTGTTGGGAAAGCAGCTGTAGTGGCAGCAGAGGCGATTGGGAAAGACACAGGGGCTGTAGTAAAAGAAGGGGGAAAGGATATCAAAGAGGGGAGGGTGGGGGATGATAAGGAGGTGCGGCTGCCCCACCGGGAGAAAAAACCCGTGGATTTCAAGGGTAAACTCATTGTCGCGCCGCTGACCACCGTGGGTAATTTACCCTTCCGGCGCGTGTGCTGCTCGTTCGGCGCGGACGTTACAGTGGGCGAGATGGCGTTGTGCGGTAACCTGCTGCAAGGGCAGGCGTCTGAGTGGGCGCTGCTAAGGAGGCACGAGAGCGAGAAGTGCTTCGGCGTGCAGCTGTGCGGTCCGCACCCGGATATGGTTGCTAAAGCGGCTGAACTGGTGGCCGAGCATTGCCAGGTGAGGGGTGGGTGGGAAAGAGGAGAGAACAAGTGATGAGGATTGTAGAGTGGGGGGGCCGCTGTGTGGTCCGCACCCTGACATGGTTGCTAAGGCCGCTGAACTGGTGGCTGAGCACTGCCAGGTGAGGGATGGTAGAGAGGGAGGTGGGGGTTGTACAGTGGCAGGTGAGTATGGTTGGGAGAGTGGGAGGGAAGTTATCTGGGCCGCACCCTGACATGGCCACTAAGGCCGCTGAATTCGTGGCTTCGTGGCAAAGAACCACCACAAGCAAGGCGCACCCTAAGTTGGAATATACGCGTTTCGCGTTTTGTACGCACGCGTGTATACGCTAGAGTATAATACGCAATACGTCCAGAGAGGATGTTGATATACGCTTGAAATACGGAGGGGCGGGCAGCGTAAAAACTTTTCCGGGCAGGGTAAAATACCGATTTCTAGCGAGGGGAGGGGGATATGCACCCACACCTATCTCTTCCTGTTTTTTTTTGGAGTGGGATTTCTCGCGGATATATGCGGAAGTGCTTGAAATTGAAATGATCGCTATCTTCCTGAAACACCAGCGCAGTGGAACCTTCCGCGGACGCAATTCGAACGTACGTGCCCTCACAAGAGTGCTTGAGGGGGTAGATATGGCTGCAGCGGATTAAGCTTAGCGCATCGTCGTGGAAAGCGATGTGTGGTCAACTACGAAAATGATTGACAGCGTAGGTTGCTTCAGGCTCGCCTTGTATACGTGCCTGCATGCTGTGCGTGGCTTTCTTGGTGGGGATCTGAGAGGTATGTTGGGATTCAAAGCGGTTGAAAACTTTTGAACTCCAAATTTGGGAGCCAAAATTGAGTCGGCGATGCTCCTCACAAATTGTTCCGCATCGCAACTCGCAATTCCCGTTTTTAGGTTTTTTTTTTTTTTTTTCCCGACGGGCTGCCCGCCCGAAATCCGAGCGTATTTCTAGCGTATTGCGTTTTTGCGTATATACGCCAGCGTACAAACGCAATACGCCTTGGCAGCCGAGCGTATATTCCAACTTAGGGCGCACCTGGGAGAGGAGATAAGACTGAGGAAGTGTGGACTGGCAGGTGCACGGGGGGAGAGATGCGGGACGGGCGGTGTGCAGATGGGATGTCGGTTGAGTGGAACTGCTCGTCATGTGCTTAGGTCACAAGTGACAATCTTGCATAGTTCTGTCTTGCTCTCTTGCCTCCGCCCTCTTTCCTGCCCCACCCTTTCTCTTGTCCCACCTCGCTCTGTTGTCCGCCGGTTGATTTCGTGAATCTGAACATTGGGTGTCTGATTGACATAGTCGTCAACAGAGTAATACTTTTTGCGACATCTCGAAATTGCTCCACCCTCGCTCTGCTCCCCTCGCTCTGCTCCCCTCGCTCTGCTCCCCTCGCTCTGCTCCCCTCGCTCTGTTGTCCGCAGGTTGATTTCGTGGATCTGAACATAGGGTGTCCGATCGACATAGTCGTCAACAAGGTAATGCCCCCCGTGGAACACCGCTACATCCCACGCTTTCTGGATTTCTGAGTCGACTCAAAAGTCCCCTCGTACACATAGTCATCAACAAGGTAATGCCCCCAACGTGTGACAAGGTTGTCACCTATCCTGGGCTGTATGATTCGTACTTTTGTGTGTGTGTGTGTGTGTGTGTGTGTGTGTGTGTCTGTGTGTGTCTGTGAGTGTGTGTGTGTGTGTGTGTGTGTGTGTGTGGTATTCTCCAACACAGAAAGCGTTAGCACACTCTACCATCGCTTGATCGCTCAACCTTCAGTTCTCAAAGTAACGCAAGGGTGCATCCCTTCTTTTGCTGGTTAAACTTCCTCCCTCCCCTTCTTCCTCCCCTTCCCTCCCTCCCTATCTCTCAGGGCTCTGGGTCGTCGCTGCTGCGCAAGCCGCAGCGATTGGAGCAGGTGATTAGAGCTACTGCGCTCGCCATCGACGTTCCACTTACTGTCAAGGTGCGTGTGAGTGAGGGGCAGGGTGCTGTCAAGTCAAGGTCTGCGGGGGTTGGGAGTTTTACCTCACTCTTCGGGTTCTGCGTTCCAAATATGGAGTTGTGTATTTATGCCAAGCAGACTGGACAAATAACCACCTGATTCCCCTCGTCCTTATCGTGCCCGTGCCCCTGCTACAGATGGGCATGGGGTATGCCGAAGGCCACAACGTGGCACACCGCTACATCCCATACCTTCTAAACTGGGGCGCTACAGCCGTGACTCCCGCACTCTTCTTATTGTCAGAGACCCTTTCCACGCCTTTCCGTCTCCTTCCCTCCTGCTACAGATGCGCACAGGGTACGCAGAAGGTCACAACGTGGCACACCGCTACATTCCCCACCTGCTGGACTGGGGCGCTACAGCCGTGACCCTGCACGGCCGCACCCGCCAGCAGCGCTACAGCCGGCTGGCAGACTGGGAGTACATCGGGGAGTGTGCCTCAGTCAAGCCGGCAGGGCTACAGGTCAGTCAAGCCGGCAGGGCTGCAGGTCAGTCAAGCCGGCAGGGCTACAGGTCAGTCAAGCCGGCAGGGCTACAGGTCAGTCAAGCCGGCAGGGCTGCAGGTCAGTCAAGCCGGCAGGGCTACAGGTCAGTCAAGCCGGCAGGGCTGCAGGTCAGTCAAGCCGGCAGGGCTACAGGTCAGTCAAGCCAGCAGGGCTGCAGGTCAGTCAAGCCGGCAGGGCTACAGGTCAGTCAAGCCAGCAGGGCTGCAGGTCAGTCAAGCCGGCAGGGTTGCAGGTCAGGTCAGTGATAGGCACGACGTTGCACTGCATTCTTTTGTTGCTTCTGTTACATTTGTTACTTTATGAGTTTGGTTACAGGTTCGTCATGATTTTCTCAGGGCTACAGGTCAGTGATAGGCACGACGTTGCACTGCATTCTTTTGTTGCATCTGTTACATTTGTTACTTTATGAGTTTGGTTACAGGTTCGTCTTGCTTTGCTCAGATGCATGCATAGCTCGTTAATTCCAATGCCTCCTTTTGCAAGTCTCCTGTAGTGGCAGAGCAGTTTTCGCTGACCTCTATCAACCCCATCCACTCCCCCCCACTGCCCACCCCTGCTCTCCGTCCTCTTTCGCCGTCCGATCACATGGCAGACTGGAGAAGCCTCTCTTTCGCCGTCCGATCACATGGCAGACTGGAGAAGCCTCTCTTTCGCCGTCCGATCACATGGCAGACTGGAGAAGCCTCTCTTTCCAACCCCCATTTCTCCAGGGGAGGACTAGAGAAGCCTCTCCCTCAACTGTTTCCCCTGTCCTCTTTCCAACCCCCATTTCTCCAGGGGAGGACTAGAGAAGCCTCTCCCTCAACTGTTTCCCCTGTCCTCTTTCCAACCCCCATTTCTCCAGGGGAGGACTAGAGAAGCCTCTCCCTCAACTGTTTCCCCTGTCCTCTTTCCAACCCCCATTTCTCCAGGGGAGGACTAGAGAAGCCTCTCCCTCAACTGTTTCCCCTGTCCTCTTTCCAACCCCCATTTCTCCAGGGGAGGACTAGAGAAGCCTCTCCCTCAACTGTTTCCCCTGTCCTCTTTCCAACCCCCATTTCTCCAGGGGAGGACTAGAGAAGCCTCTCCCTCAACTGTTTCCCCTGTCCTCTTTCCAACCCCCATTTCCCCCCCTTCCCTCTTCTTTCTCCCTCCTTCTGTGACAGTTCATAGGGAACGGAGATGTGATGGCATACACCTACTGGAGGAGCCTCAACAGTCTCTACCTACTGTCCTCACTTCCTCCCTCCTTCCCACTCGCTTCTCCTCCCTCCCTCCTCCCCCATTGACAGTTCATAGGCAACGGGGACGTGATGGCATACACCGACTGGAATGAGCACACGGCCAATGGCAGCGCGACAGCTGTCGACTCGTGCATGCTGGCACGTGGCGCTCTCATCAAGGTGAGAGCGGTGGTGCAAGCTGTTTAGGTGATTTTTGTTGTAGTAAAGCTGTGTGTGCTGCCAATCGTTTTCGTTTTACCTCCACTATGCTCTTCTGTTGTCTATCCTCTTCAATCCCTCCCATCCCGGCCCCCCTTCCCCCTTCCTCCCCCCAGCCCTGGCTGTTGACTGAGATAACGGAGCAGCGGCATTGGGACATATCAGCGGGGGAGCGTTTGGACATGCTGCGCTCGTTCACGCGCTACGGGCTGCTGCACTGGGGCTCCGACTCCCCCTCACCCACCTCACCTTGCTTCCCACTGTCTCTCTGCTGCTTCCCCTCACCACTTTCCCCCTCCCCTCTTCCTCCTTCCCTTCCGCTCTCCTCCTCCTTTTTTCCCTTCCCCCCTTCCCCCTCTCCTCCCCGCCCTCCATTCCCTCCCCTCCCCCTACTATCCCCCCAGCCATGGCTGCTAACAGAGATTACGGAGCAGCGGCATTGGGACATATCAGCGGGGGAGCGTTTGGACATGCTGCGCTCGTTCACGCGCTACGGGCTGCTGCACTGGGGCTCCGACTCCCGCGGGGTCGAAACCACGCGCCGCTTCCTGCTGGAGTGGCTGAGCTATCTGCACCGCTACGTGCCCGTGGGGCTGCTTGAAATGCTACCACAGCGCATCAACTGGCGTCCACCGGCTTTCTACGGAAGGAATGACCTCGAGACACTGTTTGGGTCGGACCAGGCTCAAGACTGGGTGAGTAACGCCTTTCTTTCACACTCTCATGGGAAACGTAAGGGGGAGGGGGAGGGGGGGGTTCTGGGTGCGTGGGCAGAAAGGGTAGTGAGCGAGCACCGTGCTGCTTCCTGCTGGAGTGGCTGAGCTATCTGCACCGCTACGTGCCCGTGGGGCTGCTTGAGATGCTGCCGCAGCGCATCAACTGGCGGCCTCCTGCTTTCTACGGGAGGAATGACCTGGAGACCTTGTTTGGGTCGGACCAGGCTCAAGACTGGGTGAGTAACGCCTTTCTTTTTACCCTCTTGGGGAACAAAAGGGGGGGAGGGGGGGTTCTGGGTGAGTGGGGAGTGAGAGGAGAGAGGGAGAACAACGGGCTGCTTCCTGCTGGAGTGGCTGAGCTATCTGCACCGCTACGTGCCCGTGGGGTTGCTTGACCTGCTACCCCAGCGCATCAACTGGCGCCCGCCGGCTTTCTATGGAAGGAATGACCTGGAGACGCTGTTTGGGTCTGACCAGCCCCACGACTGGGTGAGTTTTGCCTTCCTTCCACATACTTGGTTGACACTGTTTGGTTCTGATCCATCCTGGGTCACCCCAGGACTTGGTGAGTTGTAGGTCTTCCATCCTTCCTTTTACGCCCTCCTGTGAACCAGAGGGGGGATTCTGGGTGAGTGGGCAGAAGGGGGAGTGAGAGAGCTGTGTGCTAATTCCTGCTGGAGTGACCGAGCTACGTACACTGGGTTTCTAGCGGCCTTCTCCCCTTCCTACCTCCCCTCCTCCTACTCCCGGTTCCTTCCCCACTCCTGCTTTTAGCAGCTGCATGCGACCTAGTGATTTAGTTAAATTGAACGAACCCCATGACTGGGTTGGTCCATAGGCCTGGTGCTGATGTCACAACCGTGTGACATTCATTTTTGGCTTGCGTGTGTGCAACTTGAGAGTGTGATTGCCATGTACACCTTGCTGCAAGGTGACTTTTGAGTCGACTCAAAAGTCACCTTTTGAGTCGACTCAAAAGGCACCTATGTCACAACCGTGTGGCATTCGGTTCTGGCTTGCGTGTGTACATCTTGCTGCAAGCTTGGCTCTTCCCTTGCGACCTCCCCACTTGTCCTTGCGAATCCTCTTACTGCCTGCTTTTCGTCTCATCGCCCTCTGATCCCCGTGTTTCCCATCTCATCCCGTTCATCTTATCTTTGCTCCGTGCGCTTATCAGGTCAACATATCTGAAATGCTTTTGGGCCCTACCTCACCAAACTTCAGTTTTACTCCTAAGCACAAGTCCAACTCATATGATGCGGCCGAGAATGGCTGATGTAAAATTCCATTTGTCTTTGCCCAGCAGATCATATTCTAACGGCTGTTTGCATTTATTTGGTGCGCATCTACGAGGTGGTTTCTGTTTGCTGTCAAAACGTTAAGAGATCGAGCATTTTACCATTTGGGGTTTTGAAATGTGAGGTTGAGTATTTGGATACCAAGAATTGATTGTTATTTTTCTAAGTATATTGTGTACGCTATCTTTTGTTATTTTTCTCAAACACTCCCTCGTGTCTAGTTTATAGTGAGGCAAGTGAGGCGCCGCGAAACACGGTGCCACAACCAGACTAGGCCGAGTGCGCCCTTATCAGGGTTCCGCAAGTTTCGTTATCCACCTGAGTTCCGATATTCCCTGGCCCGCCTGTCATGTCGGTCTCAGGATTTCTGCCGAATAGGCGGAGGGTCTTTCCCGCATGAGGTCAAGGCGTCAGTTTCCAGGGATGGGTGTTTCGCATCATCTGCGATTCGGGATAACATCAAGTCCGTGATTTCTCGAAATGACTGCCGTTGAGGCATTGCTGCTTCGCATCTTCGCATCATGCTTCACGACAAGCGTTGATTGGGCGACGTGGTTACCGCTGGTCCAGTTTCGTTTCGTCATGGCGTGTCTCTGGCCGCACATCGCGGCTCATGTCATGCATCCCATCCCATACCACACATCCCAACCATCCATCGTCGCATCGAATGTTTCCTGTAGGCAACAGCCATGGAGGGGACCGCCGCACATTTCCCATAAGTACAGACACATCCAGCCCCCGTACAAATAAGCGAAGCTGAAAATACAATCCCCTTCAACTCTTTTTTGGGCTGCTGCCGTACAACCAACGTCTGCCACAATTTCCAGCAGTCTTTGCTTCACGTATCAGCATTTCTTTAGTCTGCTTTGGGAACCCGCGAACGGCTGCTGCGGATTATCAGAATGGCTCGGCTTCTCGTTCTCTTCCTTCTCGTATCCTTCGCGGCGTTCGTCGCAGAAGCGTCGCCAGGCAAGTCAGCGGTTTCGCATGCACGTCTTCGTCGTGAAGCCCAGACTGCACGCGCAGTTTACATTCCCTTCTTCCCTGCTTACGCGTCATTCTGCCGTCGCATACCACTCGCCGTTCTCACCTTCAGCCATCATCTCCGTTCCTAACGGAAATGCCGCTTCCCTCGGTGCACCTTGCCCGTCCACTCCAGCTGACAATACCAATTTCGTGGCGCCTATTCTCCGCGCCGATGCGCAGGTGGACCACCCGCAAGGTACGGCTCTCTCACCCTCTCGTCGCTACATCAAACCTTCTCGAAAATTTCCAACTTCTTGCAATTCTGTGTCCATGGAGTTTTTATCCACTCGCTAATTATTTGCTTTTTGTGTGTATATTCCCGTTTACCTTTTGCAGCTTTCAAGAATCGCCGGTCGCTCATGATCAATGGAATCCCGAATCGCGACACGCCGTGCGCCACGAGAATGACGTGGTGTAACCAGACGGGCCTCACCGGGGCCAAGTGGGTGACGTGGCTTCCGAGCCCCACAGACGGCTGCCTCAACTTCCCGCCGGAATACTACTCGTCGACGTATTACGGCTCGGTCCAAATCGAGTGGTACGCGCCGACTCAGGCGATGAAGAGCGACTGGTACTTCGTCACGTGCCAGCAGGTACGTTCGCGACTCGCAAATTCGCAATCCCAGCGAGAGTGATGTCGCTATTCGATTCGAAGATTGGGTGTTTGCTTCCTCGAAAGAGCACCCGTTTTTTATCGTCGCAACGATGTCACTCTGAGTCGCGTCGCGTTGCTCGCCCAGTCGTCGCGTCGCTAACTCAAACGTGGAGTCGCTGTTTTCTCTGAACTTTCGCGTCGCTGTTTTGTTGCAGCTCCAGTTCTACTCGAGCCGCGACTGCAATGTCGGCGTGCAGCAGCTGACATGCCCCACGGACCGCAACCCGCCGTTGCCCAGCAAGAGAAGGTACATCCGCCGATTTGCCCACATACTTCTTCCTTCCCTCGCCCCGACTGCACACGTGCCTTCTTCCTCGTTGCGCGCCGATTGAACCGTGCCTCACCCGTGCTCTCTTCCCTCGCCGGCTCGCACCTGCTTTCGCATGCCCCTTTTCATTGTCGTATCACATCGCTGCCATCATATCCCTCAACTTGTATTTCTCTTCCTGTCGCGGCTCTACTCTGCCTTTCCCACCCCCTGCAGCCCGTTCCCCGCTATTCGCACGCCGATCAAGTCCGTTAGTTGCCTATACTGTGAGTACCACGAAACTCCGGGCTTGTGGAACTGACGAGTTATTCAGCCTCGGTAGCACCTTCTTTTTGAATTCCGTTCCTCCCCTCCACTTACACGCAAACTTTCTATCCCCTTCGGTGCACTCATGTAATATTCCTAACTCGAAAATGTTGTGCTGTTTATGTGTTTCTGTTACGTGGTAACCACCGAGCAGGGCAGGACCTGACCAAGTTGTACACGTGTCCGGCCAACAGCCACCTGGAGACCAAGTGGGCGGGCGCCAAGTGCTACTGTAACAAGGGCTTCGCTGAGCAGAACGGCGTGTGCGTAGGTAAGTCAACGCTGCCACTCCAACCCTTCCATCTCTCCCCCCCGCCACTTCCGCCTCTGTTTTGAGCCGCCTCGACACCAAGTGGGCGGGCGCCAAGTGCTATTGCAACAAGGGCTTCGCTGAGCAGAACGGCGCATGCGTCAGTGAGTCAACGCCACAATCTCGTACCCCCTCTGTCGTTCCTCCACCTCTCCCCCCACTTCTCGTCTCTTCCCCCCACCTCTTCCCCACCGCCTCTCCCCACTCACTATCCCCTGTCTGCCCCCGTCTCCCCCTCCCGCCCCAGACGTGTGCACGCCCCATCTTGACCCCCCTCTCTCCCCCCTTCCTTCCCCCCTCCTTCCCCCTCCCCAGACGTGTGCACGCCGCTCAACTGCGGGCCCAACTCAGACTGCTACGTGTCAAACGGAGCAGGCGTGTGCAACTGCACGGACGGTTACCGCATGGTCAACAGCAAGTGCGAGGCCGTCGGCAACTCGGACTTCATGGAGCCGCACAACGCCGCGCGTGCTGACGTCGGTCTGCCGGCGCTGACGTGGAATGACACTCGTGAGTGTGACTATAGCGGAGTCAGTTGATTGTAACAGGTAAAGACCTGTGAATGCGTTGCAATGTGCACTGGCCTTTTAGCTATCCATCTCCTAGCACGTCTCTATGCTAAACCCCGGAATTGTCCGTGTGTTGCGCTCCTCTCTCCCGTCGCTTTCCATTAGTGGCCTCTGAGGCTCTTGCCTGGATCACCCAGCTCTCCACAACAGACAACACTTGCAAAACAGCCACCCGCAACAGCGCCCTGTCGTACGGCCAGAACCTGCTGACGACCATCGGCATCGGCCAATGGACCGGGAGAATGGTCGTCAACTCATGGGTGGCGGAAAAGGCGAGCTACACCTACGCGCCTCTGAACGGCGGGTGTGCGGCCGGTGCGATCTGCTCTCACTACATCCAGATCGTGTCTAAGCAGTCGACAGACGTCGGATGCGCTTCCATCACCTGCGCCGGTGCGGGGGCTCAGCTCTGGGCCTGCTTCTACTCGCCCAAGGGCCTTGTCAAGGGCACTTATCCCTACTAGTCTGTATCACCAGTAGCGGTCTCATGTCTCATGTAGTTCTAAAGGGTATCCATTCTAGCATCCTGAAAATCCATGCTACTGGTCGTTGTCAGGGACGGGTGGAATCCGTGGGGGCTGGCCGGACTGTCTGCTGCTTGTATCTAAGCTCTGGTGATTCTTCATGATTGCAATGTTGTATGTTAATCATACGTCGCTTGTATGTCTATTTTTTTATGAGATAAGTGGATTGATATGGGGAGTAATGTCGGTAGTGCGGCCACTCATGCCACAGTGCATATGGTAAGGGGCACGATGTCGAGGTTGGGAAAAGATAGGTAATGAGGAAAGATGAGAGGAGTGTAAGGAGCCTGCAGATTGGCGAGTACTTGTATTAAACAATTGATGCTTCTATCTCAATGTCGGTAGCCATATGAAAACCTGCCCAACACGTACCTTTACCATACAATCCATGCCCCACGGCTTACGGACGATGAAAGGGATTTTTATGGCGATTAGTATTTTGTTTTTTTTCAAAGAAAGCCCAACGTTGACTCAAAACTAGTTGGGAGACGAATTGATGGTGAACACTTGGATGAATTCCGCGCGTCACAGGGCATATTCCAAATTGTCATCATTTATGTACAGTCTCATATCATATGAATATCCGTACGTTAAAAGTTTGGTTACATGCCAGAATATGGTAGCTGATTTGAAAAAATTGCGTACATGTACAGAGTTGGACCCGCCCTTATCGCGGTCCAGGTGATGAACATTGTCTATTCTGGTGGAACAGTTTCGTTCCAAATGAAACCCAATCTCCGACCAAAAGACCCTTTCCGAATCAGACCCAGACGCGTCTCGGTCCTCGGCCCTAGATCGGGGATTGGTTGGGGGATGTCTAGCTTCCCCGTCAATTATCAAACCAACTCCCCTCATGTCCGTCTCGCAGCCCCGCTCCCAACCTCATGCCGGTCGCAGCGCAGCACAAAACCCCCCTCGTTCATGCTGTGTCGCCCTGCAAGAACGACATTTTTGAAAAAGGAGGAAACAGAAAGCAGATTAGAGCCTGAGTTACGGTATTATTTGCATGAACTCATCTGCGGTGCGATAAGTGAAATCTCCCTGACGTTGCTCCTGATTGGTTTTCAGTTTCCGTTCAGATAGCCGGCTATTGGAGAGGCAGAAACCTCCAGCAATCCCCAACGCAGGTCTCGAAACACCTTTCTGCGACTCGTTCGAGTTTTCCCGTCACGCAATCACATCCGCTTTGCTTCCCCCAATCCAAAGCCCTACCACGGAGAATCAGCCATCCAGCTACAAAAGCAATGAGGCAAATCAGTCTTCTCAGAATACCCAATTCAGTTCTAGATATCGTTAATAATAGCATAATAGCCGTCTAAAAATCTTCGTTGTTCAGTTCGTTTAGTTCCTTTCAGAATACTCCCGTGCCAGTCCTCCACGATGGCGCGCCTGGCTTTTCTCGTTGCATCCCTGTCAGTGATGCTGGTGGTGGCTTCCGCGGCTCCAAGCGTCATGACTGGACCCAGCAACCCGGCAGTCAACCTCGACCAAGCCAAGGGCGCTAATGGCGTCGTGACGAATGTTCCTGCAAGCATCGAAAAGGCGGCGGCAGCGGGCAACCTCGACCAACTCCAGGGCACGACGGTCGTCAGCACGTCCACTGACAGTATCCTGATGGTGGACGTGAAGCAGGCCGGATGGAACAAGATGAAGTGCAAGTGGGGCGCGGGCTTTGACGACGCCGGCAAAGGCGCGTGCACGGTTCAGAACTGCAGCTTGGGCGGCATCCCCGCCAAGTGGAAGACGTCGAACCTGCTCAAGAACAAGCTCGGAGTGGAGGTGTACGTGAAGGGGAATCCTTGCACGGTTAAGAAGGCGTCCCCGCAGGCGTGCTGCAACTCGTGCGCGGGATTCAATGGCTGCACGTACTGGCAGTTCATCCCCGATATCACGATTGACGGAAAGAAGTCGGACGGCGCGTGCTACATGGTGCACGACAGCATCGACTTCACCTGCGGCGAGCTCACCGCACAGTACGCGACGGACTCGAAGCCCATCGCGCTGCAGGTGCGCACGGGCGGCGAGTGCAACCCCGCGGCGAAAATCGTCAACGACCCGCATCTGGTGGGCGCGTACGGCACGCACTTCGACTTCAACGGGCGCCCCGACAAGGCTTTCTGCCTGCTGGCTGACAGGGACCTGCACATCAACATGCTGCTGCGCGGTTACTACTCGGACGACACGGAGAATGCCGCGCTCGTTGTGGACGGCAAGGCCGTGCACACGTGGATCAAGGAGCTGGGCATCATCTGGTTTGCCAACGGCGCCGACCACAAGGTGCGTCTGGCGGCGCGCGGCGGCAAGCAGCAGGAGCGCGGCGACGGCTTCATGAAGACGATCGAGATCGACGGCGAGGAGATCCCGAGGATGAACGTCGGTGATGAGGTGACGACTGAGGGAGGTCTGACTCTGCGATTCGCCGCTCTGGAGAAGGAGGGCCCGTATGACGTGGACTACTACACCCTCGTCATCGACGGTCTCGTGGGTCTCGACCTGCGCCTGCGCGTCGCCAACCCCAAGCTTCAGACCCCCAACGACTCCGAGGCGCACATCAACGTGGGGATTGTCGAGCTGGAGCACACCGACGACGTGCACGGCGTGCTCGGCCAGACGTACCGTCCCGACCATGCGGAGCGCGCCGCTAACTTCCAGAAGATGATCGCTACCCTGCACCGTCCGATTTCGGCGGAAAGCGAGGAGGGCGCTGGGTTCCTTGACGGCACTCCCCGCATGTACGAGTCGAGCTCCGTGCTGTCCGTTGACTGCGCGTTCACGGAGTACCACCGCGCCAAGCAGCTGAGCCCCGTGCAACACATCGACCTGGAGCCCTTTCCGTAGATGCGGTGCTTGCGAACTGGGTGGGCTGACTTTTGTGGGCTTTTAATGGTGGGCTATTTCGGTGGGCTGATTTGGTGGGCTGCGATGTGCGCAGGATACCTGTGCATTTGTATTGTAGGTGGGCTGGTTTTGTACCAAATATTCAAATGCCACTGCAAACTTCCTTGAAAATGTTTGGCGTTTCACACTTAGACCCCGTTCGGCAGCGCTCTTGGGATCGCGGAATCAGTAAACTGGGGCGGAACCCGCCAAAAAGGTGAGGCCGCAACCAAACAAATACCGTAGGTGAGAGAGGGTTTTGCCAGCTCGCGCGATTTCCCGTCAGGAGGGGGACGTTTGGCGGGGACATGGACGACCATCCTCCCCATCTTCCAACCTCCTGGCCTGAGATTTGGTACAAACAGTCACGAAATGAAGAGCAAAAGACGTTTGGAAAAAATAGTGTAGACAGATCCCGTAAATACCATACAAACATATAATTTGACACACTGCAATATATTATGGTTCAGATGAAATATTTGAATCGCACTGATTCAGAGGCTGTAATAGCATTGTACCATGGCCGTGATTTAGATTAGATATTTTCACTGATGCATGTGTGTAATGTGTTTCAAGTCCATCTATGAAGGCCTCACTAATACCGGTATGGCTGGTATGACTGTTGGAAATGATGGGTGGTATGGCTGGAAAATCTGCAAGTGTTCAGAAGCATGGCACGCAACCTATATCTTTGATTAATAACAGATTTACAATGCAAATACAGCCCACCTACAATACAAATGCACAGGTTTCTGTGCAAGTCTCAGCCCACCTAATCAGCCAACCTAATCAACCCACCAGGATCAGCCAACAGGACGCGAGCACTGCGTCTAGGGAAGGGGCTCCAGGTCGATGTGCTGCACGGGGCTTAGTTGCTTGGCGCGGTGGTACTCGGTGAACGCGCAGTCCACGGACAGCACGGAGCTCGACTCGTACATGCGGGGAGTGCCGTCGAGGAACCCAACGCCCTCCTCGCTATCAGCCGAGACCGGGCGGTGCAGGGTGGCGATCATCTTCTGGAAGTTAGCGGCGCGCTCCGCGTGGTCGGGGCGGTACGTCTGGCCGAGCACGCCGTGCACGTCGTCGGTGTGCTCCAGCTCCACGATACCGACATTGATGTGCGCCTCGGCGTCGTTGGGGGTCTGCAGCTTAGGGTTGGCGACGCGCAGGCGGAGGTCGAGACCCACGAGGCCATCAATGACAAGGGTGTAGTAGTCCACGTCATACGGGCCCTCCTTCTCAAGAGCCGCGAACCGCAGAGTCAGACCGCCCTCAGTCGTCACCTCGTCACCCACGTTCATCCTCGGGATCTCCTCGCCGTCGATCTCGATCGTCTTCATGAAGCCGTCGCCGCGCTCCTGCTGCTTGCCGCCGCGCGCCGCCAGACGCACCTTGTGGTCGGCGCCGTTGGCAAACCAGATGATGCCCAGCTCCTTGATCCACGTGTGCACGGCCTTGCCGTCCACAACGAGCGCGGCATTCTCAGTGTCGTCCGAGTAGTAACCGCGCAGCAGCATGTTGATGTGCAGGTCCTTGTCGGCCAGCAGGCAGAAGGCCTTGTCGGGGCGGCCGTTGAAGTCGAAGTGCGTGCCGTACGCGCCCACCAGATGCGGGTCGTTCTGGATCTTCGCCGCGGGGTTGCACTCGCCGCCCGTGCGCACCTGCAGCGCGATGGGCTTCGAGTCCGTCGCGTACTGCGCCGTCAGCTCACCGCAGGTGAAGTCGATGTTGTCGTGCACCAGGTAGCACGCGCCGTCCGACTTCTTGCCGTCGATGGTGATATCGGGAATGTACTGCCAGTACGTGCAGCCAGAGAAACCCGCGCACGTGTTGCAGCAAGTCTGAGGGGACGCCTTCTTCACAGTGCACGGGTTGCCCTTCACGTACACCTCCACGCCCAGCTTGTTCTTGAGCAGGTTCGACGTCTTCCACTTGGCGGGGATGCCGCCCAGGGAGCAGTTCTGGACTGTGCACGCGCCCTTACCGGCATCGGCAAAGCCCGCGCTCCACTTGCACTTCATCTTGTTCCATCCGGCCTGCTTCACGTCCACCATCAGGATACTGTCCGTGGCCGTGCTCACGACCGTCTGGCCCTGGAGTTCGTCCAGCTTGCCCGTTGCAGCCGCCTTCTCGATGCTACCAGGGACGTTCGTCACGACGCCATTAGCGCCCTTGGCTTGGTCGAGGTTGACAGCCGGGTTGCTGGGTCCAGTCTGAAGGGTTGGCTTATCAGCAGAAGCCACCACAAGCAGCAGCGACAGGGACGCGACGAGGAAAGTCAGACGCGCCATCGTGGAGGACTGCCTCGGGATTCTTCAGAAGGGAACTAATCAACGAAGGAATTCTGGTTGCTACTAATATTTTCGATAACCAGCACGAAGTTTGAGTGTTATGAATAAGGTGGGTTACTTTTGTACCTGAATGCTTGCTTCTCATTGCATGGAGGGGTAGGGCAGGCAGTGGGAGTGGGGAGAAGTGATTGGGGGTGGCGATTGCGTGGCGGAAAAAATCGAACGAGTCGCGGATAATCGACCTGGAACCTGGGATGGGGATTGGTTCAGGGTTTTGCGGGTTTCGCTCATAAGCCGGCTATCTGAAAGAAGCCTGAAAGCTTTTCAGGAGGAAATCCAGGTCAGAATCTCTCCGAACCGCAGATGCGTGAGCGCAAATGACTCAGGTTCATGTGGGCTCTGTTGGAAGCATCTGTTTTGCTGCCCTTTCCTTTTCGCCCGAATGTTTTTTCTTATTGCAGAGCGACACGGAATGGGCGAGAGGTGGGTTGGGGAAAGGGGGAGGTGGACGGGGGAATTCTGTCATAGGGATCTGGGGGGGGTTAGGATGACGGGAGTTGCAAGGATTCAAGTCGTGAGACGAGCGAGGAACTGGGGTGGGTTCCTGCGTGGTGAGCGGGGCGAGGGGGCTGGGGCGGGTGGGGGGGAGGGGGCTGGAATGGGCGGGTCGAGTCTTCATTTTAGAAAGTGCAACACCCTGTTAGTGATTACTGCACACGCTTTGGCTTGATGAGACGGCCACCTAGAGATTTAAGGGACTAATAGTACACAACGGGCCAGTAGTCTCTAGAACAGAACTTGCACCTTGTATTCGGAGTGAAGGGTTTAATTAGATTTGCGTTCCCTTTATATTCTCGGTGTTCCCGGACGGTTTGCGAAAGTACGTTGGACCCTCCTCAAGGAATTTCCTAAACGGTGGCACCTACCCTACGAAAACGTTAGACCTAGGGTATATACCTCAGTGTCTGATATAAAAGGGTGTAAAATCATAGAGAAAATGGGGTATTTTCTTTCTTATACGAAATGACTAGAGTAGTATTCCATGCTCTTGTAAAGATTGGGCTGGTATCATCCGAGTCTTTTAGAACACAAATTGGCACGTTGTGCTTTCTTCTAACTCTTTGTCACTATTCTGCTAAATGCGGATGACTCCAATTGAAATGTAATAGTAAAAAACAATAGCATATTCAAACTATAAGCAACAGCTCGTTAGAAAGAACAGATCAAAATGTTGAAAATAATATGTCGCTAAGGCACAGTAGAATGCTATAGGAAATTAACGACGACTCTGTAGCGGGGCTATGGTCACTCAGAAGTAGCTTTCCTGGATCGCAGTATGGTGCCAAAGAGGTGACGAAGTGTTCGCTAGACATAAGAGGGAAATTTGTAACAAAAGCATGTAATTGCTTTGTGTTATATAGCAAACGCATAAGGCATGCGATCACCGTGGCGCAACAGTATTGAAGTTGCGCTGTGTCGTTTGGGCTGCCTTGCTAAAGTCGCGATGGCAAGGATATCCAGCTTTGGCGCGTGGTGTCATGCTTCGGCATGCAGGGCGGTTTCGCGTACACGGCGTATATCGCAACTTTGAGCTGCCACAAGGGTCAGAACCATCGTGCGCAGTGGCGTTCTTTTATCTCGATAGTTGGGCTAATATAGCGAAGTTCTGATAGTGTAATTTACAGTAAAAAACATAGAATCATTCATTTTGTATGATAAAGATGACGCTCTCTTGTATAAATAAGGCGTCACAAAGGAGGTGCCAAAAGGTGAACTTTGCCAAGGAACGAGTTGGGTAGCGTGAGGAAAGTGATATCATAAAATGGCAAAAATTATGTAAATAGTATGAGAAAGGTGGCTGAAGAGTGTTGGCTAAGCAGAGGAGTTCAATAATGACAATAAACAAAAGTTATAGAAGAAGGGAAGGTGACAAGAGGAGTACACTATCAACAAATAGAAAGTTCACAGGATACTGCACTAATAATTCTGCATGTAGTTATAGTATATGCAAAATATAAAATCTAACATCCCCCTTAACTGCATGCAAGTCATTGCAGATGAGGCCAGCTCTGAACATTAACTGCTGCAGTCACCGAACAGCAACTTGAATCACCGTGGTTGAAATCCGAGGGGTGTCCGGCTGTAGTCGAACCCTCGCAACAGGTGCTTGGTGTGCGCGTCGGAGGGGAATATGCTAAAAAACGATGAAAAAAACTTAAGGAGGTGCGGTGGAGAATTGTTGCAGCATGGTCCAACAGATGGAAGGGAGCGAGGCATGAATAGGAGAAGGAATGGAAAGATTGAGAGGTGGCTGTTGGCGGCTCTCTTGCCCTTTCCCTCCCTGCAGTAGGTGTGGTTGGGAGAGGAAGTGGTGAAATCGGTTGCACTTGATGTTGCCGGCCTCCTCCCATAATCTTCTTAATCTCCCCCCTACACCTGCAAATGTTGCAAGGAGAGAGGAGGGCGAGGGCTGTCGTTGTAGGCCGTCAACCCCCAAATCCCCCCCCCCCCCCCCCCCCCCCCCCCCCCACCCCCCCTGTACAGACCGCCACCCCACCCACGTCCTTTTTTCAGCCCGTCACCCCTAGCATGTGGCGAACTTGACAGTAGGCTCACGTGCGGTTGGCGTTGTCGGAAGCACGGGTGATGACGAGCAGGGGGACGCCTAGCAATGGCGCGGCAGTTTGCGGGCCGAAGGACATAGTTGCTCACATAATTACTCAGTCACATGTGGTACAGCACATTCTTAAGTGTTTTGGCCTCTAGTGTTTTGCTGCACAGCCCACTCCTCATATTGTTAGCCACATGATCACTTCAATTGTTTTTGATAAGCCAATTGAGCCAACTCCGCTCTATGCAGAGCTTGCAGGTTGCTTCCTGTACCTTATGACATGTACTTGAGATAACATCGCCTATCCTCTTTATGTCCAAACACGCTTTGTTACGTCTGAATAACCCATTCACTAGACAGCTGTCCGGTTGTATCAACGTGCCTAGCCACCATATCAAGCTTAGGGCTTATGCTTGGAGGGAGTGAGCCACTACGATTTACAAGGCCTAGCACCTCGTCGTGGGTAGACAACGAGGAGATCCGCAAGTCTATACAGGGATATTGTTTCAGCATGGGCTATAGAGCTTTGTCGTTGGAGTTAACACGGACGTCATCTTAGCTTTGTCTAGTGCTGAGGTCGAGATCTACGCTGTAGCCATCGCTTAGGTGTGGAGCGCCGTTGGTTGACTTTCCTGCTTGTTGATTTAGGCGAGCGTCCTAGTTCTGCTCAGACATTTTTTCGCTTACAACATAACCATGATCCTTCTATTTGACGAGCCTCGACTGGAGAGCCGACTGAAGCATTTAGCACAGCGGCGTGGTCAGGTACGCTTGGTCCTTGGGGCCTTATAGGCCAACACGGCAGACATATTCAACATGTCCCTCTTGTATGGATGGACCGTAGGTTTTGTTTGCATATTGACCTTATTGTTGAAACTTGATGAGAATGCATTCATGTACGCTGCAAGAGCCAACCCTGCCGAGTTGAAATCGAGGAGTCAGAAGAGACTAAGTAACATCAGCATCTGTCAGATCTGGATTGATGCATAGTCTAGGTCGTTTCGCATTCGCTGCATTTCCTATATAATCTCGATGTATGAGTGCTATATTATCAGAGTCATTATGCATTCACTCTCATCCGACGTCACCACTTCCACTGCAACTTTACACGTGAACAGTCCTTAGTCGATCCTTGGATAAGTCACACTTTTAGGATTGTAATACGCATTCGAACATGTTCTCCTTTATTGTAGACCTTTCTCTGACACTGCATATGTTGTACTTGATAGGGGATATTTGTACTTTAATTTGCTATTTCGATACCAGGTATTCTCGAATTAACATCAAGTATGTATACGCATACATTTATATAAGAACTTGAATTCTGCATTCATAATTTATAAATGTTACTACATCTCTTTTAATTTTGGCAGGATATGGTTCGGTTTGCTGCATAATTTCATCCATGTAGATGAGTGCGAACTTTGTCTAATATACATGCACTGTTTTGTTTGTCAATAAAAAAAATGTATGAATATGCATCTAAAATCTATTTATGTTGTCAGACTTCTTTCAGTGATCTTCCAATGTTGCAATCCCAAAAACAGAATAGCCCACAACACTAATAATATTTACAGTCATATATTATAGTTTAGTCTAGTTCTTTCTGTTATGAGGCTTAGTTTTTGAGATTGCATATTAAGCATGTCTTTATGTGAGGCTGTTGCATTGAGTAGGTTGCGTCCTAAGTGATACCCGATCTCTGACCAAAAGATGGAATATCTTCTTGGATTTATCAAGGAATGCCTCGCTATAGTAGATGCTCACCCTGTTACGCAAAATGTTCACGGCTACAAGGTCTTCTTGTAATGAGCATTGTTTGTACCTCGCAATCTTAACTCGCCTCTCCCCTCAGCTCTCCCCTCGCAAACTTCCGCAGGTGGTCTCTTCGCAGCCCAACTCCCGCTCCCCCTCGCAGCGGAGCCCAAACCCCCCTCGTTCGGGTTGCGTCTCCCTGCAAAAAAATTCAGGTAGAAACATGGGGAAACAGAGAGCACAGCGATACCGCAGGCATTCTAGTGAACGCATCTGCGGTGCGAGAAGTTAACACCACCTGACATTGTTATTGACTGATTTTCAGGTCCCCTTCAGATAGCCAGTTACTTCTGGAAACGCCCAGAACCCTGCAGCAATCCCCCAGGTCCAACGACAATAATCTGCGACTCGATCGAGTATTCCCACCCGCAATCACCTCCACTTCTCGCTTCTATCCCAACCCCCCTGCCTTACCACCAAGATCCAGGTACAAAGTCAACAATCCAACTCATTCTCTCAGAACACTCAACCTTGGTTATGGGTATTGATAGCATCAGCAGTCAGAATTTATTCGTTGTTAGTCTCCCGTTAGTCCCGAGGCAGTCCTCCACGATGGCGCGTCTGGCTTTCCTCGTCGCGTCCCTGTCGCTGCTGCTTGTGGTGGCTTCTGCTGATAAGCCAACCCTTCAGACTGGACCCAGCAACCCGGCTGTCAACCTCGACCAAGCCAAGGGCGCTAATGGCGTCGTGACGAACGTCCCTGGTAGCATCGAGAAGGCGGCTGCAACGGGCAAGCTGGACGAACTCCAGGGCCAGACGGTCGTGAGCACGGCCACGGACAGTATCCTGATGGTGGACGTGAAGCAGGCCGGATGGAACAAGATGAAGTGCAAGTGGAGCGCGGGCTTTGCCGATGCCGGTAAGGGCGCGTGCACAGTCCAGAACTGCTCCCTGGGCGGCATCCCCGCCAAGTGGAAGACGTCGAACCTGCTTAAGAACAAGCTCGGAGTGGAGGTGTACGTGAAGGGCAACCCGTGCACTGTGAAGAAGGCGTCCCCTCAGACTTGCTGCAACACGTGCGCGGGTTTCTCTGGCTGCACGTACTGGCAGTACATTCCCGATATCACCATCGACGGCAAGAAGTCGGACGGCGCGTGCTACCTGGTGCACGACAACATCGACTTCACCTGCGGTGAGCTGACGGCGCAGTACGCGACGGACTCGAAGCCCATCGCGCTGCAGGTGCGCACGGGCGGCGAGTGCAACCCCGCGGCGAAGATCCAGAACGACCCGCATCTGGTGGGCGCGTACGGCACGCACTTCGACTTCAACGGCCGCCCCGACAAGGCCTTCTGCCTGCTGGCCGACAAGGACCTGCACATCAACATGCTGCTGCGCGGTTACTACTCGGACGACACTGAGAATGCCGCGCTCGTTGTGGACGGCAAGGCCGTGCACACGTGGATCAAGGAGCTGGGCATCATCTGGTTTGCCAACGGCGCCGACCACAAGGTGCGTCTGGCGGCGCGCGGCGGCAAGCAGCAGGAGCGCGGCGACGGCTTCATGAAGACGATCGAGATCGACGGCGAGGAGATCCCGAGGATGAACGTGGGTGACGAGGTGACGACTGAGGGCGGTCTGACTCTGCGGTTCGCGGCTCTTGAGAAGGAGGGCCCGTATGACGTGGACTACTACACCCTTGTCATTGATGGCCTCGTGGGTCTCGACCTCCGCCTGCGCGTCGCCAACCCTAAGCTGCAGACCCCCAACGACGCCGAGGCGCACATCAATGTCGGTATCGTGGAGCTGGAGCACACCGACGACGTGCACGGCGTGCTCGGCCAGACGTACCGCCCCGACCACGCGGAGCGCGCCGCTAACTTCCAGAAGATGATCGCCACCCTGCACCGCCCGGTCTCGGCTGATAGCGAGGAGGGCGTTGGGTTCCTCGACGGCACTCCCCGCATGTACGAGTCGAGCTCCGTGCTGTCCGTGGACTGCGCGTTCACCGAGTACCACCGCGCCAAGCAACTAAGCCCCGTGCAGCACATCGACCTGGAGCCCCTTCCCTAGACGCAGTGCTCGCGTCCTGTTGGCTGATCCTGGTGGGTTGATTAGGTTGGCTGATTAGGTGGGCTGAGACTTGCACAGAAACCTGTGCATTTGTATTGTAGGTGGGCTGTATTTGCATTGTAAATCTGTTATTAATCAAAGATATAGGTTGCGTGCCATGCTTCTGAACACTTGCAGATTTTCCAGCCATACCACCCATCATTTCCAACAGTCATACCAGCCATACCGGTATTAGTGAGGCCTTCATAGATGGACTTGAAACACATTACACACATGCATCAGTGAAAATATCTAATCTAAATCACGGCCATGGTACAATGCTATTACAGCCTCTGAATCAGTGCGATTCAAATATTTCATCTGAACCATATGTCAAATTATATGTTTGTATGGTATTTACGGGATCTGTCTACACTATTTTTTCCAAACGTCTTTTGCTCTTCATTTCGTGACTGTTTGTACCAAATCTCAGGCCAGGAGGTTGGAAGATGGGGAGGATGGTCGTCCATGTCCCCGCCAAACGTCCCCCTCCTGACGGGAAATCGCGCGAGCTGGCAAAACCCTCTCTCACCTACGGTATTTGTTTGGTTGCGGCCTCACCTTTTTGGCGGGTTCCGCCCCAGTTTACTGATTCCGCGATCCCAAGAGCGCTGCCGAACGGGGTCTAAGTGTGAAACGCCAAACATTTTCAAGGAAGTTTGCAGTGGCATTTGAATATTTGGTACAAAACCAGCCCACCTACAATACAAATGCACAGGTATCCTGCGCACATCGCAGCCCACCAAATCAGCCCACCGAATTAGCCCACCATTAAAAGCCCACAAAAGTCAGCCCACCCAGTTCGCAAGCACCGCATCTACGGAAAGGGCTCCAGGTCGATGTGTTGCACGGGGCTCAGCTGCTTGGCGCGGTGGTACTCCGTGAACGCGCAGTCAACGGACAGCACGGAGCTCGACTCGTACATGCGGGGAGTGCCGTCAAGGAACCCAGCGCCCTCCTCGCTTTCCGCCGAAATCGGACGGTGCAGGGTAGCGATCATCTTCTGGAAGTTAGCGGCGCGCTCCGCATGGTCGGGGCGGTACGTCTGGCCGAGCACGCCGTGCACGTCGTCGGTGTGCTCCAGCTCCACGATACCGACGTTGATGTGCGCCTCGGCGTCGTTGGGGGTCTGAAGCTTGGGGTTGGCGACGCGCAGGCGCAGGTCGAGACCCACGAGACCGTCGATGACGAGGGTGTAGTAGTCCACGTCATACGGGCCCTCCTTCTCCAGAGCGGCGAATCGCAGAGTCAGACCGCCCTCGCTCGTAATCTCGTCGCCGACGTTCATCTTCGGCATCTGCTTGCCGTCGATCTCGATTGTCTTCATGAAACCATCACCGCGCTCCTGCTGCTTGCCTCCGCGCGCCGCGAGGCGGACCTTGTGGTCGGCGCCGTTGGCGAACCAGATGATGCCCAGCTCCTTGATCCACGTGTGCACGGCCTTGCCGTCCACAACGAGCGCCGCATTCTCCGTGTCGTCCGAGTAGTACCCGCGCAGCAGCATGTTGATGTGCAGGTCCCTGTCAGCCAGCAGGCAGAAGGCCTTGTCGGGGCGGCCGTTGAAGTCGAAGTGCGTCCCATACGCGCCCACCAGATGCGGGTCATTCACGACCTTTGCCAAGGGGTTGCACTCGCCGCCCGTGCGCACCTGCAGCGCGATGGGCTTAGTGTCCGTCGCGTACTGCGCCGTCATCTCACCGCAGGTGAAGTCGATGTTGTCGTGCACCAGGTAGCACGCGCCGTCCGATTTCTTGCCGTCGATGGTGATGTCGGGGATGTACTGCCAGTACGTGCAGCCGGAGTAACCCGCGCACGTGTTGCAGCACGTCTGCGGGGACGCCTTCTTCACAGTCAGGGGGTTGCCCTTCACGTACACCTCCACACCGAGCTTGTTCTTGAGCAGGTTCGACGTCTTCCACTTGGCGGGGATGCCTCCGAACGAGCAGTTCAGAGGAGTGCACGCGCCCTTACCAATCGAATCCATACCCTTCATGCCGTTTTTGCACTTCATGGCGTTCCACGCGGAATTCTTCACGGCCACCATCAGCATACTGTCCGTTTTTGTGCTAACAATCGTCGTGCCCTTCAAGGCAGTCAGGTTACCCGCAGCAGCAGCCTTTTCAACGCTAGCAGGGACATCCGTCACGACGCCATTAGCGCCCTTAGCTTGGTCGAGGTTGACTGTCGGGTTGCTGGGTCCAGTCTGAAGAGTTTGGCTTAGCAGATGATGATGATGCTGGGGTGCTGGGTGTAGTGGGTGGCTTCTGAGCCTCTGCGACAGAGGCCACCACCAGAAGCACTGACAGGGATGCGACGAGAAAAGCAAGACGCGCCATGGTGGAGAACGGGCTCGGAACTTCTCTCAAAGGAACTATACAAGGATTTTCTTACAGCTGCTGTCAATTCCAATTACTGAGCTTTGGATGTTATGAGAAAGTTGAGTTGCCTCGTCTGCTTTGTACTTGGATGGCTGGTCCCGAGTGCCTGGACAAGTAAGGGCAGGGGGTTGTGGAACGATGTGATAAAATGTGGCGGGAATAGATCGAACGAGTCGCGCAAATTTGTCCCAGAATTTCGTCAACATTCCGGTTCGAATGTTTTTTTTGTAAGACCCGGAGTTCAGGGGGGTTGACGCAAAATGTTTCGGACACGTTAAGGCTGTAATCAGAAGCGACTTATCGAGAAGCTGAAAGAAAAACCAACTTCTAGCAGGTACCCTCAGCAACGCTTGCACTAACCGTTCAGCGTTTACCTAAACAAAAGTAGTTGTACGGTAATCATACAGAGCTACGATTTATGAAGGGTAAACTTTCCTTGCATCACCACACGCGGCCTGAGGCATCCAGATTTCAGAAAATGAGAAAATTAACCCTGCCTGAAACCTGAGCCAAGGATAGCCGTACTCTTCTTCTCGCGACTCGTTCAAAAGCTGGCTATATGAACGCACCTGATAACTTATCAGGAGCAACTACAAGTGAAATCGACCTATCGCACCGCAGATGCACTCGTGTGGTTGTCGCAGGCGCTGTTTCAGGTGAATAGAACATCAGTAATGCTTGCTGTTATTGTTGTGCTTTCTGTTTCCCCTTCCCGACCGAACTTGGTTCGTATGATTTTGCAGAGCAAAAGCAAGTCGCACTGCTTCCTCCATTCGGTCTCGGATGTGGACTGCGTGTAGATTTCTAGAAATGGGAAACCCTCTCCTTGTGATTTCAAAATTTATGCATTGTCCCTCAAGTGGGGTACCCACCCACCATATATATCATGGAGATGTTGGGGTGGTTTAGATACGTCCGAAGTTTGCCGCAATGCATACATCCCCTGCCTGAAGTGCTTCCTTATACAAGAAGCTAGATTCCTGTATTCACCTGACGACTGTCTATGGCGGGCAGCATTCATACTCACTACGTGTACCGAACCGCAATGTTGGTTGGTGGGTATCAAATAGACCCATTTGGAACGTAGGGCTCGATTTAGTACAAGATTGTTGACAGTGTACGTGAAGAAGTTAACCATATGCATACGGAATGTTAAAAATCATATGTTAATCATACGGAGTGCACAATGGTTTTTTCATCCTACATCGTCCTACCCCTCACAACTACGGTTACCCCTCTTTAGCTACACATACACAACCGGCCAAGTTCCCCCAAGCACACTCTCCTGCAATCCCCAGCTATTCCGAGCGATATTGAGTTAGCGAGTTTTACAGATTTTCCCGAGCGCTTTGTGAAGGGTGTTGAGCGAGGGTCCTCAGACATCAGACAAAACTGTCTGATGTCTGGAAACCAAGACAAACAGTGCCGGGTGCACATCCTCTTCTCCTCCCTCACCCAGCCTCCAAACGACCTCATCCCCCATCCCCCCTCCTATTCCCACTCTTGTCCAACCTCCTCTCTTCTTCCCCCTCTGCCCCCCTCCCCTCCGCTCCGCTCCCCTCCCCTCCCCTCCCCTCCCCTCCCCTCCCTTCCCCTCCTCTTCCTCGTCAGCTATTCCGTGCGTTCAGGTCCCGCATCTTCCCGAGCACGTCGCGAAGGGCATTGAGCGAGATGGGTTTGGCGATCATGCCGGCCATGCCGTGGCACAGGCAGGCATGTACTCTACTCCTCTCTGAGCCACAAAAACACCTCATTTCCCCTCCCACCTCCTCCCCTTCCCCCCTCGTCCAACCTCCACTCTCCCCTCCTCAGTTATTGCGCGCGTTCTGGTCCAGCATCTTCCCGAGCACGTCGCGCAGCGCGTTGAGCGAGATGGGTTTGGTGATCATGCCGGCCATGCCGTGCCGCAGGCACTGGTCCTTGGTGGTCTCGTCCGCATTCGCCGTCAGCGCCACTATCATCGGCCGCAGCTCCGCCTTCAGCTCCGTGCGGATCTTGTTTGCTACTGTGTACCCATCCATCTGAGACAGGGTTTGGGGGAGGGAATGGGACGTGGGCGGGAGACGGGTTGTTAGAGAGGTATACAGTCAGCGCCACAATCATCGGCCGCAGATTTGCCTTGAGCTCCGTGCGGATCTTGTTCGCCACCGTGTACCCGTCCATCTGGAGGAGGTGTGGGGGCAGAGGAGGAGAGTGACGGGGAGAAGGGAAGGATGGAATGGGAAAACAGGGACGGGGCAGCACATGCGGCAGGGTTCCGAACGCACAGATTCTGAACACGTAAACAATCCGCAGGTAATATGGGCATCATGTGGGCGAGCAACAGAACATCGTACTTCCAAGGAGGGAGACTAGGCCAAGAAGACTAACACCATCCCCCCTCCCCCTCCCACACAATCCCCTTCCACTTCCACCCACCTCGGGCATCATGAGGTGGAGCAGCAGCCCAATCAAGCCCCATTTACAAACCCTCCCCCACTCCCTCATCCCCACCCAACCAAACCCACCTCGGGCATCATGAGGTGGAGCAGCAGCACATCGTACTTCTCCTCGTCCTGCTCCTCTGCCAGGATGCGCAGGCACTCCTTCCCCGACTCCAATGGGGTCCAACCAACAGCCTCTAAAAGCAGCAGCAGAAGCAGCAGCAGCAGCAGCAGCAGAAGCAGCAGCAGAAGCAGCAGCAGAAGCAGCAGCAGAAGCAGCAGCAGAAGCAGCAGCAGAAGCAGCAGCAGAAGCAGCAGCAGAAGCAGCAGCAGAAGCAGCAGCAGAAGCAGCAGCAGAAGCAGCAGCAGAAGCAGCAGCAGAAGCAGCAGCAGAAGCAGCAGCAGAAGCAGCAGCAGAAGCAGCAGCAGAAGCAGCAGCAGAAGCAGCAGCAGAAGCAGCAGCAGAAGCAGCAGCAGAAGCAGCAGCAGAAGCAGCAGCAGAAGCAGCAGCAGAAGCAGCAGCAGAAGCAGCAGCAGAAGCAGCAGCAGAAGCAGCAGCAGCAGCAGCAGCGGAAGCAGCAGCAGCCGGAGCAGCAGAAAACCCCGAGGGGACTACCGCCCAACCAGCATTTCCCCAACCCTCCCCCCCACCCCCACCCCAATCACCCACCCACCTCGGGCATCATGAGGTCGAGCAGGAGCATGTCGAACTTCTCCTCGTCCTGCTCCTCTTATATCACTCCTCTCACTCATCACCAACACCCCTCCCTACCCTATCACCCCCACCATGAACCCACTTCGGGCATCATGAGGTCGAGCAGCAGCACATCGTACTTCTCCTCGTCCTGCTCCTCCGCCAGGATGCGCAGGCACTCTTTGCCCGACTCCACCACGCGCGTTGAGATGCCGATGCGATCCAGCAGACGCTTTGTCACCAGCCGATTGACCATGTTGTCATCCACCACCATGATCTGAATGGGTGGAGGGAATGGGGGGAGGGAAGGGAAAGATGGGGAACAGGGTGTGTGTGTTGAGATGCTGATGCGATCCAGAAGACGCTTCATCACGAGCCGATCACCATGTTGTCATCCACCACCATGATCTGAATGGGTGGAGGGAAGGGGTAAGGGCGAACAAAAAGGGAAAAGGTGGGGGAAGAGGAGGAAGGGGTGTGGGTGTTGAGAAGCCGATGCGGTCCAGCAGCCGCTTTGTGACCAGCCGGTTGATAAAATGATAAAATGCTCACCCGGAGAGCGAAGAAGTTGACGTCAGGCCCCTCGTCCTGGTCCTCGTCGCTGCGGTCGCTGCCGTCCCCCCCCACCGTCTCCTTCCACTCCCTCCCCTTTCTATAAAAGAGACATATTCCCCCCAAACATCTCACCCGCAGAGCAAAGAAGTTAACGTCAGGCCCCTCGTCCTGGTCCTCATCGCTGCGGTCGCTGCCCTCGCTGTCGAGCTTCAGCATCGCCAGGAACTTGCACGTCGCCCCCTTGCCCCGCCCGTTGCTCTCCATCCATATGTGCCCGTTCATCAGCTGGTAGGTGGGGAGGGAGGGAGGGAGGGAGGGAGGGAGGGAGGGAAGAGGGATGGACGTGTTCCTTGAGAACAACGCTGCAAGCTGCTATCCTACCCTCTACCACTCCCACTCTCGCCCCAGCACCCACCCCAACGCCTCACCTGCACAAACTTGCGGGAGAGGGCCAACCCCAACCCAGTCCTGCTGCCCTTCGTCTCGTCTTCCTGAAACTTGTCAAAGAGCTTCGGGATATCCGCCGCATTCAAGTCGACGCCCGAGTCCTTCACTTCAATTCAAAGCGGATGAACGTGTGCCCCGCCTCCGCCTCCGCCTTGAGCACAAAGCCTCTTCACATCCCCTTCCCCCCCTTCTACACCATACACCCCCGTTTCAGCCTGCTACCCTACCATTCACCCCATCCTCACCTGCACAAACTTCCTCGACAGCGCCAGGCCGAGACCCGTCCTGCTGCCCTTGGTCTCATCTTCCTGGAACTTGTCAAACAGCTTGGGGATGTCCGCCGCATTCAAGTCGACCCCCGAGTCCTTCACCTCAAAGCGGATGAACGTGTGCCCTGCCTCCGCCTTGAGCACGAATCCGTCGCGCGCCCACTCCATGCGCTCGGGGGCCACTGTGACTGTGATCGTTCCTGTATTTGTATACTTGATGGCGTTGTTTATCACGTTCAGCAGCACCTGTAACAGAGGGGGGGAAGAGGGAGGGAGGGTGGGGACAAGGGGAACAGCAGGGGGCGGAGTTGGAAGGATGGCAGTGGGGTGAATCACGCGCGATGTGTTACAGTGCATTGTGGTGCAAAGCACACATGAGCTTGCTGCCTCTGCCTTGAGCACAAAGCCATCGCGCGCCCACTCCATGCGCTCGGGGGCCACTGTGACCGTGATGGTGCCCGTGTTGGTGTACTTGACGGCGTTGTTTATCACTTTCAGCAGCACCTGGTGGGGTGGTGAGGGGTGGTGGCGGGTGGGCAGGGAGTATAAGGGGTGGAGATGGGTGGGCTGTGATGGTGCCAGTGTTGGTGTACTTGATGGTGTTGTTTGTCGTTCAGCAGCACCTGGAGTGTGGTGGGGGACAGGAGGGAAGGGGCGGTGGTAAAAGAATATGCGGGGACTCCGTCCCCGTGACTACTTGCTTGCTTAGCACCTCCCTCCCTCCCTCCCTCCCTCACAAGCTCACACCCACTGGTTGCCATAGACGATTCTTGTCACATACCCTCCACTGCTCACTCCCATACCAATCAGCGCACCTGCAGCAGCCTGTTGCCATCCCCGATCACACTCTCAGGCAGGTTAGGATCCGCCTTGAACGTCAACATAATTCCCTTATCCTTGGCAATAGGAGAGGAAAGCGTCTCGGCTTCTGTCACCAGAGCGGGCAGCTCAAACTGCTCGGGGCCCAGCACGAGCTTCATGTTGTCCTCCTCCAGGCGCCAGAACTCCACGAGGTTTAAGAGGTGCCTGAATCGAGTCACACATCCTCTACTCTACTGCTCACTCACTCCCATACCAACGCACCTGCAGCAGCCTGTTGCCGTCCCCGATGACGCTCTCCGGCAGGTTGGGGTCGGCTTTAAAGGTCAGCATAATCCCCTTGTCCTTGGCAATAGGAGAAGACAGCGTTTCCGCCTCCGTCACCAGAGCAGGCAGCTCAAACTGTTCGGGGCCCAGCACGAGCTTCATGTTGTCCTCCTCCAGGCGCCAGAACTCGAGAATGTCGTACAGCAGCGACGCGAGGAGCGTTGACGAGAAGGCGACCGTTTCAGCCATGGAGCGCTGCTCGTCGTTCAGATCGGACTCGGCGAGGAGGGATGAGAGGGCTGTGATGGAGTGCATTGGCGTGCGCATCTTGGCATTCATCACCTGGAGAGGGGGGAAGGGGGAAAGGAAAGGCAAGGGCGGGTCAAAAGGGACCACAACAACGCATGACTGAGAACGCACCCACCCCAGATCCCACCTGTCTTGAAAAACATATCGGCCACAGCATTACTTGCTTGACATGCCTCAGATGGGCTGCCTCAGATGGCACCTGCCTCAGATGGCACCTTCCTCAGATGGCACCTGCCTCAGATGGCACCTTCCTCAGATGGCACCTTCCTCAGATGGCACCTGTCCAGTACCTACCTGCAGGAAGTTGTCTCGCGCCTTAACGGCGGACTTGCCCTCCAGGTTGGCCTGTTTGAGCTGCTCGCCCTCCTCCAGCAACACCTCGTGTGCTTGCCTGCTCGCCTCCAACACCCCTGCATGGCGGAGAGCTACTGCCAACTGTGAGATGGGATGGGATAGGAGGGAGTGAGAGGGAGGATAAGTGAGGGAGGGGGGGAGAGGGAGGGAGAAAGGAGGGAAAGGGGAGGCAAGAGGGGAACAGAACAGAGGGCAGCTCAGTGGCGAACAGGACCTCTTCTTGAGCTGCGTGGCGCACTGTTTAAGTCGCCTCAGAATCTCTCCCCTCTCCTTTCCTCCCCCCCTCCCTCCCTCCCCCCCAGCCTCCCTCCCCTCCCCCTCACCTGTTCCGCCACCGTACCCACCTTCTCCAGCCCAGCACCTTTTGCCGAACAGGACTTTTCAGGCGCCTCGAAAACCAGCACCTCTTGTCGAACAGTAGCAATCAAACCGGCTCAAGCAAAATCACTTCACTGTTTCAGTCGACTCAGGATCCCGCGCCAGCATCCCTCCCCTCTCTCTCACCTGCTCAGCCACCGAATCAACCTTCTCCAGCACCTCTCACTGATAGTCTAGTAGAATCTTGCTTTCTTTTTTCTCACTCTCTTCCCTCCCTCACCGGTTCCACCACACTATCCACCTTTTCCAACAACTCCTGTCGAACACTTGCAACAATAACCGGCTCAAGAAAGAACAATTCGATTTAAGTCGTCTCAAAATCCACTCCCACCCAACCTCCCCTCCCCCCCCACTCCCTCCCTCCCCTCCCCCTCACCTGTTCTGCCACCGTATCCACCTTCTCTAACACCTCCTGGCGGAACTTCTTCACTCCGCCCTCGCCCCCTCCGCCTCCCCCTCCCCCTCCGCCCGCCCCTCCGCCCCCGCCTGCGCCCCCCTTGCCCTTCTCCGCCACCTCCCCCGGCAGCAGCAGCACGAGCACACCATACTCCACCGCGGAGGGGTCCTGAGGGCTCCTTGCTCCTGGCGTGGCCGGGTCTGCTAGTGTTACTGGGACGGCAGCAGCGCCTGGGGGAGGGGAGGGGTGAACGAAGAGAGGAGCATGTGAGGCAGCAGCAGCAGCGGCAGGCAGCAGTGTCTCCCCCAGAAGCAGCAGCAGCAGCACGCCATACGCCAGAGCGGCAGCAACCTGAATGCTCCTCGCCCCTGGCGTGGCTTGCTGACCTGCGAGGGTCACTGGCACGGCACGGCACGGCAGCAGCGCCTGGAAAGGGGAAGGGGAGGGCGTGATTGGAGCGCAAGGCAAGGCAGAGCATCTGACAATGGTAGCGGCGGCGGCAGCGGCGTGGTTGACGCCAGCAGGGTTCCCGGGAGTTGCAGAGTGCAGTGCAGGAGGCGCCTCAAGAGCTACCAGCCCTTCAAGGCACAGCAAGCCGCAGCAGCCTTACCTCCTTCAATGGTTCGGCCCGAGCCTAGCGGGGGCGGCAGCGCAGAGCACTCCACGAGCTGGCAGGATGATGGGATGACCATGGCCGCTCGGTTGGCTATCACCTGCGCAGAGGGGGAAAGGGGCGGAGGGGAGGGGAGCGGGGGAAAGCGGAGGGGAAGAGAAGGGGGGGGTTGACTGTGTCAACCCACGAGCTGGCAGGATGATGGGATGACCATGGCTGCTCGGTTGGCTATCACCTGAAGAGGGGGTGAGGGGGGAGGGGGCCAGAAGTGGGGTGGAGGGGAGGGGAAGAGGAGGGGGTTTATTGAGTCGACTCCAGAAGCTGGCAGAATGATGGGATGACCATGGCTGCTCGGTTTGCTATCACCTGAAGAGGGAGGAAAGGGAAGGGGGAGGGAGTAAAGGATTACTGAGTGCACTTGAGAATCGGAGTGGAGGGGGAAGAGGGGAGTGAGAGAGGGGGAGGGGGGAGGGAAAGAGAGAAAGGGGAAGGTATAAGTCAGGGGGTTGAAGGGTTGAAGGCTGGCATCACAACTGAGAGACGACCCTTCACAACTCAAAGTCTTTGAGCGGCACGAGAATGAGCATGGGATTCACTCGGTGCTCACATTCATTGGTCAGCTCCAGCGACCGGCAGTAGGCGCGGGCAGCCAGAGCGCGGCGTTCTCAAGGCCCAGCAGGTCGCGCAGCTCCAGCAGCGCAGTGCTGATGATGACGTCTAGGAATGAAGGGCTGATGAGAGGCTAGGGGACCACAGGCTCACAACGCACCTGTGAGACGACCTTGTCCTTGAGTGGAACGAGCGTGAGCATGGGGTTGACTCGGTGCTCGCACTCGTTAGTCAGCTCTAATGATCGCCCGTTAGGGGCGGGCAGCCAGAGCGCGGCGTTCTCAAGGCCCAGCAGGTCGCGCAGCTCCAGCAGCGCGGTGCTGATGATGACGCCGCGGTCCAGCGTGCTGCGGATGCGCTGGCCTATCAGCCGCAGCTGCTGCTCCACCTCGTGCGCTTCCATCAGCCGCGTCACCTCCTTGTTGCTCTCCTCCGTCTGTAGGCACGGGGCGAGGGTAGGGGGTGGTAAGGGGGAGGGGAGAGGCAGGGGGCATGAGAGGATGAGGTGCCCTATTAGCCGCCAGGCCAGCTGCTGCTCCACCTCGTGTGCCTCCGCAAGGAAGAGGGGGGAGTGTGTGAAGATGAAGGGCAAACACAAATGTCAACGGATGGGGCCTAGGAACGAAACACCCGCTACCCTCCAGCCCCCCTCACCTTGCGCTTGAGTTGCACAGTCCTCTCATGCACCATGGCGATGACACTCAGCTGGAGGCCTTCTAGTCAAGTCTAGGGCCCAGGAAAGGAACAACCTTTACCCTCCATTCGCCCTCACCAGCCTCTCGTACTCGCCTCGCTCCATCCCCCTCCCTCCTCTCTCACCTTGCTCTTGAGCTGCACGGTCCTCTCATGCACCATAGCAATGTCGCTGAGTTCGAGCCCCAGCTGCAGCACGGTGCAGCAGCTGATGAGCGCCGACAGCAGCTTGCACGCCGTTATGCCCAGCAGCAGGAAGCGCGGCAGATGGCCGTACGAGAACAGCTCCAACAGATGGGTCAGGCTGGGGAGAGTGGGAGGGGGGGAGAGGGGAAGAAGCGGGGGATGGTGGGCACAGACAGGAAAGCAGCTGATGAGCGCGGAGAGCAGCTTGCACGCCGTGATGCCCAGCAGTAAGAAGCGCGGCAGATGGCCGTACGAGAATAGCTCCAGTACATGGGTCAGGCTGGGGAGAGTGGGAGGGGGGGAGAGGGGAAGAAGCGGGGGATGGTGGGCGCAGACAGGACAGCAGCTTGCACGCCGTGATGCCCAGCAGTAAGAAGCGCGGCAGATGGCCGTACGAGAATAACTCCAGTACATGGGTCAGGCTGGAGGGACCGGGGGGAGAATTGGGGGTGTGTGGGCGCAGACAGGACAGCAGCTGATGAGCGCCGACAGCAGCTTGCACGCAGTGATTCCCAGCAGCAGGAAGCGCGGCAGATGGCCGTAGGAGAACAGTTCCAACAGATGGGTCAGGCTGGGGGAGGGGCAAGGGGAAGGGTGTTGGGGATTGGTAATGGAGTGAAGGGGGAGGGGGGGAGTGGTGGGAAAGCGGGAGAAGCATAGTGCGCGCTGGCTGGTGGGTTCAGGGAGCAGGTTGGGAGTGTGAAGGATGCGCGGATAGGCGAACTGCCTCAGGAGAAGGGCTCCAGGAGATGGACTCCGGCATGGCATGGCATGGCATGGCATGGCATGGCATGGCATGGCATGGGGCATGGCATGGAACGGCATGCATGGCATGGCATGGCATGGAACGGCATGCATGGCATGGCATGGCATGGAACGGCATGGCATGGCATGACTCACCCTGTAGTGGTGACGAAGGCACCGAACTGCAGGATGAGCAGATGGTAGGGGAACTTCTGTACAGGGGGGTAGGGCAGGAGAGCGAGAGCGCCGGGAGGGAAGGAGAGGCGGAAACGAGTTGGTGAAGGATAAAGAGGGGCAGCTGGGAGGGACAGGACGACAAGCGGAAACGAGGAGACTAGCTTCAGAAGCACGAGCTTGTACTGAGCCGTTTCGACATTTGAACACGCGAATCAGCAGCGCAAAAGCACTCGCCTTGGAGCTCTTAACGAAGACGTAGAGCTGTATCGGGATGGACAATAGCGCGACGGCGGTGACGACGTCGAGCAGCATCTGCCACGTGACGAGCGCGCCGGGCATGTTCCAGCCCGCGTACATGACGAACGACGCGCAGTTCTTGCACATGCGGCTGATGCTGATGCCGCCCTTCACGCCCGGGCGAATGAACTTCGCCGACGTGTTACCCTTCGCCGGGCCGATGTGCACGTTCGTCGCGCCGAACACGGGCAGGTGAAGGTGCTGCGACGCGGACGCGCCGGCGCCGGGCAGGGTGAGCACCTGCCCGGTGAGGAAAAAGCCTAGGAGGAGGGTGACGTCATTTGCCACGTGGCTGGCGTGGGAGACGAGGCAGAAGAGCAACCAGGCCAAGCGCGCCGATATCTGAGCCCACGTGCGCATCCCGAGCGATGCTGCTCCATAGGACGAGGAGGAGACAGCGGAGGAGGCGGCGGGGGAAGAGGAGGAGGAAGACGAAGAGCAGGCTCGGTCAGTACTAAGAGCAGGGTCAAATGTGACAATGCGGGATGTGCTACTAGCGGTGGGTCCCACAGGCCGTCGTCTGAGCCCTTGAAACGGGTCCTTCTCCTCGCGCGCTGTTGGCAAGTCATCTGAATCCGACGGTGAGATTGGCGCGTTCTCAGGAACGCACGGCAGGATTTCCTCGATTTTCCGGGTGGAACGCAAACCTCCGTTTGAAGCAGGACGTGCATTGCGGAAACTCAAGGAACTATCACCGCTATCACAACCAATGTGATTGCTTTCCCCGCTAATGTTGCCGGCTAGCCGGCCGCCCTTGGCGGCTCTCTGCTCCATAGCAGCGCGCCGAGCCATGTCGGCCTGGCGACCCATCTGGTCCGCCTCGTACGCCTCTATGCGCGCCGATAACGCGTCGCGGAGCTTCCGCGTGGCGCGATGCTGCGGCGCCATGCCGAAATGTTCCACTCGGTAATCCCTAAGACCACAGTGAACAGACGTGCTTTGAGAGTCCCCAAACGCCTACGACGGCGAAGCAGCACGGAAAAATTGCAAGCGGCGGAAAAGGGGAAACTTGTACACAACGTCGGGCGGAAGCCAGAACCTAGGCCGTCCTAACCCTAACTTTCACTAATGAAAACCAAACCTAGAAAATACCGAATGGCGAAGCTGCTTTTTCATAAAAGCTGTTGGTGCTTCGAGCAAGCACCTGGCCAAATGAGTCGATGAGCCCCCCACGATTCCTGAAGTGGTTGGGGAGAATCTCTTTACAAGAAGACGCGGTAAGGGATGGCAGGAACGAAGCAAGTTGAGAAGGAATGGTCACGATGGCTGACAAAACAATTATCTGGAGACGCGGGGTATCGATCCCCGTACCTATCGCATGCAAAGCGATCGCTCTACCATGTGAGCTACACCCCCATGTTGAATTGGGAGAAATGTTTTGATTAGATAATTTTGATCTTTTTGGAGAACCAGAACCAGAACCAGAACCAGTTTATGGACTGATACGATGGAGCTAGAAGTGTATCTTCGATAAAGAGGGTAGGGGATGTGCAATTATCCTCTTGGCGCAGCTGGAAGCGACGAAAAAGGCGAGGCATGGTGGTCTGTGGTGGGGGTGGGGCCCTTCTCTGTGGCACGAAGAGGATACAGTAATGGACTAGGGCGTGCGCAAAGTTTGGTGGCCGGTGTGTTACGCACCGTTTTCTACGTGCGGCTGAGTTTGGTCTGGTGTTGGTGGCCCCGCGGAACAAACTCGAGGTTTTTAGCAATTGTCACAAACTCAAGTGCCACTTCTTGCGCGTCAATTTCCCGTGGATTAGGCCCTTGGGGGCTCACCGTCAAGAAAAGAGTGTAACGCGCGTCGTTCAACTCCCATCTTGACATGTCAAGAACGGTGTGTGGTGGTGCGTTCTTCAGTCAGTCAAGATGGGTGTCGGACGAGCCGCTGCATACGTGGCGAACAGCCGACGGCTTCGCGCAAGCGAAGTGCATCGGCGAAGTTCGCGACTGTCGGGCCGTATACTTATGCACAAAGGGATTGGTTTTAGAAAGGCCCGGGCAGATTCACGAGATTCAGGTGGGCAACGACAGTGCTGGAAACAATCGGCTTTTCCCGGCCAGCTATGGCTGGAAATGCCATAACTCTGAGCGGGGGAGGGCGCGGTCCGTCAGTCGCAACCATAGCCGCGCTCGCCGCCGCGGCGACAGCTGTCGGCCTCTCATTGGTCGTACTGCGCGGGCTGCGTCAATGGGCCAAACGCGCACACAAATGCGCGCCGCCCAGCAATGGGCGGCGGCGCTTGTCGTGGCGCAGCGTGTTTACCGGCGAGAAGCACGGCGGTGCGGAAAGGGAGCGGGAGCAAGAGCGCGTGGCTCATCTGATTCCGCTGGTGGAACGATCGGCGAGTTCGGGCAAAGTGAAACGGATCGAGCGATTCGGCGAATACGTGGGTGCGTGCGTGGCGTCCGAGTCGCTGACGTAGTAGGGAATGAAGATTTATCGCTAACTTAGTGGGCATAGATATCAGTGCATACTCTTCGAGCGTACGGTAGTCATATCGGTCCAGTCCCAACCCACTATCCCTCTTCGCCTCCCCTTCATTCCCAATCCATATCCTTCCCTGTCCCCTACCCAGTCCCCTATTCGACAGTTTTCCCTTCCCCCTACCGCCCTTCTCCCCCCTTCCGCCACGCGCCTTCCTCCTCCGCCACGCCCCGACCCCGTTCCGCCATTCCCCCTTTTCCCGTCCGCCGCTCCGCTTCCCCCTCCGCCAGTGCGCCAGCTGGGCCTGCCCACGGACCTGGCGGCGGCGGCGCTACTGGCGCAGGCGGCGGAAGACTACGTGCGGGGCGATAAGAGCCGCGCCAACCTTCTCCCTTTTTCGCCCCTCCCCTTCCCCATTCCGCCAGTGCGCCAGCTCGGACTCCCCACGGACCTGGCGGCGGCGGCGCTACTGGCGCAGGCGGCGGACGACTACGTGCGGGGCGATAAGAGCGCATCCGATAAGAGCCGCGCCAATCTGCTCGCGCTCGTCGCGCAGACGGGGGGCGTGCGCGTGGTGGGGAAGGGGGAGGCAGGGACGGAGGCGGGGGCGGAGGCGGGGGCGGAGGCGGAGGCGGGGGAAGAGGGGGGCCCGGGGGCGGGGGCGGGGTTGAGGCGGGGGTCAGAAGAGGAGATGGAGCGGTTGGGGGAGGAGCTTACCGCGGAGCTGCACGCGTGCATGCTGTCTTACTTTGGCTTCCACTGGCCGCACTCCGCCCTCATGATTGAACAGGTGGGTGGGCGGGCACGGGGCGGGGAGAGGGGCAAGGGGAGGGGAAGAATGAGAGTCAAGTGAATTGCCACTGGCCGGCCGGACTGTGAAGCGAATTCTGAGGCGCCTCAAAAGCGGGTGGGAGGCCAGGGAAGACTTTTTGAGAATTCTCAAGAATCGCTCGCAAGGGAAGACAACTTGAAAGTTCTTGGCAGCACATGCATCTCTACCATCCCCGTGCGCTCATCCCCGTGCGCCCATCCCCGTGCGCCCATCCCCGTGCAGGTATTCCGTGGCCCAAGCAGCAAGCTGCACTTCAGGGACGTCGTCAACGCCGTCATCCGGTGAGCCACCCCTGTGTGTATGTCTGTGCGTCGGTATGTCTGTGCGTTTCTGCGTCTGTCTCTGTGTTGTGTGGCTGGCTGTGTGTCTGTGCGTCTCCATCCTCTTATCCAAACAGCTGCAATTCACCAACCCCACCTGAGCGCTGAACATGGATGAAAGAAACAGAGTGTGACCAACTGATCTCTCTCCCTTCCTCCCCGCCTTGCCATTCTTTCCCATGCAGCCAGCGCCGGTTCAACGAGGCCATAACGCGTCTGCGCCCGCAGCAGCGGTCTTCATCCCCTCCTCACTTCACCCGCTCCCTCCACTTCCCCCCACCCCACCCCCCTTTGCAGGCAGCGGCGGTTCAACGAGGCCATAACGCGTCTGCGCCCGCAGCAGCGCTTCTCCCAGCTGCTGCACAAGATGCAGATCCTCGGCTGTGGCCCCCGCCCTGGGGGAGCGGGCGCAGCGGGGAGAGCGGGGAGAGCGAGGGGAGCGGGGGGAGCAGCGGGAGTGCAGGGGGCGGGAGGAGCAGTGGGAGCGGGGAAAGTGGGGCAAGCAGGAGTGAGCAAAGCGGGCCCGGGGCAAGGGGAAGCGAGGCACGGGGGAGTGGGTGAGGAGGACAGTAGATCAGAGGGCTATGAGCTAGTGAGTACTGGCTGTGAGAGTGGTATCGGCTGTGAGGGTGGCACCTACTTCCCCCCTCACTCTATCTTCCAATTCCCCACTTCCTCCCCTTCCAACTCCCCATCTCACTCCCCCTCTCACTCGCCCTCTCACTCCCCGTCTCGCGCTCGCTCGTCCTCCCGCCCGCGCGCGTCAAGTGCGGAGGTCCCGAGGGAGGGGGAGGTGATGGTGCCGGCAGCAGCGGCGGTGCGCTCGCCCGTGCTGCTGCTGATTGGGGGAGGCGCGGGCGCCGGCAAGTCAACTGTTGTGAAAGAAATCATGAAACGGTGAGTGTGTGTCTTTGGCTGAGCTGTGGTGCGCTCCCCCGTGCTGCTTCTGATGTCTTTTGGGGGCGCATGGCGCCACACGCAGTGGTGGTTGAAGCCGACGCTTTCAAGAAAAAGGACGCAATTTTCCCAGCGCTCTCACTTCTGCTTCTTCTATTCTCTTTCCGCCCCTCCCCTCTCCCCCTTCCCCCTCCCCCCTGCAGCCCTTTTTGGGCGCGCATGGCGCCACATGCGGTGGTGGTTGATGCGGCATCAACGCCTTCAAGGAGAAGAGCACAGTCTTCCGAGCTCTCTCCTTCCTCTATTCCCTCACCTCCCATTCTCACGTCTTCTCCCCTCCTCCCTCCCCTCTCCCCCACCTCCTCGCAGTCCCTTTTGGGCGCGCATGGCGCCACATGCAGTGGTGGTTGATTCCGATGCCTTCAAGGAGAGGAACACAATCTTTCGAGCGCTCTCCGCCGACTGGCTGAGTGACGCCACCCAGATCTCACCCGACGCTTTCAAGGAGAAGAAAACGAATCTTTAGAGCGCTCTCCTTTGCTTCTTCTATTCTCCTTCCCCCTCTCTCCCTCCCCCGCAGTCCCTTTTGGGCGCGCATGGCGCCACACGCGGTGGTGGTTGATTCCGATGCCTTCAAAGAGAGGAACACAATCTTTCGAGCGCTCTCCGCCGACCGGCTGTGTGACGCCACACAGATCTCACAGCTCGTGCACGAGGAGTCAACCCGGGCGGCACAGTCAACGCTGGTAACCGCGCTGAACGAGGGGCGGGACGTGATATTCGATGGGACCATGTCGTGGGCCCCGTTTGTGCAGCAGACGATCGCGATGGCGAGACGCGTGCACGAGAGGCGGTTTAGGATGGGTCCGGGGTATCAGGTGAAGGAGGATGGGAGTGTGGTGGAGCGGTATTGGGAGGAGGTGGAGGAGGAGGAGGAGGAGGAGGAGGAGGAGGAGGAGGAGGAGGAGGAGGAGGAGGAGGAGGAGGAGGAGGAGGAGGAGGAGGAGGGGAGTGAGGGAGGGGTGGAGGAGGGGAGGGGGGGCTATTGCAGCAGCGATAAGTGGCAGAGGAAGGGACAGGGACAAGGGCAAAGTCAGGGGAAGGGGAAGGGGGGAGTGGAGGGGATGGAAGGGAGGCGGCAGGGAGGGGGGATGTGGTGGGAGAGGAGGGGGCAGAGGCGAGGCGGTGAGCAGCGACAGCCGTATCAAATCGAGCTGGTGGGCGTGATGTGCGATGCTCACCTGGCTGTTGTTCAAGCCATGAGGTGAGTTTTCAGTCGAATCAAAAGTCTTGTTTATTATTATTATCATCATCGTCGCCGTCGTCATCGTCATCGTTGTCGTCGTCGTCGTCATCATCATCATCATCATCATCATCATCATCATTGTTATTATTATTATTGTTATTTAATATTGCTATTATCACTATTATTATTATTGCTACTATTATTTCGGTTATTATTATTATTATTATCATCATCATTATTATTATCATTAACATTATCATTCTCAATATCATTATTATTATCATTATTATTATCATTATTATTATTATTATTATTATTATTACTATTATTATTATTATTATTATTACTATTATTATTATTATTATTATTATTATTATTATTATTATTACTATTATTATTATTATTATTATTTTCTCAGGTCATGGGGTGAGGCCATCCCGACCAAGAGGGGAGTGCCAGTGCACGAGCAGCTGCGGGCTGCTGTCCCGCTCACCCTACCCCTGGTCTTTCCACATGTTCCTTGCTTCCCCGGGCCTTGCTTCTTTCCCAGGCGGGCCATACTGACCAAGAGGGGAGTGCCAGTGCACGAGCAGCTGCGGTCGCACAAGCTGTTTGCCAGCAGTGTGGAGGCGTACTGTGACCTCGTTGATGTTGCCACTCTCTACTCGACTAATCACATGGGAGGACCGCCACAGGTGAGTTAGCGGGAGTCAATGTGAGTCAATGTGAGTCAATGTGAGTCAATGAGTGTCAATGTGAGTCAATGTGCGTCAATGTGAGTCAATGAGCGTCAATGAGCGTCAATGAGAGTCATGTGAGTCAATTTGAGTCAATGAGAGTCAATGAGAGTCAATGAGAGTCAACGTGAGTCAATGAGAGTCAATGAGTGTCAATGTGAGTCAATGTGAGTCAATGAGTGTCAATGTGAGTCAATGTGCGTCAATGTGTGTCAATGAGCGTCAATGAGCGTCAATGAGAGTCAATGAGAGTCAATGAGAGTCAATGAGAGTCAATGTGAGTCAATGAGAGTCAACGTGAGTCAATGAGAGTCAATGTGAGTCAATGAGAGTCAATGTGAGTCAATCTGAGTCAATGTGATTCGATGTAAGTCAACGCGAGTCAATGCGAATCAAACAAGATTTCCAAGCCAGTTACTCTTTACTTTTCTCTACGTGTATCTCTGAAGCGTCTTTGCCGCCTGGCTATCAACCTCCTTAGCTTGAACCGCCCAGCACTAATCCCTCTTCTTTCCGCCAAACCCTCCCTCCCTCCCTTCTCTCCCCCCTTTCCCTCCCTCCCTCCCTCCTACCCTCTCTCCCTCCGTCCCTCCCTCCCTCTGTCCCTCCATCCCTCCCTCCCCTCCATCCACCCCACCCGCCAGCTCATTGGCTACAAGGAAGGCACATCACCCCCCAGGAGCGCACCAACCACTCCACCCTCCACCCCAACACCCATTACAATCACACCGCCTACAAGCACGCCCCCCAGCACGGGCTCCATATGCCACTGCGGGGGGGTGTGCAGCCACGTGCCAGTGGACTCACATTTGAGGCGCACAGGCCTTCGCATCCCACAAAGTAGACTGCAGGTAGACTCAGCTGCCTTCCACCTCCTCTCCCACTTGAAACGCGTCAACCCCCGCGCCTCCTGCGTGTTGGAGCTGTATTATAAGGGCGGGGAGGGGGAAGCGGAGGGGGAAAGGGACGGGAGCGGGGGGTCCGCGGGCAGAAGAAACCACTGGTGGCTGCCCGGATGGTGGCTTTCGCTGTGGGGCTGGGGAAAAAAGGAATCGCGGGCAGGTGGGGAAATTTTTGGGCCGGGCAGCACGTGGAGGGAGGTGGTGCTGGCGGAGGAGCGGGCGGCGCGGCAGGCTCGACTGAGGGAGGCGTTTACTGAGCTGCAGGCGTGCCTGTGGCCGGCAGCTCAGGTCAACCAAGGCATCACCTCCTCCACCAGCTTCACCTCCCTGCCCTCCCTGCCCTCCCTCACTTCCTCCCCGCGCCATCCCCCTCCTCCTCCTCCTGCTCCTCCTTCCACTTCCTCCTCCCTCTCCCCCTCCTCTGCTTCCTTGGCCCGCCATGTTGACTCAGCAGGGTGAATCAACTCAGCAGAGCACGCTGCACAAGGACTCAGCAGCGCCTGAAGACCTGGAGCATCCTCTTGGGGGTACTACTTATTATTCTTGTCAAGGCACCCACTGCTGCCCTGTTGCCCTGGAAAGCCAGAGCAGGAGCCCGAGCCTCGAGCTTCGGCTCCGGTTGCTTCGGAAGCAGCCTCGGGAGTCCGAGCCTCAGACAGGTCACAGACTTGTCTCCTTCCACTGATACCGTATTGCTATATCTCATCTCAATGAAGTGTAGGCATATGTGTGCCTTATATGTGTATTGAAACTTGTGTTGTGTGCCGTAAATGTGCCTTCAGGGTTTAGTTACGTCCTGTTTGTGCAAGCATCTCGTTTGTGCAAGCATCTCCATATACAGATTCAAATGTTGGTTATTCTATAATGAACATGGAAGAAACATCCAATAAAGAGATCACATGACCAGCAACAATCAACATAGTGCGAGGATGTCTAGAGAAAGGATGCACCAGAACAATCAATCGTCTTTCCCCAGCCAGTTATGGCTGGAGGCACCATCACTCTGAGCGGCGGAGGGCGCGGCTCGTCAGTCGCAACCATAGCCGCGCTCGCCGCCGCAGCGACAGCTGTCGGCCTCTCATTGGTCGGACTTCGCGGGCTGCGTCAATGGGCCAAGCGCGCACACAAATCCGCGCCGCCCAGTGGTGGGCGGCGAGCCTTGTCATGGCGCAGCGTATTTACCGGCGAAAAACACGGCGGCGCGGAGAGGGAGAGGGAGCGCGTGGCTCATTTAGTTCCGCTGGTGGAGCGATCGGCGAGTTCGGGGAAAGTGAAACGGATCGAGCGATTCGGCGAATACGTGGGTGCGTACTTCATGAAGAGTCCGCGTCAGCTGTCGGCCTCTCCTTAGTCGCTGACGTAGTAGGGATGGATATTAATCGCGATCTTAGTGCGCCATAAGTATCAGCCCCTACCGTTCGAGCGAGTAGCTGGCGTATCATTCCGGTCTCAACCCACTGTTCGTCTTCGCCTCCCTTTTTTTCCCATTCCGCATCCTTCCTTGTCCCCTTCCCCCCTACCGTTTCTCTCCTTTGCCCATCCGCAACGCCCCGTCTCTTTCCCGCTACCCTCCTTCTCATTCCGCCACTCCGCCTCCCCCTTCCGCCTCTCCGCCTCCCCCGTCCGCCAGTGCGCCAGCTGGGCCTCCCCACGGACCTGGCGGCGGTGGCGCTACTGGCGCAGGCGGCGGACGACTACGTGCGGGGCGATAAGAGCACATCCGATAAGAGCCGCGCGAATCTGCTCGCGCTCGTCGCGCAGACAGGGGGAGGGCGCGCGGAAGGGGGGGCAGAGGCGGGGGCGGGGGAGGAGTTGGGGGAGGAGCTGATCGCGGAGCTGGACGCATGCATGCTGTCTTACTTTGGCTTCCACTGGCCGCACTCCGCCCTCATGATCGAACAGGTGCAGGGGGGGGGGGGGGGGGTGGTGGGAGGGGCGGGGAGGGGGCGGGGAGGGGGCGGGGAGGGGGGGGGAGGGGGGGGAGGTGAGGGGAGGGGAGCGGAGGGGAGGTGAGGGGAGGTTAGGGGAGGGGAGGGGAGGGGAGGGGAGGGGAGGGGAGGGGAGGGGAGGGGAGGGGAGGAGCAGTGGGGTGGTTGGGGTGGGAAGGTAGAGCCATCTATGATGCTTCCACTGTCCGCTCTCCGCGCTCATGGGCGAACGGGTGGAGTAGGCCTGTGAGTGCACGTGCGCGTGTGTGGCTGACTGCATCTCCACCATGCCCATCCCCGTGCGCGCATCCCGTGCGCCCATCCATACAGGTCTTCCGAGGCCCGAGCAGCAAGCTTCACTTGCGGGACGCCGTTAACGCTGTCATTCGGTGAGCGCAAGTGCACTGCAAGCCTTTTGAGGCCCTCCATCCTCGTCCCCCCCAGCATGAACTGCAGCTAGTTGCCGCACCTCCGTGCGTTACGCTGTGCCATGCCAGGAATTATTAATATTATTGTTATATTCATACTATTGTTGTTATTATTACCATAAGTATATTAATATATATTGTCCCCGCCTCGCCCCATGCAGGCAGCGGCGGTTCAACGAGGCCATAACGTGTCTGCGCCCGCAGCAGCGCTTCTCCCAGCTGCTGGAGGAAATGAAGGTCCTCGGCTGTGGTCCCGGCCAGGGGGGAGCAGGGGGAACAGGGGGAGCGGGGGGAGCGGGGGGAGCAGGGCAAGGGGGAGTGGTTAAGAGGGAAGCAAGGCAGGGGGGAGTAGATGAGGGGGAAGCGAGGCAAGGGGGAGTGGGGCAAGGGGGAGTGGGGCAAGGGGGAGTGGGTGAGGGGGAAGCAAGGCAAAGGGGAGTGGGCGAGGGGGGATTCGGTTCAAAGGGCAGCAGTAGAGCGGAGGACAGTGAGGGAGTGGGTAATGGTCCTGCGAGTGGCAGTCCCACCACCCACTCTCCCCCTCACTCCCTCTTCCACTTCCCCACTTCCTCCCCCTCTCGCTCTCCATCCCACTCTCCCTCCCGCTCTCCTCCTCACCCTCACTCCCCGTCTCATGCTCGCTCGCCCTCCCACGCGCGTCCCTCAAGTGCGGAGGTCCCAAGGGAGGGGGAGGTGATGGTGCCGGCAGCAGCGGCGGTGCGCTCGCCCGTGCTGCTGCTGATAGGGGGGGGCATGGGTGCTGGCAAGTCAACAGTTGTGAAAGAAATCATGAAACGGTGAGTTGAGGGATAGCGTGAGTGTGTGTGTGCTATCTTTGGCTGAGTGGCGGTGCCCTCTCCCGTGCTGGTGCTGATTGGTGGGGGTATGGGTGCTAGCAAGTCAACTGTGGTCAAGGAGATCATGAAACGGCGCTTTCCATGCTTCTTTCTCCTCTCCTTCTCCTTCCTTCTCCCCTCTTTTCCCCCTCTCCCAGCACCTTCTGGGCGTCACACGCAGTGGTGGTCGAAGCAGACGCAATTACAGAAAAGAAAGCATTTTTCTCAGCGCTCTCTCTCACTCCTCCTCCGCGTATCCCCCCCCCTTCCGCTGCTCTTCCGCAGCACTTTCTGGGTACGCATAGCGCCACATGCAGTGGTCGTCGAAGCAGACTCCTTCGAGGAAAAGGACGCAATCTTCCCAGCGCTCTCCTGTGCATCTCTCTTCTCCTCCTTATGCCCCCCCTCACCCCCCTTCCGCTTCCCCTTCCGCAGCACCTTCTGGGCGCGCATGGCCCCACACGCAGTGGTTGTGGAAGCCGACGCCTTTCAAGCAATCTTCTCGCTCCAACCCCACTCCTCCACCCCACCCCGCTCCCCTTCCTCGTCCCCTTCCTGGTCCTCAGCACCTTCTGGGCGCGCATGGCCCCACATGCAGTGGTTGTGGAAGCCGACGCGTTCAAAGAAAAAAACGCAATCTTCCCAGCGCTCTCTCCCCACTCCTCCCCCCTTACTCCCCCCCCCACCCTCCCCCTTCTGCTTCCACTTCCTCAGCACCTTCTGGGCGCGCATGGCCCCACACGCAGTGGTTGTGGAAGCCGACGCCTTCAAAGAAAAAGACGCGATTTTTCGAGCGCTCTCCGCCGACCGTCTGAGTGACGCCGCCCGGATCTCGCAACTCGTGCACGAGGAGTCAACCCGGGCGGCGCAGTCAACGCTGGTAACCGCGCTGAACGAGGGGCGGGACGTGATATTCGACGGGACCATGTCGTGGGCCCCGTTTGTGCAGCAGACGATCGCGATGGCTAGACGTGTGCATGAGAGGAGGTTTAGGATGGGGCCGGGCTATCAAGTGAAGGAGGATGGGAGTGTGGTGGAGCGGTATTGGGAGGAGGTGGAGGAGGAGGGGAGTGAGGGTGGGGTGGAGGAGGGGAGGGCGAAAGAGGGTAAAGAGGGGGTGGGGCGCGAGAGAGGGGATGGGGAGGAGGAGAGGAGGAAGGACAAGCCAGGAACGGAGGGTCAGCACCAGCCGAAGCGGCACAGCAGTCCACGGAGGGCGCTGGGATCGGGCAGAGGAAGCCATTGCAGCAGCGAGAAGGGACATGGGCAGGGGCAGGGGCAGGGGGGCATGCAGGGGACACGGCAGGGAGGGGGAATGTGGTGGGAGAGGAGAGGGCAGGGGGGAAGCGGGGAGCAGCGGCTGCCATACCGGATTGAGCTGGTGGGCGTGATGTGCGATGCTCACCTGGCTGTGGTGCGCGGCATGCGGTGAGGCATGGGGTTGAGGGATGGGAATGGGCATGGTGTTCTGGTGGGCGTGATGTGCGATGCTCACCTGGCTGTGGTGCGCGGCATGCGGTGAGGCATGGGGTTGAGGGATGGGAATGGGCATGGTGTTCTGGTGGGCGTGATGTGCGATGCTCACCTGGCTGTGGTGCGCGGCATGCGGTGAGGCATGGGGTTGAGGGATGGGAATGGGCATGGTGTTCTGGTGGGCGTGATGTGCGATGCTCACCTGGATATTGTGCGCGGTATGCGGTGAGATGTCGGGTGAGGGAAGTAGTGGGGTGGGGTAGGGCATGGGGTAGTAGGAGAGAATAGCTCAAAAGCTAGGAAGGGTAGCAGCACCCTCTATATTTGTGCAGTGACGTTCTTTCTATCATCCTAAGGGCCCAGCGTTTCCTTGAGTGCCCAGCGTCGGACACTAGGGGTCCGCACCCACCCCAACCTTGTCTCTCCCCTCTGGGCATTCCTTTTTGCCATCTCAGGCGGGCCATTCTGACAAAGAGAGGAGTGCCAGTGCATGAGCAGCTGCGGTCGCACAAGCTGTTTGCCAGCAGTGTGGAGGCGTACTGTGATCTAGTTGATGTGGCAACGCTTTATTCGACTAACCACATGGGGGGACCTCCACAGGTGAGTTCGTGGGAGTCAATGCAAGTCAATGAGATTCGCTACGGTTTTCAAACCAGTTCCTCGCTCCTTTCCTCTGCATGATTATCTAAACATCCTCGTTGCTGACCTGCCTTGACTTGAAACGTTTATCACTCTCCCCTCTTTCCCTGCCTCCCCCCCCGCCAGCTCATTGGCTACAAGGAAGGCACGTCACCCCCCAGGAGCGCACCAACCACCCCACCGTCCACTCCAACCGGCAGAAGCACACCTCCTATAAGAACACCCATTACAATCACACCGCCTACAAGCACGCCCCCCAGCACGGGCGCCATCTGCAGCGGGGGGGTGTGCAGCCACCTGCTGGTTGACTCAGCAGCCTTTCATTTAGTCTCCCACTTGAAACGAGTCAACTCCCGCGCCTCCTGCGTTCTCGAGCTTTACTTCAAGGAGGGGGAGGGGGATGGGGGAGAGGAAGGGAAGGGGGACGGGGGAAGCGGGGGCAGAAGAAACCACTGGTGGCTGCCCGAATGGTGGTTGTCCTTCTGGCGCTGGGGAAAAGGGGGGGCGCGGGCAGGCGAAGAAAAAATTGTGCCGGGCAGCACGTGGAGGGAGGTGGTGCTGGCGGAGGAGCGGGCAGCGCGGCAGGCTCGACTGAGGGAGGCGTTTACTGAGCTGCAGGCATGCCTGTGGCCGGCAGCTCAGGTCAACCAAGGCATCACCTCCTCCACCAGCTTCACCTCCCTGCCCTCCCTCCCTTCCCTGCCTTCCCCCCTCGCTTCCTCCCCACGCCACCCCCCTCCCCATCCTCCTTCCGCTTCCTCCTCCTCCCTCTCTGCCTCCTCCCCCTCTGCTTCCCTGGCCCGCCGTGTCGACTCAGCAGGACGAAACGACTCAGCAGCGCCTGAAGACCCAGAGCATCCTATAGGCTCAATACACAGTAAGCCAGATGGTACCGTAGATGAAGATAGGGATGAAGATGCAGGTCAGCATGGTACCTACTGTTGCCCTGTTGCCTTGGAATCACCAGAGCTGGAGCCGGAGCCCCGAGCCTCGGCGCCGGTAGCCTCAGACAAACCTGTCTCGTATAACTGATGTGCTCCATCTAAATGGTGTATACAGTGTAGGTGCACTGAAGCTTGTGCACATGCGCATGTGTGCTTAGGGCATATAAAGACTGCCTTATCTGTATGTGTGTTTGGATGAGTACAGTACAAGGGGTCTTTTAATCTCAAAGGCACAGACAACACCGTATCTGGGAAGCGCCTGCTGCACCCATTTCGTTTGATTTACGTAGGGGGAGGAGAGGAGAGCCCCTTGGGCTTAGCCGCCTAACTACAGTATACAAGCCTCCCAATATTAACATGACATGACATGACATTAAGCATTGTTCGACTTATATCGAGGATCAGCCCCTCACCACCTTTCTCAATCACCAGCCAAATTCCATGAGGGACTTTGCCAGATCCTATCGTAGTAGTCGCAGTGTCGATTTACATCGGGGCTTCAACTCCAGCCCAGTCGTATAGCGTCGATACTCTGCTGTGCTTGCTCTCACATCAACGGCCTCTTGAATCTCTCTAGCCAGCATGATTCGACACGACTACCGCGGATTCGGCATCCCGCCCGGGCCGCCGCAACTCCCGGAAATGTTCCACGGGCCCACGTGCAGTCACGGAAAGGTTAGAGAGGGCGAGAAGGTGGTTTCCGGCAGCGAGCGCGCAGGCGTCATGTGCGGCCCGATGGTTCCCGTGGATTCCGGACTAGATCCGATCAAGCACACGCAGTGAGTGCTTTCGTAGGGAGGTCGGATTATTCGCAGGGACGGATGCTCTTTGCATGTGAGATCTTCATTCATTATTCATTCACGGCTGATTACCTTTCGAGATGTAAGAGATTGTCGAGTGGTCCGATCGTACTCTTATAGTCACCGTACGGCATCTGAGTCACCTTATGTCGGCTCGTGCTCTCACGGAATTTGTGAATTTTTCAAAGATTCACAATCTGTTCACTGACAACTCACGTCAAATGATCCTGGATTATGCCAAAATGCTCCCAACGCCTACCTTCTAACTCGTCCCGTGCGAGTCATCGCGTTCCCGCATCTTCCCCGTGTCCCATGCATGTGTGCGCACGCGCGTCGGTCGCAGGTACCCGTACGTGACGGGCGCGTCGGTGCTGGCGATGAAGTACAAGGACGGCATTATCATGGCGGCTGACACCATGGGTGAGTCAGCAGATGCCACTTTTGAGACAGGGACGGCTGTGCTCCCCTAGACAGGGGCTCCGCAACTCCTCCCCCTCCCCCCCCCCATGACCTGTCGTGGGTATCAGTGTCGGTGCTGGCGATGAAGTACAAGGACGGCATCATCATGGCGGCTGACACCATGGGTGAGTCAGCACATGTGATGGCCGGAATGTGCATGGTTGTTGTAGCATGGATATCAGTGTCGGTGCTGGTGATGAAGTACAAGGACGGCATCATCATGGCGGCTGATACCATGGGTGAGTCAGCAGATGCCATGGGTGAGTCAGCAGATGTCATGGGTGAGTCAGCAGATGCCATGGGTGAGTCAGCAGATGCCATGGGTGAGTCAGCAGATGCCATGGGTGAGTCAGCAGATGCCATGGTTGAGTCAGCAGTTGCCATGGGTGAGTCAGCAGATGCCATGAGAGAATCATCATGGGTGCTCGTACCGTGGGAATCAGTTTCAATGAGGTATCTACCACTTTCTCTCGTTCCCCCACTGACGCCCCTAACCCTTTCAGGACTGTACGGGGGCTCAATGCGGTACAAGTCGGTGCAGCGCATGCAGCAGGTGGCGCATCTGCCGCCACTGAATCCTGTTCCCCCCTTTCCCTTTCTGCCTCCCTCTTTCTTCCTCAACCCCCAATCCAACGCCCTGACCCAACCCCCCTTTCAGGAGCGTACGGGTGCACAATGCGACACAAGTCGGTGCAGTGCATGCAGCAGGTGGCGCCTCCGCCCTCACTCACTGAATCCTATTTCCTTCTCACCGTCCCACCTCGTTCAGGAGCATACGGGCGTACAATGCGGTACAAGTCGGTGGAGCGCATGCAGCAGGTGGCGCCTCACACGGTGATGGGCGCTGGAGGGGAGATCAGCGATTTCCACTTCATCCTCTCTCTCTACGAGGAACTCCTGTAAGACTAAATGTCATGATTTTATATCTATCTTGATTTTATACATAATTTCTTATGAAGATGCCTTTCTCTCACCTTCCTTTCCTCTCCACCCCACCCCTTCTCACCTCCTGTGTCAGCACGAACGATTATGCATATGACGACGGGCATGTGCTGTCGACGCGCGAGGTCTTCAACTACATGACGCGAGTCATGTACAACCTCTGCAACCGCTTCCTATGCATGTTCTTTCCCCTTTCTCCCCTCCCTGCTTCCCACAGCACAAACGACTATGCATTTGACGACGGGCACGTGCTGTCAACGCGAGAGGTGTTCAACTACATGACGCGAGTCATGTACAACCGCCGCAACCGCTTTGACCCGCTCTGGAACTCCATTGTCATCGGGGGGCTGGACAAGGGTGAACCGTTCCTCGGCTCGGTGAGACGCGTTATGAGGCGCCTCAGTACATTTTTGTATTTGTTTTGTGAGGCGCTTAGATTACGCAACCGCTTTGGCCCGCTCTGGAACTCCAATGTCATTGGTGGCCTCGACAAGGGCGAGCCCTTCCTTGGCTCGGTAAAATGCTCATAAGATCCCTTTGTGAGGCGCTTCACTTGTTTCTTGTGCTCTCTGTCGGTGATCCTGTCTCTTTATTTAAACTCTTGCTGCTTGTTCCAGTCTCCACCTTGCAGGCCTTGGCACTACACAGACAACCACATTGCATGCTTGGAAAATGACAACTCTTTCGCATGCCCCGACCACCACTCGAATCCCTACCCATGCACACACCCCTCTTGCAGGTGACGATGATCAGGGTGCATTACACAGACGACCACATAGCAACGGGGTTTGGCAGCCACCTGGTGCGCCCTCTCTTCCTCCCCTCCATCCTCCCCCCCTCCATCACCTCCCTCCCCCTTCCGTGCACTTCATTTCCCTCGCAGGTAACGATGATTGGCGCGCACTACACGGACGACCACATTGCAACGGGCTTTGAAATGTGGCCAAGATTTTGCATTCCCCGTCCTCTCCCCTCCACACCTCCCATGCACTTCATTTCCCTTGCAGGTGACGATGATCGGAGTGCACTACACGGACGACCACGTAGCAACGGGGTTTGGCAGCCACCTGGTGCGCCCGCTGTTCCGCAACGAGCACCGCAACGACATGAGTGAGGAGGAGGCAGTCAAGCTGCTGGAGAAGGGGCTGAGGGTGCTGTACGCCCGCGACAGCAGCGCGCTTAACAAATTCCAGGTGTGTCTACCCTGTACTTTACAAATTTCGCTCTTTTTTTTTTTTTTGTCTCTGGTTTGAGCATTGCACCAATTATGTTACGGTATGATGTGGTTTGTCCGTGCAGATTTCGAAAGTGACAGCAGAGGGGGTGACAATATCGAAGCCATTTGCACTGAACATTGAGTGGAACTACGCACATTTTCAAAACGCGGTGCCTGATAAATACAGTGGTTCTTGGTAGCAAAGCAGGCCTCTTATACCAAGCGCATACATGCTTTAGTGGATGCCCATGATGACGATCATGCTGATGCTCGCTCTTTAACGTTCTGTATGCCGTAATACCTACGTTGAATGCATGTATGTGCAGTAGAGGAAAGGAGTCTCTTCTCAAAACTGATGCTGACTAATCCGGTTCAGTGAAAATCAGGTTGCGATTGAGTACTCAATTTTTGGGAAATGGGCCTCAGACTAAAAAACTTTGGGGGGGCAAAAGAATCAGAGTGGTTTTATTTGAATAGTCAGCCCTGTTGCGGTGGGACCTGAGGCGCGGGAATATCTTGTCCGAGGCGCAGGCATCCCTTCAGCTCTCACCTTGCACAAGGTGGATTAGAGAGCAAGGTGAGAGCTGTGAATCGCGCTTTGCCTTGAGTGGTCAGAGATGTTGATTGTTGCCAGGACAAAACGAGTGACAGGCCACCATATTGATGTACTGTCACCAGGCTCTTATGCATGGTAATGCAACTTCCACCACAAAACATGTTACGAATAGTAACATTTGATATTACTGTGCACTCCTCACCGCAGCAAAGAGAAGCACGCAGTAACGGGAATGAACGCGAACCGTCAGACGGTTGGAATTGACTCGAAGCGACGGACAGTTGGAACGCATCTGGACCGTCGGAAGCAGACGGCATCGGGCAGCTGCAGGCAGGATGGTTTTGGCGGGAACAGTTACGAAACTGTACGCGCCGCACGGTTGGGAGTGAATTTGAATAAGGGAATGTACCCCTTAGAGTACATGGCTAGTTAGGTCTTTTCGTATTCCCTTGTACTCTTATTTATATGACCTTGTTTGCATGTTTTTATCATCTCAAGCATTTACATTCACTCTGCTATTGAGGTCAAGGGCCCACCAACTATTTCACTGCGTGCGAACCTTCCTGGGTAGATCCCGGGCTACGATCAACTTCTGATCGCAGCATGGTATGAGAGCGGCTCAGGAATCCTTCGCACTGCCACTCCCGAAAATTACGACATTCGGAAAGTGGCGTCCGGCACACGCTCACGAGTGAAGATGGCCGGAGGATCTGGTGGTCAGACTAATCTGACGGCTGAAGCGCAACCCAACCCGGCTGCGACAAGCGAGAACACGACGACAGTCAGCTCCGAAGTTCTCGCACAACTTCTTCAGCGACTCACCAGCTTGGAGCAAGGGCTCCGAACATTGCGGAATGGCGACGCGGGAACATCCTCACAACCCTCTCAACCGGCCCCGACTGGCCAGAACACCACTCCGCAAACTTTCTCCCTCGACACCAATGGCTCAACCCCCAAGACTCCCCGTCCCAGTGAAGAGGCAATTCTCTCCGCTCAATCAAGGTTTCTCAGCATATCAAAAATAAAGACAAGTACCTGTTTTGACGGCAGAGACTTTTACACCTGGAGCTTCGAGCTGGAGCTCCTTGTCAGAATCCCAGCCACTAACCACTGGGATAAAAGGGCTTGTTTGTGTAGCGGGTGAGTGCGCCCATAACCCCCCAGGCCAACGTGCCTGTAACCCTTCCCTAGGATCAATCGGGGATCACCAGTGGACCTCTGACACCCCCCCGCACTGGGATGCCCGAGGTGCACACACCGGGATTCGAACCCGAGACCTTCGCTCTGATACCATGTCAGAATCCCAGCCACTAACCACTGGGATAAAAGGGCTTGTTTGTGTAGCGGGTGAGTGCGCCCATAACCCCCCAGGCCAACGTGCCTGTAACCCTTCCCTAGGATCAATCGGGGATCACCAGTGGACCTCTGACACTCCTGCTTCAGAACGCCCAGATCTTCCACTATTTCGACGGGAGTTACGCGGAGCCTGCTGAGGACACCGACGACGCCAAGGCGCGGTATTACAACGAGTCGCTGATGGCGTACGGGGTGCTCCTGCTAAATATGTCGGCGGCGGAGCAGCTCAACATTCGTTCATACAAAACCACAGCTGCTCCAGCCCTTAACGCCTGGCGGCACCTGACAGGAGTCTATCAGCCCAAGGACTCTGTCTCTTCGAGCCGACTACTCCAGGAACTCCTGGAAACTAAGATGACCGCAGGGGAGAAGGTCAACAACTACCTTAATCGCTGTCGGAGCCTTCGCGACCAAATCGTGAAGCTAGGAAGCACAATATCAGAGGAGATCTTCGTCAACATCGTGCTTCAAGGGCTTGGCCCAGAGTGGCGGCCCTGCAAGGCGTCACTCCGACAGCAGGGGGTCATCTCGGAGGCCGCCCTTTGCGCCGCCCTTCTCGTCGAACAAAGGGATATGGACCAGCAGCGACCAGCGCCGCGACGAGAACGCGAACGGCTCGCCTTCTACGCCGACAACACTGAAGAGCGAAAGCCACGGCGCCTCTACTGCAAGATCTGCAGAAATTTCGGGCACCTGGCGGATCGATGCAAGAACCGATCCCGCCCTCGCCAGACCAATCCGAGCACCTGGTCCGGCCGTCAAGACGCACGAGGCGACGTGCGTCCTGCCCAGGGGTATCAACCCCCTCCCGCGCGCAACCTGAACCCAGCGGTTCAGCATCAGCAGCAGCAGCCGTCACCGACTGCCCCAACCCGCAATGTCATGAGCAACATGGCCATGACAGGCGAATCGCGTCGTCGCCGTGTCCGCTCGCCTTCACCTGAGCCGGCACCGCACCCAATTGGCGCGTTCACCAACAACAACCCGTTTAGTCCGCGCCGCGACTTCACCGACGATGACAACCAGGACTGGAACCTTCCAGTCCCGCTGCTTGAAAGTCCCCCGCACGTACCTGATATGCGGGTGGCGCCACTCGATTGGCTCACGCGCGAACAATTTTTGAAGTTCGACACTCCGCACATCGTCACGCCGCGACTGGCGCTGCTCGCACGTGACAACAACAAGCGCTACAACACCTGGTACCTGGACAGCTGCTGCGGCCAGCATATGGTGGGGTCGGAGCGTTACATATCCAACGCCGTCGCCACCCCTACCGTCACTTACGTCACTGTGGCGAACAACACGCGCCTGCGCGCAAGCGCGCAAGGCATCGTCGTGCTCAAAGCACGCGGAAGCCGCACGCACATCACACTTAACGATGTGCTGATCGTCCAGAACCTGCGCTTCAACCTCCTGTCCGCCGCACAACTCATGGATTGCGGCGTCGACCTCAGCACGGACCGCGAGACGCGGGACATCCTGCTGCACTACGAAGCGCGCAACTTCCCCCGCAGGCAGATCGGACGAGCACACTCCGAAAATGGAGTGTACGTCCTGGATTTCGACATCCCCGACTGCAGCGGCGATTCGCACGAGCTGATTGACCTCGTGCCACTGCGCTTCGAGCACATCCACCGCAGGGACTGGAAGCACCCTGACGGCAGGCCGTGGGTGCCGCATCATCCTCACCCACGCGAAACAGTGTTACACAACCCCGACCCCGACGGCATATGCAGGGATTGCCACACGCCCACGACCTCAACAAGCGCGATTGCCGGCCGCGGACTCGCCGCCATCGCTGAAGCAGAGCGTACCGCGCCCCCCGAGGAAGGGATGTCGCAGCTCGAGCTTGAAGTCACTACTCACCGCGTGTTCGGCACTAATCAAAGTCCCCACGCTGGACCTCCCTCCCAGCGGATTGACAACATCCTGCGCGGACAACGCCGCGGAAGCCTGGACTCACGAGGAGTTCCGCGCCCCTACACTCTCGAGGAATTCATGAAGGTCTACCCTCACTGGCGTGATCCCACGGCAAAACTCACCGTGGAGCAGGAGGAAGAACTGGCGCGCCGCGAAGCTGAGGAGCTTCGCCAGCAAAGTCTCATGGATGCCCGCGGGACCTTCGCTTGCGCCGCCTGGGGAGCCGAGGAGGAAGAAAGTGCCTCCAATGAAGGGGGGTGGGGGAGCGCTGGAGGATGGGGAACCAGTGATACTGGCGGATGGGGCGACACTGGCGGAACCTGGGCCAACGCGAGCGGAGGATGGGGCGCCGTACCTACCGCCGCAGACAGCGGCTGGGGCACTTCCCGCGAAGAACGAAGGGGGGGAGAGGACATTCGCGAAGAAACCGAAGCAGCACCTGCAGTCGTTCCTCTCGGTCGTCCCCCGCGCCACATCCCGTTCGCATCACCCCCTGCAGACATTCCCCCGCGTCGCGACCCTTGGGACACCATCATCTGGGGCAACGAACCGTCAACTCCCCGTCGCACCGTCTACAGACCTGCCCCCGAGCCGCGCCAACCTACCTTCGTCCCTGGAACCATCCCTGGGACCAACGTCCCACTCTCTGAAATTCGCGACAGAGAATTCTTGGCGTTGATGCTGACTACCGCGGCAGAAGAAGAGGAAGTCGAAGAAGTAGCAGCAGAACCTGCTCCTGTACCTGACGAAGACCCTGAAGAAGCGCGCGCGCGCTATATGCGCACCTCCGACTTTCGCGCCGACGATGCCCAATGGCACCAGCGCCTCGGACACCCTTCCCGCGCGACGCTGAAAAACTGCATTGACACAGGCGTCTTCGCTCCTGGCGCACTCCTGCGCCCTGATGGCTCCGAAGTAAGCGGGGCGACACATCCGCGCAACTGCACCGTCTGCCCCGAAGCTGCGCTGAGTCACCAACCGTTCCCGCTGCTCGAACCTGGAACCAACCGCTACCCCAAGCTGCACAAGGTGTACAGCGATTTCCTGAACGTGGGGCATTGCGGAGTCGAGGATGAGCTATACACGCTCACCTTCATTGACGCTGGAACGCGCTATGTGTGGGTCGTGAATGTGGAGTCGCGCGACAGAGCCTACGAGGTATTTCGCCTCTGGCTGCCGCACGCGGAGCGGCAATCTGGGAAGAAGCTCAAGATTTGGCAGTCCGACGGCGCGGCAGAATTCAGGAGCAACCAGATGCAGACGTTCCTGACGCAAAAGGGGATCGAGCATCACATCTCTCTCCCCTACGCGCACCAGCAGCAGGGCGTAGCTGAGCGGACGAATCGCACGCTGATGACAAAGGTGCGC